CAACGTCTCGCCAGTTTTCGGGGAGATTAACGCCAGGAATAGGACACGCAGGGCAGATCGTTGCGAGGTCGCCTCGGCCAGTCGATACCAGACCCTCCTTGATATTCCCTCGGCCATGTCGCTTCATCAACTTCAGATGGCGAAATTCGCGAATCATTCGCATGAGAGACTTGTAACGAGTCTGAAAGGAAATGATGTTCATAACCTTCCACAAGAACATGTGACGATATCCTACTCACCTTAGGGATGGCCAGCTCCATATTGTCTGTCAAGAATTTGAGAGATTTGTAAAATTCATGCGCAGAGAGCTTTCCGGTCAGGGTGACGATGTGGAACAGTTCGAGGAGTCGAAACGTCGCGCACATTTGCGGGTGGTGGACTGTTGCTGGAAACCATTCACTTCGGATGAGTTGTTGCCGGTTCGAAACTTTCCGTTGATCGCAACCACAGAAATCTACCACGACGTAATGTAGACCGTTGGTGTGAAGCATGGTGAAATCTTTGTGGCCTGGTTGGGGACTGACGCAAATTGAGTTGGTGTGGCCAACCTGAACACGAAGGCCGATGGCCTTCAACAAACTTTTCTCAAAATGGGTCCCATTCCACTTCTATGCGTAGATCAGCAAAGCGCAAGTGACAACAGGTAAGTGCACACCTTAATAACATGGAGGGGGAGATGTTTGTGATGGTGGACGCAGCAGCTCGAACACTCTAAGAGCCGGCCCATACAGTCCTCGCACTGGTAGATCCCCGGATTCGCAGATGCGCAAGACATACATGTCACCTGCGGGCCGACGTCGCCTCGCCCTTCTAGCCTCAACATCTCCAGCAGGTACTCCTCCCGATAACCAGGATGTGACTTGCCTTCCCCTGCCCATTCACGGAGCGGAGCATCCTATAAGTTGTCAGCAGAGCGTAATCGAGTGCCATGGATCACGCTCACCGAAGTGGGATAGCGTTTTGCAGCAACCTTCGCCGCTACAGGTAATTCCTCCGCTTGCCCCTCAACCTCTTCCTCAGCTTCATCTCCTAGCGGAAGGTCGATCGTGTCGTAATCTTGACTCGCGTTCCATTCGTAAACAGGTGAAGGAAAGCGATTAGAAGCCACTGCCCCTTTTTTCGGCGAACGAGCGGTCTGGATTATATTTCGACCGTGGTTTGAGAGATGCACTGTGCGAGATTGAGGGATGGCTATGTCGTCGTCGCTGTCGTCCTTTCGCACAACGACAAAACCTTTCTTGGTCTTGGCCATCAAGGTGAGAAAAACTTGGCGATCAACAAAGGCCGTGAAGCTGATCAGATTCAAAGAGTTACAAACTCTCTAAGGCCTAGGCCTACAGACACGGTACAAATAATTCGACTATAGTACGTGCGAGTAGTAGATATTCCTGAAATGTATGATACGACGTCTAAGACGCGCAGAGTTCGATTGACTCATGACGAGTCAAAGAGCCCGCGTTTCATCGCTGCGAGCTTAGCCATGGAATCTGCAGCAATTGCTTCGAGCTTCTTGAATCCCTCGCAATCTGCGGGATCCCAAGGGGTCGGGAGATCCCCCACAATTTCCTGAATAGCAAGGTTCAACTCCTTCTCCCAATCCGCTTGCTTGGCCCCAGAACGATCACCCTTCGCTGTGACACGGAAAGCGAGCCACCTCATCTTCGTTTTGAGCCACTAGAAGGCCATCGTCAAAAGTTCGTGAGGAAGGATTTTGCTGTAGATGCTTACCTTAAGACGTTGGTCACGAATATGTGTCGCGTATGTGGTATCGTCGAGAAATGGCTTGTGCACATGGACTGCATCCTCAGCATCAGGGAAGCGTAGGAACCATATGAGCGATGCACGGTCAAAATAAGCCTTGGTTTGACTTTGCACGATGGCAAGGCGGTAGCTGGGAAGAAGTCTCTTCAGGGTCTTGTCCTGATTGCATTTCATGAGGCGCTTGGCTGCTTCCGGCTCAGGGTCGGGCTAGATAGTAACACGATCGATCATACTCGGATCATTAAAATAACGGAACATACCTTTTTATATCGGTTGGCGCGGCGTTCAGATCTTTCAGCGGTATCATCGACGATGATAGGAGTGAAGACTTTTTTTTTGAGAGAGATCTTGCCCATGGTGAGAGTTTGTACTTAGGACTGTTTGCTTTCCTGTCGTCCTGCGCACCCAATTGACAGAACTTTAATTGGTGGCTTGATGGACTATATAGCAGATTCTATGGCCAAATCGCGTGGATTGTTCCACCGCACAAGCATGCGCAAAAATAAAGCAGACTGGAGTGCACTAAGTGAAATTAGATAGAAATGGCGCGCCGTAGTGGATTATATACAACTAGATAGAGATATTGTCACCCTCGGCACAGATCTGGTAGGCAAAGATCCCACTCTTCTGCCAATCCTCCATCTCGTTAGGACAGGACATGGCGTGGGCATGGACGTCCTCTATGAGGCTAAGGACGAGCCGGATGTCCTTGCCTATATGATCCGCCTCTCGATACACAGCCCCGCACCCATGCTCCTGAAGGATAACTCCCAAAGCCTCGTGCACTTCCAACACAAGGTCTGTCCACCAATCCTCCCTGGACTCACAGATGCTCACAGCCTTATCTGGGCTTTCGATGCAACGCGCCACGAGCCTGTCAACGTAGGAATACATTTGACCATCGGTCGCTTTGTTGAAACGTTCACGAGCTCCGGCGATTACAGCGAGCGCATCAGCACTATTCCGTGAACGATACATCATTATGGGTGTCTGCTTATCAAACGTAGGTGTACCTTGGATCTCGGTGGCCCTCAGCGGTGTGGGATTTATCGGTTGACCCCTTTGATTGTCTTTTTTTGGCGGGCTGACCCTTTTTCTTGTATCGACTATGCGCGTGAGTACAAATGAGGACTTGGTTCCTGTTCGCCCGTCAATGCTTAGTGAGTGCAGATGTGAATACAGAAATGCGAATTTACTTTTGATAATACTTTTTTGACTTAATGCGGCGAGCAGCGGCCTTCTCCTCCCGTGTGTGGTAAAGGCGTTGACGAGCCATGTTGGTTGGTGTAGGGAGGCCAGAGAGGTGTGAAGTTAAACGTATTTACTTGTTTAAACAAGTTCAAACAGATCTAATTCTTACGACTTTTTCCCTCTGGTGTCGGTGAATCAACAGCTTTAGAAAAACTAATTTGAGATTCAGAAAGGTATGCGAAATCTGATTTGAACAAGGTCAATATCAAATTTTGTGATTTTGTGATTACGGAGGCCATAGTGCAATGGGTGTTGAAAGTGGCTTAGACGTGCGAGTTGGAAGGTCGCCTCTTGCTCGATCTTATGACTTTTTGAAAACAAGCATTCAGCTCAAAAATGCTTCATTGTAGAGTGTGTTCAGATCCAAAGAGTGGCCCTTTTCAAGGAATAAGGAAACGGGAGGATGTTGAGAGCTCTAGAGTGTATTTTATGTTGAGTTTTTGAGCACGGAGACCGTTGTCTATTTTTAGACACCATCTTGTGGACTCTTGTGACACTGCATTCGCTAACTCCCATTTGTCTACCTATCATAAGTTTTGGACATTCAAGTTCGTGGCCTTCAAATTGGGGACAGGATCAAAAAATATATTCAGCGCTAGATATTGGTACAGATTGGGATGATGGGCCACAGGAGATCAAGAAAGACGGCGCTACAGTAATTTACACGAGGTACAATGCAAAAGATGAGGCACGAGCCATGGCCATCCGAGCGTGCCCCTCGGCAATGGAGGAAACACGCGAATAGACAGCGTGACTGACACCAGTAACCAGCGGCGAGACATTTTCCCTGATAAATGTGTATTAGCTGTTGAACGAAGAATACATGAAAAAAATTACAAACCATCCACTGAACACGCCAATGTTGCGGCCTCGAGTAACGACATAGAAAGGTGGATAATCATTGGGCCCAGGAACATGGTAACCATGGACGGTGACCAGGTGGGGAGGCGGCAAGATAGCGTTAGATGGTGCGTTGAGTGGGAGTTGAGTGTACAGTGGAGCTGCAGGGCCAACAGGTGCTGCCGAAGCAGCAGGAGCGACTACCGCCACTGCGACGGAAGCTGTGGTGGTGGTGGCGGCGCTGTTGGCAGCAAGGGGGGCAGTCACAGCCGCAATGGATGCAGCTGGGGTAAGAACAGGTGCTGCTGCAGGAGAAGTGGGAACAGCGATGGAAGGCGCTGTTGCAATGACGATGGGAGAGGCAGCTTGCACAGAAACAGAGGCCGCAGCAGAAGGGGCCACCACAACAACAGGCGCTGGCGTTTCAGCAACGGCGGTGGTGCAAGCGATGGCGGCAGAGGGTGCAGAGCCGGCATTTGCGACAGATGGCTGAGTCGCTGCCGTTGGGAGAGCACAAGTGGGACATTGAAGCGGCGAAGGAGAGGGATCGTCGCCCTTGTCCTCGTCGTCGAAATCCTGGAGGTCCTTGTCACCAGTGGAATATCCACCAAATCCGAGCATCTCATAGCTGGTGAGATTGGCACCGGTGGTGTGGTCAGAAGTTGCCGAGAGGAAGGAAGGCGGCGACGTGGAGGGGCTGGAAGTTGGGGTCGCAGGAATGGTGTGGTGGAGAATGGTCACGAAGGCGCGCACGAGCTGCTGAGCATCAGAACGGGTCAACCTCAACGACTCAAGCGCATTTTCGATGTCTGAATTTTGAAACGGGGCATCAGAGGTCGTATAAGAAGGAACGAGGAGGCGACACTTACCAGCCATCGCGGAGGATGAAGTGGCTGGTTGCACTTCACGATCGGTGGTGTCCGTCATTGAAAAGGAGCTTTGGCAGGAAGGGTAGCAAACGTAAAGGGCGGTTGGCAGTTGGGAAGAGAGCGTGAATCCGTCTGCGACTCTGCGAGGCGGTTTTTAAAGAAGATTCAAGGGGCTTCTGAAGGCATTCCCACAGTGAAAAAAAAAGGCTTTTAGAGTGAGAGTACGTACCAATCCGCTTCTGCATCCCCTCCTTCCCCACCTCCCTACCTAAAAGCTAAATGAGTGATAGCCCTGTCGATCCTGGTGGTGTGTAAGTGCAATGTCGAGCTTGTCTTTGTTTTTTGTTGGGACTGATGTTATTTCCGGAATATCCAGGGTTGACCCACAGCCACTGCTCCGTCCACTTCTGCGTAACTGGGCGAAAGGCCAGCGTCTCGCCTTTCTTGAGGGGTTCATCTCCGACTACAAGGAGGGGATGCTTACGAAAAAATCCTCTTCCGTTCTCAACGCGATAATCAATCAATGGTTCACCCGCTTTCATTGGTCTACACCCCTTTCTGCCGATGACACAGCCACGCCAACGGTCTTCCTTCTTGATAGCCAGGGCCATGAGATTTTAGGTTCGGCTGACTCAGTTCTCAAGGGCCGAGTGATTGAGCGGGCACGTACAGTATGTGAACTTTCATTGTTGTCTGAAATGCGGCATGCTAAAGTTTTCATATAACAGTCACTATACCACTGGTATGAATACCGGTGCAAACGGACGATCTTGCACCCTCGTCCATCCAAGGGGAAGAAAGATAACATCACCCTCCTCGTGGAGAAGTTTCTTGGCCGTAGCACTTCGTCGACTAGGCGTAGCGCGGGCTGGGAAGTATGGGGAAAGGAACATTTTCCATCGATGAAGGCGGACTTCGAGGCCGAATTCGCTGCCAGTGGTAGAGACAAATCGGCGCGTGCGAGCGCTCGAAACGACTTCAAGCTAGCGCGATGGAGGGAGCTTGATGACGATACGCAGGAACATTGGATTGCGATTGCGAAAACAAACCACGCCACGAATCAAAAAGCCACGCAGGATCGGATACAGCATTCAGGGCAATTGGACCCAGCTGATGCTCAAGAGTAAGCGTCACCTTTCCCGGACTCAACACAATCTGATCCTTCAACCTATAGAGTTCTGGACGAACTCCCAAATTTTTTGGGACCGTTCATCAATGTCATCGGCGAGGCGATTGGTATGCACATCACAGTCCTCGTTGGCGGTCCCGAACCAAGAAAGAAAGGGCAGTTGAATATGTTTGGGTACGTTTAATTTTTTTTTACATTTGCGGCGTGCTGATACATATTCAGTATCCACTACGGCGAAAACAAAGCCGCTGTCCCAAAAGTGTGGGCATTGGCAGAGAAAGAAAAGTTTAACGTGGTCTCGGAGGCGTTCCTTGCTTACCTGTCGACCTGTTACAGTACGTGTTCTCTTCTTCTCTAACTGTCCATTACTAATTGCACATGCACCTTTTTATTACTTAGCTGTCGACGAGCAGCGCGCGCGTGCATTACCCCAATCGGGCTCGGACTCTACCGCTATACATGCTGGCCCATCCTCCTCAACGCCTCTACCAGGCACCAACTCTACCGCTATGCATAGCGGCCCATCCTCCTTGACCACTCCACCAGGCCCCTCCACCGAAAATTCAACCACGCTCTCTAATTCCTCGGGTTTAGCGGATGGTGGACATAAGCGGAAGAGAAGCAATGAAACGAAGGTGAAGAAGGCTCAAAAGAGTCGGCACAAAACCAAGAAGGGCAGCGCAAAGAAGAAGCCAAATAAACGTCGCAAAGCGACAGTCTGCTCGGATGCCGAGGCGTCAGCAACCGATTCTTTTTTGGAGGGTTCAGATTCGGGGGCGGGAACTCAACCTAAGGACTCAGCAGAGGACAGCGACCACGGGGATGAGGACGACGACGACGAGGAAGTGATTCCACAACCAACGACCAGAAAAAGCACCAGAAACACAAGTATGGATCCGAGGCTTTGGAAGGGCCCCGTGGCGCCTGTCAATGCTGTCGTCAATACCATCAACATCAACATCAACACTTTGACATCTCCATCGAAGGCTTCTGCTTTGCCATCTCCGCCGACCCCTCATTCCTTGCCATCCCTCCCAGTCGATCCCCTCGTCATCTCGGCCCCCCCTCCCTCCATGGTCAGTGGCTCGGTATTGGCCACTAATCCTCCACCACCGCCTTCATCTGACGAGAGCCCCTTGTCTGTTATCAGTGCACAGGATGATTCTTGGCCTTCTTGGTTCACAGATGCCCACCGACTCCTTTCCAGCCAGGATTTAGGCCGAGAGTATACGTCGCTCATCAATAAATTCACGGAGCTTGAGAAGCGCACCGCATTCACACCAGGTGGACGCTCAGCGGGATTCGGGTCGGACAACAGACCGCCGGAGGTCCATTATTGGATTTCTCGAGGACGCGCGATTCAACCCAAGATCTCAAACATCGCAGACTTCAAAGACAGTTGGTGGAGGTGGTGGAAGGGTTTACAACCAACATGGAGGGCTGTGTCTGAGGTGGAAGGCCTGCTCGATCGAACTCATCGCCCAGTCTCGATGGGTGGTCACGATTGGTCCACAATCAACAAACACGGCCGCAATGCATTCTTCTCCGTTCTGGCGACTCTCTTGTGGTGGGGTGCAGCATCTACGAAGCCACCAATTGAAGATTCGAGCTGGATGGCCGCCGTTGAAGACGTGGGGTGGGTGCTCGACGGGCTATTGGGTGTCCAGTAAGTTCGTTTTCAGAAATCAGCATCCCTTGGTCATAATATCCTTCCTGTAGCACGCCGCCTGCTCCAACTTCTAAGCCATCAAGGTCATGTCGACGCTAGGTAAACGCTAGGCCCGTTTGGATCTTTCGACGACCTACCTTCCTTCGTTGCGTCGCTTTCTCATGAACATCGTCGGACTTACATATTTTTTTGGGCACGCATACTTGCACTATCGTTGAGTTATTTGGACTCTCATATTCTTTCATATCTCGTGTCTTTGGGCACTCCTGTATTTCTTGGACTCTCGCGTACTGAATCTCTTGTAACTAAATTTCATGTGCTAAATTTTCTCTGGTGTACTTAGCTTGTTAAATTTCTGCGTACTTTATCTTGTCTTTCTTGTTGTTACTTATCTTGTCTTTCTTGTTGTACTTATATATTTATTGTTCTTGGTATGAAACCCATATGCCCGGCGCCAGTTCGTCCAAACGAACTTCAGCGTTTGGCGTGGTTGCTCGTGCACGTGACGTTGAGACTTGTCGTTTCGTTCGTGTAGACTCGTCGTTCGCGTCGCTTCGTTGCCATACTATGCTTGGTATGAAACTCGTCCGCCCGGCGCCAGTTCGTCCAAATGAACTTCAGCATTTGGCGTGGTTCCTCATGCACGTGATGTTGATACTCGTCGTTTCGTTCGTGTACTTACTCGTCATTTCGCATCGCTTCGTTGCCATACTATACCACGTTGTGCGCTAACTACCCATTGGAATGTCCGCTGAAATGGGGGACAAAGGCACGAAAGTGAAACAAAAAAAAGACATCGGGGATGGTAAAGGAATTTAGTAGAATGGTTTATAAAAAAATAAAATAGTGACATACCAAAAAAAAAAAGACATATGAGGGCAGAAAATACAGAAATATGGAAGGATAGATGAGGAAGACATATCTGGAGGGATTCTGACAGATGTATCCATGATTTTGATGGGTGGGGAGGACAATTGATGGGATGATGGAATGCAGGCCAAAAATAGAGGTGGCAAAATGCCAAAAACAAAGGCAGCAAAACATCTCAAAACATGTATTGATGGCAAATTCAAGCAGAGAACATATATGCATGGTTTCGGATGATGGAAATGGTTTCCAAGGAATCATTTTGGTCAAAGAAGCTGAGGAAACTAAAAATAGCCACATGGAATGATGTATTGATGGCTAAACCCTATGGAAAACATTTCTCCAACATGAAATACATATAAAACCCAACCTAGGGTTATTTTATCCACATGGAATCAAAACAGAACAGTTTTTTTCGAAAATTCCGGGCATTTATTATGAGAAAATTGAGTGTGGAACATTCTTGCTTTTTGGAAAGTGGTTGAATGCAGGCCCTATGCAATAGCATCTTGTGCTCAAGTCCATAGGGATTTGGTCAATTCTTACAGCTAGGGCTGACTGTACTTACCTGCACTAAAGCCCTGCTGCATCTCAGCTTAACCGTTATGCTAGCCTGGCATCACCAGTCATTCCTGCTAGATTGTTTTCTGTGTATTTCTCATTCACTGTGTCTTTAAATTTCTGTCCATTTTCTTTGTCGTAAATGTAATAAGTGCTTCATGACTGAAAAACTTTGAAGTCACTCACTCGGGATGACCTTCTTATTCTGTCCCGCCAATTCGAAGTGCATCGTTAGCGATTTTATAACTGTCTATCATGGTGGATCATCTCTCAAGAAATGGCTTGCTTAGCTGTAGTAGTACAGTTGGGACGCCGTCACCAGTGGCAACTTAGAACCCTGCTAGGTGACATGTTGCAGACAAACAAAAACATATACGATCCAGATTATCTGTTAAGACTCATAATCTAATGTACCAGCACCAGACACGCCTAGTTGTCTCCCACCTAGCAACCCTGGCAGTACAATGAAATACTTCTCTGGCACCAAGTTTGATAATTCTTTCGGAAAAATGATGGTGTGCGTTTGATCCGATTCTTCAGCATTGACAACGGCCAGATAGACAAGCTTTAACTTTCTGGCCGCTTGTTCTTGTAGCCACTCTATACCTTTCTTCTTCACTGAATGCGTCTCTCCTACTGTCGCTTGCAGCATGATGGCGGTGTTGGTAGCCTTATTGTAGAAGAACCCATCAAATGTTGGGCCTGAGTCGATGGAAGGACAGTATACCCCATCGCTCAATTGGCGTGGCGTCGAAGGCAGGTACATGTGGCAGTCAGGTGGTTCGAAGGTTGTTCTGGAACTTAAGCAGTTATCATCAATTGAGAAGACGGTTGTCCTCCATAGCCGACTCGGAGGTAACGGATAACAACATGTTCATGTCCAGTTGGGACCTTTGCATGCACATTTTTCTGGTGCCGTGTCTGCGTTAGCCGCCTTATCTTCCATTGCCCCCCTTGGTCAAAGGTATTGAGAAAGTGGGCATCCAGAATCCAGCCCGCCGGTGTCCTTGTTTTTGGGTTGCGCTGAAAGAGTTGGTACATTTCGTTCACCTTCACTGCACTCCGAGCTTTGATCGTCTTGACCATGAGATAGGTGATGAAGCGACTTGGGACTGTAACACAGGGATCATTGCGAGACTCCCCGGGGGTGAGAAGCAGAAGACAGGAGGGAATTTTGCCTTCAAGGGTTAACCCTTTGACCTGGTTAACTGCGACATCCAGCTCTTCAAGCGTCGCAGTTTGAACTTCCTCTTTCAGAAACCCCTCATAGAAGGATGGGTTGGATGCATGGGAGTATACGATACCAGCCGAAGGTCCAAAAGTATCCAGGGCGTTGCGGAGATTCTGTTCGGTGTGAAGTTGGGGTTGAGTATGCCGCCTGTATATCACACAATGAGTCAATATAACACATAATCATCAGTTTTTCACTTACGCCGATATGAGGTCTTTCAACGACCAAGGCCGCATTATATACTGTGTACAACAGCCTACGGAATGCAAACCTTGCTGCAACCACATGTAGTGAATTGGGCGAGGCGAGGCCGATTGTAAAATGAAAAGATTCAGGTTTTGCAGGAAGGAAGGGACTTCTAGAAGATTAGGGCCAGTCTTCACAAGGCACCATGTCGTGACCGGAAAATGGGGAAGGGAGTCTGGTCGAATCTGTGCCGAGTCAGCCTGATAATCAAAGGCTTTCCCTTCATTGAAGAAGTAAAATCTATTGGCCCGGTCCATGAACAAGGTGGGGAGCCCTGCGTCTAGACGAAGGCGCAGCACGTATGCTAGAAAAATTGTTTTTCCTGAGGGAAAATCAGTAGAGTGATCACAAAGAAACCAAAGTGATCATAAAATGGACGTACCGATGCCCATGTGGCCTCGCAAAATGAATAGTTTTGTGTACCTGTCATTGCTAGAAGTTGTGGTGCTGGTGCTGGTGTGTGTCTGGAATGGGTTGGCATGGAAGTCAGGATTTATTTGATGACTTGAATACGCCCCATGTCGGAAAAACTCCAGCGCTGCATCGAGCGCAAGATGGTATTCTCCGAGAATCAAGATTTCAGATAGTGAAATGCCCGTCAGTGCTTCTAGCCATGGTGTCTCCAGAAAGAGCCATTGTTCAATCTCGACCTTGCACCTCAATCTATCTTCATCTCTTAATATAGGATGCTGGTCGTAGATGATAGCGTTTTCGCTGCAAGCAGCGAGAATTGCCAGGGGATGGTCTTCTTTCAGCGGTGCTACTGGGATGAAGGAGTCAACATGGGGCCAGTGGGGCACAAAAGCATTACATACCTGCACTACCTGCACTGGGGCCAGAGTGGTCAAGTGCTTTGAAGGGGGGATAAATTTTAGAAAGATCAAGAAACTAGAAACTCACTAGGAAAACAAACAATCAAGTTTGACGTTTCACGAGGTGGCTGAGCCCACCAGTATTTTGAAAGAGGCTGATTTGCATCATCAAGCTGCTGCCGCTCGAGTGATCGGTTGACCTGCATCAATTATGAGCAGATAAGTTATAAACCACATGGTCATGAAGAGATTACTTACTGCAAAAAGTTTCATATCGTCTTCTGCTCCTTCAATGCGTGGTTGCACCTGTTTGATTACAATATAAAGCTCTCTCCTGAGTGATTCCACCGTCGAGATAAACGATGTCACAACCGTGAAGCTAGTCAAATTGTCGCCTTCCAACAAAACCTTCAGAATAAGACGCCCGCCCAGGATCCTGATCAGAAGACCGCTGTGTTGCACATACTGAGCAACGTCCGCAAGTGCTGAAGATGGTTCAAGCTCCTGGAGAGCTCCCGACAAAGATTTATACTGTTGGATGTTGAAGGTGAGCAGGATGGTGGCGGCAAGATAGAGAATGCACACACGTGTAATGACAAACAATCAGGTAGTCGGTGCCCCATGCTCGCCAAAGTGCTCAAGATGACCTGCACAAGATCCAGTCCCTTTATGTGGAGGTGCGTTTTCACTAAAAAGGGGGTATCTAGACCTTCTAAAAACACAGAAAAAGAGAATAGTGGATGGCCGGGAATCGTAATGAAGATACTGATGGTGTCTTCTGGAGGCGGACAGCCCCAATAAGTTTCAAGCGGCGCCATTGAATGGAGCAGGGTAGAGGGAATAGCAAGCCCAGGGGGTACCAAACTGTGGGGTGCTAGGCGTACGGCATACAGGCAGAGTCCATAGAGAGACAGAGATGGGGTTTGTCGCAAATCTCTCAGATACTGTAAAATTGCGTTCTTCAGGTCGTGAACCGTCATTGAAAGATTGACCCATATGGGGAAGCTGCTAGCAGGATGGTCACCTTCCACCAGACACCACAGCTGGAAAAGATCAGACATGAAGAACGGAGGAAGGGGAAGGGGAAGAGAAAGGAGAGTGAAGCCATTTCAAGCCATTTCGTTTGGTCCTAGCTGTCCAGCTTCGATCGTCATTCTGAACTGACAAAATGTTGTTGGAAAGAATATGATGATCAGCATTATTATGAAAGGACACTTGTCTGCCTGATTTTTGTGGTGGAATTACAAGGGGGAGGTGTAAAACGGCTCTAGCCGTTGCTCCCCATGATCACCCGATGCTCGCCACCTTTGATGGCGGGTCCCGAAAAGTGGTGGTGACGGCACATCCCCACCGACGAAGGCCCACCGCCTGCACAAGAAATTCTCGTGTCGACGCGGAGGAGGGTGGACGTATGAAAGCCCTGCCAGTGCCCCTGAGACCAGGCTTCAGAGTCTGCACTTATGTCTTCGTTAGTGCTGTTATTTGAACAAGTAGGGGGGGGGTCGTACCGTAAGTCGCAGAGAGAAAGAGGGCGTGGAAGTAGCGCGTAAGGTGCATATGGCCGCTGAGATGAAACATGGTATAGTCACATGTTGAAACACATCAAATTGACTTTGTTGAATTTGTCAACAAACAGCTCGCTTCTGTATTACAAGCTTTAGACCCACACCTACGGTGTGGCACTCACTATTACTAACACTCAGCCATGCCTCTGGTGCTGGTCACAGCTTGCTGGGGGCAAGCCCCCTGGACCCCCTGGTACACATGTTTAATCCCAGTCTTGGTACACATTTTTTATCCCAGTTCCAGTGCACATGTTTGATCTACACATATTTAATCCCACTTCCCAGTACACATATTCTGGTGCACATTTTTTGTCTCAGTTCTGGTGGACATCTTTCATCTGAATCATCAATGTTAGTCTTTAGACTTAGACCTGAACTTATAGTACAGCACTTGCTTCACTTGGCCATGCCTTGCCAGAGGCAGTTGTCCCCCAAGTACACTGTGCATGTTTAATTCCAGTTCTGGTACATATCTCCCTGTTTTGGTACTTACATTTTATTTGGATTTGAATTTTTTAAAATACACACCTGCACCTATGGTGGCTGTACTTCGCCAGCTTGCCAGAGGCAAGCCCTTGGACTATCTGATACAAATTTAACAGTTGTGGTGTACATACTTTTCAAGGTTACTGTACTAATACGATCATGACTTTGCATCACACATCACAGAGGTCATCGAAGGAAGTGAAGTGAGGGTGATGTCATGCATCACCCCGGTTTTCGAAGTCATTTTTTCCTGTTCTAAAATGGCTGATTTTTCTGGCGCCTGTGGCGCCCATAGGCATGTAAACGACATGGTGTATATATTATCTACTTTCTAATGGGAGTTGTCCCACCATCTGAGGTTTTCTTGCATGTACAACCTGTTCTTGATTTTCTTACATTTCCTGCTCCACGGCCGTGGTGGGGTCGAGTACTTGGCCTTCAACCTCTTCAATAAGAGTCTCTTCTGCTTCAGTTGCCAGTATGACTCCATCTTGTCCCATTGGCACGAAAGCCTGGTCTGGCTTGTTGAAAAGTTGACATGAACGTCATCCTCAACAACCAATTGCAGAAGCGCTGAAGCCATCACACTCTTCGTCATGCATCACATCAGCTGTTGAAGCGGCGAAGAGATGGTGAAAATATGTCATGCCCTATAGGGCCCGAGGACTTGGTCGTATTAGTACAGTACATTTTCTGCACCTATCACATGGACCCCTGGTACACATGTTTTGTTCCAGTTCCAGTGCACATATTTAATTCCACTTCCAGTACACATATTTAATTTTTATTCTGATACACATTTTTTATCCCAGTTCTGTGTACATCTTTCATCTGGATCATCAATGTTAGACTTAGACCTGGACACAGCACTCACTTCGCTTGGCTGTGCCTTGCCAGCGGCAAGCTGTCCCCCAGTACACATGTTTAATTTCAGTTCTGGTACACATTTTTAGTCCCTGTTTTGATACTTACATAATTTTTGAATTTTTGAAATTACACTTTAACCTGCACCTATGGTGTGGCACTTACCACACTTGGCCAGAGGCAAGCCCCTTGGACTATCTTATATGAATTTAACAGTTGTGGTGTATAAGTTTCTCAAAGTTACACTTTGATCTGACAGCACTTGCTGCACTTAGCCAGCTTGCCAGGGAAACCCCCCTGGACCTCTCAGTGTATATGTTCAATTTGTGTTCAATCCCTGTTCTGACACACACATTTTATCTTAATCATCAAGGTTAAACTGCCCTCATTCAAATTTTTTAATTCTAACCCAAATCATCAATGTTTCATTTAGATCCACACCTATATAGTCCTGCATTTTATACTGTAACTACAGTCAGCCATACATTTTTGGTCTTTCAACCTTTGGCTATGGCTTACAGAGTACCATACCATGCACCATAAAATTACAGTCCAGTAGGTCAATGATAAAAATCTATTGAGCAACCAAAATCCACCTGAAATTTAATCTGCACAGATCTCAAAGTAGGAGAAATATACACTGACAATGGGGTAGAGGGAAGTGGAGGGTAAAAAAACAATACAGAAAAAGCGAAATTGAGGGGTGTGACCACAAAAACACTCACAAAAATTAATGCAGCACTATACAAAATTTTCTATTACAGAATGTGGTGTGGTGTCGAAGTGAGAGAGAAAGGGGGTGAATGTTCTGTGGCCTGTGGTCACACCATGTGACATTCCCGGGAAACGCCGCTGACGCAGCTCAGTAAAACTTACTAAAAGACAAAGAGTTTGCTTACATGATCTATTATGTAATAACTGTCAACCGTCCTCTCTTTATATATTAGATAAATACCTTAGGGCCTGTTCGGGTCCCCGGTCTTGTGTCGGCTTAGGCGTTGGCCTTGCAAATTGATAAGACCAAAGCCGAGTTCCCACAGGCTTGACGCATTCGTCACGACGGTGTCACAACAGGCATTCTTAGATAATACACCCTGGATAACCTCACATTAGTTCCTGTAATGAATTCTAACCTGCACAAGTGGTCTAAAATTTCAGAAAAATTTACTCAAAATCAGGGAAAACGGTCTTGATTCTCTCAAATTACAAGGAAAGACATGGCATATCTCACAAAATATAATGCCTGTTCCTTCAAGGGGGCCCCAGGATTTCAGAAACAACATGGGGTAGATTTTTTTTTGTAAGCCGTCGGTGATGTCCCCCCCCATTGCTCCTTCTAAATAAGGTATGTTTTCATCCAAAATATGTTTTTCTTTGAAGAAAATTTCGGCTGATGGGCCATGAACACGTGAACCTTGAAATGAATCACTGCTCCCTTTTTAGGTGTACAAATCCAGCTTTCTTTTCACATTTACTTTTGCTATGCAAGTCCAAGCTGAGCAAGAAAAGTGGGAGGGACAACAGATTTTTCATTTCCCTTACACACTGACTTCCATGGTAAGTTATCAACAGTTCAACTGCATTGGAGGTGCCGCTGATGCATCTAGCATTGCTACAGGGCCCCAAATATAGATTTTCGAAGCTTATATACTAAATTTTTTTAAGGCCTGCTGGAGGTCCCCCCCCCCCCCACCTACAGTTAAGTGCAAAAAGAATGAAGGTTGGTTCATTTTTCTGGTTCTTTCTAAGAATCTATTGTACCTCAAATGTATTTGTGTATTCTTTTACATTATGTAGTTGTGTTACACTTCCCTTGGTATAAACTAATTTCAGTGAAAGCTGGAGCCTTGAGAAGGTTTTTATTCTGGAGGCCATTTTTGGCATCTGAAAAAAAATATATGCACTAACTGGGGAGGTAGCCAGAACATACCTCTGGTCAACCTGAATGAGCCTATCAAAGAATCAGGCAAAAATACTAAGCGGTTATGTCTGTAGAGGCTTTGGAAAATGGCTTGTTTTGTCTAAAACAGGCCAAAAATGACCAAAATGGCACAAAATGACCACTTTCTGGAGGCTCTACAAGCATAACCACTCAGTATTTTTAACTAATTCTTTGATAGGCTTATTCATATTGACCAGAGATATGTTCTGGCTACCTCCCCAATTAGCGCATTTTTTTTCAGATGCCAAAATGGCCTCCAGAATAAAAACCTTCTCAAGGCTCCAGCTTTCACTGAAATTAGTCCATACCAAGGGAAGTGTAACACAACTACATAATATAAAAGAATACACAAATACATTTGAGGTACAATAGATTCTTAGAAAGAACCAGAAAAATGAACCAACCTTCATTCTTTTTGCACTCAACTGTACCTTGGGTCATGGGTCGACATCCTGGGGCCCCCTTGTGTTCCTTACCACTAATTAACCCTCTCTATTCTTTTGACCAGGATGTTTTTAGCATGCTTATTGATCATAAATCTTTGTTACCCACAGGAGGTGGAAGGTTGTATTATTTATGGGAAAGCTCATGGAAAGAACAATGGAATAGAGAATATACATCAAGAGATAATGTTTTGTAAATATTGAAGGATACCAAGCTGTCACTCACCATCACGCAAGGCCAAAGCAGAGCAGAGTGCCACCGAACACAGCTTGGGCTCTGCTCTGATGACCAAGGCCATCAGCTTGGCTTTGGCTTCAAAATGGCATGATTTTGGCTGGAGGCCAATGAGAAGACCAGGGACCCAAACAGGCCCTTAGTAAGGGTTCTTAGTACATACACCCTTGGCTTCACCCAACGAAAAAACTTCCAAATTGCACTAATTGAGCTTGTCCTCCCATTTTGGCTGTTCCCATCACCCACTGTTTATCTTAGCAGAATCTTATCCTTTGATTTTTTGTTTCTTCACAAGAACTCCATTGGATTGAATAAATAGCTTGTTTAGAAGCCACTGCTTGTCGCCCAGACTCCTCATAGCAGCAAAGAGAGTGTTTGGGCCATGTTTGCAGAAGAGTGAGATGTTTGGTGCAACTAATTACATACTCAATTCGAGGTGACTAGAGGCTGACACTTAGCAGCAGCAGCAGGCACCTTGCTTGCTGACAAATACACTGCTTTGCACCAATATGATGCAACTTTTTTTTTCGTAACAAAGGAAACAGTGTTCAAGAGCTATAGCGCTACATAGTTATGTATATAAACATTGGAGCTGGCGCTAAGAAAGAGACGACGATATCATGTTTTGAAAAGACCAGTTGTTTGCACCGGTTTGCTCGCTCGCGTGCGCCATATGCATCCGTAGAAAGTTTGTACATGCTTGCCCGCTCGATATGCAAGAAAAGAGCCCGATGGCCCCTGGAAAGTTTGTTTGTTCATGCTTGCTTGCTCGCGTGCGCGATATGCAAGAAAAGACCCCCATGGCCGCTGGGTAGTTTGTTTGTACCTGTTTGGTATTTATGACCCTGGGAGACCTTGACAAGCAAGGTGATGTCATCCCAGGCTGGAATACCCTCAACACGGACCTGTTCAAGGCCGCGTGTATTCAGTGGAGAGCAGGTGATGACTGTATGTCCTATGTCCATTCGACACAGGGTCTGGCTACCCAAAATCAAAATACTGGTCATTCAACATTAGGACGGTGTAATTCCTTATGTCATGATCTAACTGTACACATGCACAAGTTCATCCGTGAGCATGAAGAAATTGTCCTTCTTGCATACAGGTTCTATGGTAATGTCTCTGATTTTGCACTGTGTTGGTTCGTGTGATATGACCCTGTAAACCTTCCCCATTAATTCTCCTCTCATCAGTGTTACCAAAAGACAATCCATATCAGGGTGCACTGGTACCAAATATTGCATTGGGATGTTCTTGCTGTCATGATTGAATCTAACCACTGTGGTGTTACCTTCATGTCTCAAGAATTCAAGCAACCTGTCTTGATAAGCCGTGTACTTGGATAGCACAGAGCTCCTTAGTTTGAGACAGATTCTTCTTGTTGCCAATCACTCATCTGCTAACCAGTAACACACTGCTCCTAAACTCTTCGATTACCTTGTTATGAAAGAAGTTCCGAAATGTACACATACCTTCATCATGTTCTGTAATTCCGATGCAGGATCCCATGCTGGGCTTGGGGGTATGCCTTGAATGGACAGCATAGGAGTTCCCGGCATAGAACTTTCTGAAGGAGCATGCCATGGGAAGGTCTGTGACAGAGGTCTTCTTTTTTCATGTTGTATTGCCTTTATGGGTATTTCCTCATTACTACGTGTTTTGATTCAGTAGAAATCATGTGGTTGTTTAAGCCCTTATGAAATAGACAGTTCCGTCAATTTGAATTGCTTCTTTTGCAAGGTGGCATCAAGTTCCACCACCACAGTATCATCAATGTGTGTGGATATAGGGACTAGCATGGTAACAACCGGTAAAAAAACCATGGTTTTACCAAATATGGTATGGTACAGTACGGTTACTGCGGTTACCGGTACAACCGAGCCTTTTATGCCGTTCTGACTTCACAGCTCAAATATCATAATGTCACTCTGTAATTTATACTTTTTTTCTGTTCTGGAGGAACAATATACTCTTAATTGTCATTTAGACATATTTTACTCTTATTTTTATTATTGTAATTAGGCCTAGGCCCCAAACTTCGTGCAAACCTGGCTGATCCCTCAAGCCAAAAACTCAAATCTCATGAAACAGAGCCTGATTTCAATGTACAGCAGGTAGAAAAATGCCAATAAATTTGGTTTTATTCTCTGCAGTATTTGGAGTCAATATAACCTTGAACTTTTTCCAAATATCATGCAAGCATAGGCGAAATGATGAAATGCATCTTGATCATTAATAAATTTGTATACAGTTATTTATTTTAACTTGTCACGCTTTGTAACCCTATTAAACTCATTTAGCGGCTTGGCAGTTCCGGAAAACCGTGGAATTTATGGAAATTCCATGGTTTCGTACCGAATGTTACCGGTAACTAAAGTATGGAAATTTCCGCGGTATTACCTAAACCATGCTAGTCCTTATGTGGATACGATCTGGCCAAGGTAACCCTTGAAATTGTTCCTCAGAACGATGATTTGCTTTCCTTTGTGATGCATGATTGGATTGTCCTTCAGATTGACAAACTCCCTTACTTGTTTGCATACACCACTTTCTATCACCTCATACTCTTTCCACACCGTTTTTGGCACATGGGTACCACACAGGTCATAGGTGCATGGAAAAACTCAGCATCAGATATGGGAACTGTCATCTATAATTGCAGTTGAGTATTTCTTTTTTTTGGAAACCAATGAAATCTGTTACCTCTGTTGAAATTTCTTGGTTGCAGAGGGTCAACACATTGTTCAGTGAATTGAGAATGAATCCCACTGTTCCAGCATGAGGCCCGAACAACACCCTGGCATTGTCTCCAACTTGGAATTCTTGTCGAAGCTCTGTCAAGCACACAACATGTAACAGATCCTGGGAAGGTATGAATATTTCTGCCTCCCCATCTTGAATCTAGAAGACATTCCCCTCCAAACCTTTGCACCTGCCATCTACAACCAACATGTGGTCTCCTGAACAGATGGTCATTGCTGCAATATGGTGACATGTGGCATTATAGATTGCAAAGGGAATGTCAGTGCATCCATCAAAGTCGTGCAATTCACTCCTCAATGGTAAGCAAGATGAGTGGATTATGAAATCAGAGTCAACATCGTTCCACAGATGATATCCATCAGCAGTGTGGGTCTCAGACTCTCATTATTATGGGAAAACCAGGTACTGTTTCATTTTTCGAAGCTTTTGGCTCCCATCTTTTCCTGACCGCTTCAGGATCAAACAGTTGTCACCGTGGTTGCCCGCTGCTGCTGCGTTTCTGTTTACTGGCAGTATCGAAGTTCATCCAAGGAACCACAATGATATCTGCATGTAGAGATCTGGGATCAACATGGCGAATATATCCAACATCTCCTGGATAGGTTCCTTTTTGAACTCTGATCCAAGTTCCAATGGAAGGTGTGTAAATTGGACTGCCAACCAAACATGCTTGTGCTTCATCCACCTTTAAAGCCCTGACAACACCTGTTTTGAGATTGTCAAGTCTGTGTATGGTCTCGTTCATGACCTTGTAAGATGTGGATTCAATGAACACCCGCCCTGGATGCAACCTAAGTGCCACTGCCGTCTGAACCAAAGGACGGACATTACCCCAGCACATGAAAATTTTGTGTATTCATAGTACCATCGTCTCCTCCATCCCTGGCTTGGTTCTGCATGTCAGCCAGTAAACAAAACCTGCTTATAACAGTTCGTACCTGGCATCCGACCTCATAAAGAGTAATCCTCTGTTTGTGGGCCATCATAGTCCAAGACATCATGGACACTGGTTCCTTGTATTTGAGCACGTTGAATGAAGTCCCGCCAATTGGCTTCCACGTCATCATCTTGTCCTGTGAATTCGTGAATTGGGGTATCCATAATTATCCATTGATGTTCTGTATTTGTTTTTTTAGCTAATATGTCAATATCTGCAAACAAACCTCTGTTTTGGGCTCAGCGGTGATATTTTTGCTTCTGCATATGTTTCTCCCACTTAAAAGCCTTGCAAATCATTCCAAATATATCCTGTGTTTTATTTACATTTAGTGGAATTGGTTCCTCATGCACCCAAATGTCAGAAATGGATGGATTGGGTCAACTGCCTTTGGATGACCTTTGGGGATTGGTGCTTCTGCACAACAAATGTAAATAGTTCCAAAAGCTTATTCTGAGGAGATCCTTTGTACCCTACAGCTTTGTTCCATCTATTGTATATTCGTTCTGAAACTACATATGGACTACAAACAATTGATTCCTCAGTGTCATGGCGAGTGAGTGGTTGTGGGAGGAAAAAAGGCAACAGCAAGCGCACTGAGTTGGTTTTGACAACGGCTACCTTAGGGCAGCCTCACATCTTTTCACGTGATCCTTGTAAGGCTCCCCTAAAGTCACTCAAGCCAATAGACGCCAAACCACACAAACACACTCTCCCGCTCACTCCCACTCATCATAGATACATTCATAGTAGAACTTTACCTTAGCTGTAAGAAGTAAGCGTAGGAAACGAAATAAAGAACAAGAAGAAAGAGAATCGTAAAAAAACAAAAAGAAAGATAATTGGAATGCAGGAATGAGGAACAGGAGACAATTGGCCACCTTTTTTGTTCTTTGTGGTCTATAACTGACGGGATGATAGGTATCCTCTATACCTGCCTACGATGAATTCAACCACCATCCCTACGGTAAGTACTCAGAACATGCATCGCAATGGCCGTTCTCATACGATCTTAGTTTAAGTGCAAGCAAACACTCACTCGCCACACTAATGCGATCAATACCCTCCAAATAAGCCAAGATGGCTCAAGGCTTCTCAGCAGAGGTGAGCTTGCGTCGATCTTAGCAGCGTATCCAATCTAATTTATTTTACACAGGCGATGATTGTCTTGTTATAGTTCAGGCCAATAGACGCCAAATCACACAAACACACACTCCCGCTCACGGGAATTCGGGGAGAACTAGGTGTTGCACCTGCAATTGAACGAGTATCCGGAATGCACTAAATTTTGTTGAGATAGAATATATACAGAGTAGATTGAATTTATGAGCCAAGGGGCGAACTTCGATCAAAAAAGCATAAGAAACGATCATTCCAACACTTAGGAATTCCCTAAATCATCCCCGTCACCGAGGCTAACTGGTCAGATTGCATGGTAGGTGGTTCATAATTTTTGAGCCGCGGAAGTGGTTTTGTTGGATCTTTCAAAGCACATCGACCATTCTTGTATTTCGCGACCTTCAGAAGCTGACCGCTAAGTGGCACAACGAGTTCCCCCTCCATCGTTGGATGGAGGGGCAGCAGATATTGTAATGGTATTTCTGGGGTTTTGAAGTTGATTGAGACCTTCGCAATACTACCACCAATTGCGGACAAGAATTGCGCATACTTGCCATGGTAAATCCCCCCTTCATACCGTTTTGATGGATCATGTACTATCAATCTGAATTTGTACTTTTTGAAAGTTTCATCGGCCAACCAATACGGAACTGCCTCTGGCGGTGTTTCGTCCCCCTCATCCTCGTTTTGCCAAGGTGTTCTTGACGAAGGGTCCCATGCTGGACTTCCTGGTATATCTGTGGGGAGTGGAAGAGGAGTCGAGCATATGAGAGATGATGGTCCTGCCTCTTTTACGGTGGGAGCTGTCAATTGGGAGATGTTGCGAAATTCAGAGAGCGGCCCCGAAAGCATATCGTTTTTCTGGCTGCGAAAGCTATGAGTCAATTGAGTCAAAATGAAAGATGAACTTACAGAATGCGTAAATGGATGAGAGGAAAACATTCAACTCTCATTCTGGACACAGCTGTAGCATTCAGCTCAACCTGTGCGTCTCCTTGCGGGGTCGTAGATTTGATTCTTCCGTGGTAACCTTTAAAATTCCTGTGAACCACACCTACTTCTTTGCCTTCATATCGGCGGTTGGGATTTTCGTTTATTCTGACTTTCCGGCCTTCATCGGGATCCTGCTTCCTTTTTTTGTTGATCGTTTTGACGATTGTGTACTGCCTGTTTGGGGGTGGGGGCGGTATTGGACGTATTGTTGTCCACACAAATGGCGAGGAATAAAATTTGACCTTTGAACACAATGTCCTAACCTAAACAGGGTAAGCTACAAGTAAGGACCTCTCGACCCGTAAACATTACCTCTTTCTCCTGCAAAATGTTAACAACGGAAATTTTTGAATCACCTTCAATTCCAGATTCAACAGCCGTCACCCATCCTATAAACCCGGGATTCGGGTCTGTCATAATCTGGACCTCATCCCCAATCTGGAAGTTTCTTCGTAGATAGGGCATCAAAATCCCCTGAGTGATGCCCTGTGTGGGTATAGTGACCTGAACTTCCAAGCCGTCAATTGCTTCGACTTCTCCCAATAATCCCTGATACTCTCCAATGAGAATCTTAACCTGATCTCCGAACCGGAGACACTCTAGCATGATTCTGTCCTGAGTTTTAGTCAGAACTTTCTCTGGAACATCGTAAGAAGGCTTGAACATCTCCAGTTCAGCGATGGTGGGCATTGCCCACTAGTAGCTGCCATTTACATCATGTAAAACCTGGCATGTACCATAGAAGTTCCTGCTTAGCTACCGTGAATGAAATGAAATGAATTTTCATTCATTCACGGCAACTGTTTCATTCCAAGTCATTCTAATTCATTGCCGTGGAGAATGAAATACTTTTCATTTCATTTCATTTTTTTCTTCATTTCTACTGACAAGAATGAAATTTATTCTGTTTCATTCATTCCTGGCGACTGTTTCATTTTTTTATTTCATTCCACCATGGCAACTGTTTCATTTTTTGCTTCATTCTTCTGTTTCATTCATTCCTGGCGACTGTTTCATTTTTTTTTTTTCATTCATTGCCATGGAATTTTTATTTCATTCTTTCCAGGCAGTTATTTCATTTTTGTTTCATTCTTTCAGGCAACAATTTCGATGTTTTAATACACATCTAAATAAGGAAATAATATACAATTATACCTGATATGTGTTGTGCCCTACTGCAGTGGTGTGGGAGGCTATATGGGGGTACTTTTGCATTTGAGGCTCAAATACACAACAAGATAGGCATGCTGTTGCCAAATAAGGCACTTAAATATTTTGTATCAATTACATAATCATTTTCACAGCTCTAACAATGAAATAGGCACCTGCGAAGAATGAAGCAAGGAATGAAACAGTTGCCATGGTGGAATGAAATAAAAAAATGAAACAGTCGCCAGGAATGAATGAAACAGAATAAATTATCTAGAATGAAACAGGTGCCATGAATGAATGAAAATTCATTTCATTTCATTCACGGTAGCTAACCAGGAACTTCTATGGTACAGCTCAGGAGTACATGATGTAAGTGGTAGCTACCAGTCCATTGCCTCCGCTGGGATGTAAGAGTTTGTGTCGAGTTCGTGGAGTAGTAGGTGACCACATTCGCAATATACTTGTTCGCGACCTCTTGGGTCCGTGATCTGGAACCGCCAATTTCTTGCAGAAACGTTGCTAGGACCGAGAAGGTGTCTCACTTCAAATGCATTCATTAACTTCTGTGGTGGGCGTCCAGAGGTTTTCTTGTTTTCAGTAAAGTTGTGCCGAGGGACAACAGCAACGTCGATCAGGAGAGACCACTCGTCAACATATCTTATCAGGGCGATATCGCCTTTGTATAGTCTCGGACGCCGCAATCTGACCCAATGATGGAGCATTGGAGTGTAGGTGTTCCCTTCGGTCAAGCACTTCAGGTAGTTATCACCAGGAACGGGTTTTGTTTTGTTCGGAGTAACATGGGGGACATGAGTGAGCATTCTCTTGGCATCCTCTATTGAAGGCGCTTCAATGAAAACTCGCCCAGGAAGGGTCGCACATCCAAATGTGGATAATGCTCCTATCGCAGGGATTTCGACATTTAGCACCCACTTCGTGATGTTGAACACAGTCATTTCCTCGTAACCGACCTGCTGACGCGCTTGTAACTCGTCCGCGCTGTATAAAAGAATTACGCACTTTGCATGGTACCTCCCACAAATTATCGTTATCGTGAATTGCCCTGGGTTCAGGAGAAGATCACCCTACTGCGATAGGCGTAGAGGTTGATGCACGTTCGTGAGCACGCTGAACGAATGAATGCCATTTTGAGCCCACTCCAGACTCGTCTTCACGAAACACCTTCGCCAACAGGGTATGGGTGATCAGCGAATCACCGGCATCCTCAGACTCCGACTCATTATCGTCGATCAACGAGTCTACATAAGTGCCTGAGACTCAAAACGAAAAGATTGGATGCACACGCACCCAAACTACCATCTAATTCATCTTCACATTCCTCGGCGTCCGTCTCTACGGCCTCCACATCGACAAAGCGGTTCATGTGCGATTCCGGGTCCTGGAGAGACGATAAATGTTAGGATTCCTTGGCATCTCAGTATGATACAAACGTCGCGCACGCGTTTTTTGCCTTGACTTTGGGACGAAGAGCTCTGATTTGATTCTAGTAAGACTAAATTGGGAGCACAACTGTTAGTACCTACTACTATAGACATAACAACTTGCGACTTGTGCTAATGAGTTTGAGAAAAAGAAAACAGAAAACAAGCGATCAGGGTTTGAGGCATCAGTGTTGAGGGCAGGTTCACAAAAGGTCACGTGATGTTGACCTTCGCAATTCTCCACTCAACCTAAGACTACAAACCTCTAGGAATATGCGGTAACAATTGGGTTACATATTTAGATAGTGTGTCCTTCGAAATAGTAGCTATGAGAACCTGCATGAACAAGGACAGGATAATAATTAAGATAAACTGCCATAGCCCAATAGACGTTAATCGAGGCGGTGGAACCGGGCGTTCTACACCCTGTTCTTCGTCAGGCTAGATAAAACAAAAATAAATGTTATTGAATCAAAAAGCTGATGAACAGACATACCGCAACTGTGCGCCAAATCTTAATGTCGACGTTGATATCTGTTGAACCTGTGGCCAAAAGACAATGATTTCCAATGGAGTGAGCCTATCATCGATCGTTTAGCATAAAACCAATTTCTGATCTTGATCAACTAACATCGACAATCTGAACCAGGCCCGCTGAAGAATGATAGTTTCAGAAAATAGCGCTTGAGAGTAAGACACAACCGACGTACATGGTGCATGACAGAGCGCAGCACAGAACAAGCCGGTATTGATGTTGAAGAGTCAAGGGGAGCCGTCATCACTACCAACCATAATTAAAACACCTCCCAGAGCTGAAGCGACAACTAGGGGGATGTTGGTATGGATTGGGTGTTGAAAAGATCTTGTTGGGCGAAGTGGTGGGATTGAGTAAACATCGACCCCATCAACTAAATTAGACACAATGAGAGACCGATTGTCGGCCGCGACAACCGCGTGGCCACTGCGGAGAAGTTACAAAATCAAAACGAAGGGAGGGTACCGGCTGAACTTACATTCGAGTAGGGAGTTGACATCTCCATTGCAGGGCCCAAGGCTCAATCTTGTAGCTAAGTCTAATGAAAGGTCATCATTAAATCTTTGAAACTGGTGGAAGAAACACACACTTCATGAGACTCCAAGTAACAGATCAAGAGACAGCCCAGGCTGTAAGAATTGACCAAAATGTGGTGGATTAATCCAATTTTGCCTATTACACAGAGCATGGATCTGCCCAGCTGGCCAAAAGCAACTTTTGTCCACACCCTTTTTAATTCCAAAAATGGTTCTAGAAAAGATACAACCTATAATAAAATATACCCCTAGAATAGGTTTTATGAAAGAATATGGTTTTATAGCATCTATTTTTAGCCTCAGTTTGTTTCTCATTTCTAACAAATCTAAATATAGTTCAGATATGTTTTATGATTGAAAATTCTCGTAAATGGTACATCCTGGGATCATCATTGATGACTGGTATATTTTCCTATATTCTGTGTATGTTTTCTTTTCCCAAAGAGCATCCAGATATGTTTTTTCTCAGGATCCAGTATGTTTCAAATCTAAATATAGCTCAGATATGTTTTAAAATTCTCATAAATGGTACATCCTGGATCAGCATTGGGACTGGTATGTTTTCCTGTATTCTGTGAATGTTTTGTTTTCCCAAAGAGCATCCAAATATGTTTTTTATTGAGATCCAGAATGTTTGTGATTTATTACAAGTCTAAATATAGCTCAGATATGTTTTATGATTGAAAATTCACAGAAACAGGACATTCTGGATCTGTAATGATAGGTTGTATGTTGTCTGTGTTCTGTGTATGTTTTCCTGGCCAAAAGAGCATCCACATATGTTTTCTCCACATCAAAATCCTTCTGCAAAAGCTGCATTTCACCAGACTATTCCAAATGTGATAATTCTCATTTTTCTTCTTCAAATCTTGTGTTACAGCCACTCAGAGCTGCCAAGTAATGTAGAAATATATTTCCGATTTTTTGAAAAAATTTCCGCCTCAATCAGAGGTGCGGAGATGATGGATGTGCAAGTCATGTTCCAGATGACCTTTTGTTGTTCGGGGCTTCAAGGTAACAAACAATCATCAACAATGGTAGTTTCCGAGAGGAAAACCATGAGAGTGCATTTTAGAGGGTGTCATTCAAATTGTTGATGGAATTGACTTCATATCTCTTTATTGCAACTGGTTTATATCATATAGTATGTATTTTGTACTTCAATTCAGCAGCTTTTCGGATGGATGGCTCAGGTTCCAGTTGGATGACGTTCCCGAAGGCGTTGCCACACAAGTACAAAGAGTTGCCCTCCAAGTGCACAGATTCAAAAAGCACGGTTATTCATCCCTTACACATGTATTTAATGAAATTTAGACATTTTAGCACTCTGAAAGTAGAACACAGTCCAACTATTCATTTTTCGCATCCATGGCGCTCTCCCAAGTGGATGGATGCGACGTAGCGAACTTGGATGACGTGTCTGAAGCTATTGACAAACAGATGCAAACTTGTCAAACGAGAACAACTGAAATTCAGCAAGGTGAGGAAGGGAAAACTATACTGAGAATGGTAATATATCTCAGGATGTTTAATTTACAACTTTGGACTTATCCTATTATCAGAAGTTTACTGAATGTTGTAGAGAAAGGGGTATCTCAGTGTTTTAAAGGTTAAAAACATATCATTCCAGCAAGTTTTAAACTAATACATGCCAGCTATATCCCACCAGCATCCAGAGCATAATTAAAAGAAATTGGGACAGGCAGTATCAAATTTTGAGTGAAAGAACACATCTGAAAGTCTTGTTCCAACTTTCAAAATTTTAGGAGGGTTTCAAAACATAGAATTGTGTCAGGAAATCTTGCTCTGCTTGCCTCATTTTGAGGGAATCAGAGTTATATCCTCCCAACTAAAGGTGGATGTTCATATAAACTTTGTCAGGACTATATTCAGTTTGATAATGAAGGATTTGTGGTGAAAGTGATTGAATAGAGTGTATTTCTTCTGACTTAAACTATACTGTGTCCACTGAAACTACCCTATGGCCATGAAATTTACATAGAAGTATTCAGGATGAAAAAATGAATGAACCCACAAATTTTCATGGAAATGAGAGGATTGTGGGGATACAGGCAATGGGATAGGTGTAGCTGGGTCATGGTAAAGCAATTGAAAGTGCCGGAAACTCAGCTGTAGATTGAAATTCCTCTGACTTTTACTCCCTGCCTGGTAAATACATAGAGCTACCTATCTTAAATGTTAGTGCTATTCCTTAGGACCTTCAAATGCATTTTTCTGTATTTTTTTCCCTCAATAACGAGTGCGCGAATGAGTGCGCGCAGTGCTCCTTCAGCGCTCGGCACTTTCCGAGCGCTGTTGATGGCTGCTCAACCAGCCACGTCAACGTCTCTGCCACTCCCCATTGTGCCTTCCGCTTGACAATCAACTGGTACGTCGACTCTATGCCACTCCATCACGCCTTCCGCTTGACAGCGATCTAGCGCCGCTCGATGAACTGCATCTATCGCTCACAACAACCACAGCAACGACTTGGCAAACACCAAGTCGCTCGCCCACTACCACTCGAACGGCAACGGATGACGAGCACCCAGCACCTTGATTTCGGACACGGTAAGTGGTAAGTACTTCCCATTCCTCATTCCTCCCAACCACCTTTCTGAGACAACACCACAGGATGACTTCACAGGATGACAACGAGGCCACAGGACGACAACGCGGTGACGACACGGGACGAGTACGACCAAACGACAACGATACGGCACCACGACGACCCAACGACGATGTGGAACGAAGACACGAACAGCGTGGGACGACGAGACACAAACAGCATGGGACGACGAGCGGACAATGACGACACCCATTCATTCCCATCGGAGACGACAACGATGCACGACGACGGCCCAACGACAACGTGGAATGAAAACACAACCAGCACGCGGGACGACGACGACACACGATGCGCATTCCCATCGGAGACGACGACGATGCACGACCACGGCCCAACGGCAACGTGAGACGAGAACACGACCAGGGCACGCGATGACGAGTGAACCAGGACACGCGACAACGAGTGAACAAGGACACGCGTCGCTTTCTGATGAAGCTGGTGCGGATACGCTACAAGGATGACTTGCCCGATGGAGGCACGTCTTCCTTCGCCCTTGACAACGACGTCGGCGAGGCGATAATGACTGACCCAGCCCCCCCCTTGCTGGTATTTCTCTAATGTATTCTCGTTGTCTCGGCCCTTTTGATCAGTCAATAGAGGGATGAACGTAGCCTCCATATCCACGTCTCCGTCAGCGACGCACGACGCCCAGCCCCATCGACGAGGCGACAACAATGTGCCCAGCCTTAGCCCCAATCTCAGCACTCCCTCTCCCTCCATCAGTCCCAACTGCTCTCTCCCCACTCCATCAGTCCCCTCTATCCCCTCCCCTTTCCATCAGTCCCCCACTCCCTCCCCAACGAGAAAACGATGACGACGGCACTACAATCCCCAGGATGACAACAACACGTTGACGATGCAGGACGCCAATGACAAGACTACGATGCAGGACAACATGTCGGTAAGGGTATAGATGACCCGAGGGTATGCTGAATCGCCGCAGATATTCTTTTTTTTCGTCAGGGCGTTGAGAGCCGCGTCCCTGTTTTTTTTTTCAAAACTGTACATTCAGATTCCATAGTACATCATTTCTATTGTTTTTCTTGCCCTGTATGTCGTATCATAGAGCAGCTGCTACCCTTTTTTCAAGCCGATTTCAATGTTGTTTACCTTTGTGTACCGACAGCGTCTAAGGCTCCAACGACATCCAAAAAGGGTTTGTCCAATCCAGCTTATTCCGGTCAGATTTGACAGAGGGAAACTATATAGGATTGTCATGATCAGAACATTATAATATATATATATGGTCAAGTTTCATATGTTGTTTCTATGACGAACAAAGCTGTAGGGTACAAAGGATCTCCTCAGAATAAGCTTTTGGAACTATTTACATTTGTTGTGCAGAAGCACCAATCCCCAAAGGTCATCCAAAGGCAGTTGACCCAATCCATCCATTTCTGACATTTGGGTGCATGAGGAACCAATTCCACTAAATGTAAATAAAACACAGGATATATTTGGAATGATTTGCAAGGCTTTTAAGTGGGAGAAACATATGCAGAAGCAAAAATATCACCGCTGAGCCCAAAACAGAGGTTTGTTTGCAGATATTGACATATTAGCTAAAAAAACAAATACAGAACATCAATGGATAATTATGGATACCCCAAATTATACTGTGGAGGGCTTCCTGGATCAATCCACATCCCAGACCAGCCTGGATACACCCATCCCCTGTGTAATAGAGAAAACTGCATTATCCCAGGAAATAAGGCATAGAGCTACAGCCAAGGGTGGCGTAATCACCAGTTGCACTGCAGTAGCGGCAAGGCTTCTCGCAGAGTCACGTCTCACAAGATGAGGAGAATGATTTCGTCAGGGAAGTCCATCAAGACCACGGTGTGTTGGGTCATTTCTTTCATCTCTGGCGTGCAGAATCTGGAAAATACGTCCTGAAATAATTGAAGAAATCAACGGGGAAAGTCGATGGGATTCAAGCACAACTACTCACGACTTTTTGTCGCTTGGGTGACCCCCACACGTCATTCACCTCGTCGCAAAGCCGTTTTCTTTCTTGATTGACTGGTTTAAACAGAGTTGCAATTGAACCTGATATCTTTGAATTTAACAATGAGTTAATCTGAGTAACAAAGCATAGAACTCGCTTACCCCCTTAACCAAACCAGTTGGTAAAGATGACATATGAGCTGAAAGGTTGAAGGCGCTTTGGATGGCGTATTGAAACATCGATGAGAATGTAGGGGATTGAATATCGTAAGTCAGTGGGTGCTAAACGGCTTCTTGATTTTGGATTGCGGTCGACTCACAGTATTTATGTCGAAGCATTGAAAATAAAAACTGGTATCTTTACCAGCTTACCCAGACATGCATCTCAGAGTCCCTTCGACCACCTTTTGTTCTGCGATATTGGGGCGTGATGGTAATCCCATTCGGTCCTGGTCGTAAAGCGCCCTCTAATTTGGTTAAGATGCATATTCTACTTTACAAAAGGTATCTACGTGTGAGTGGTTTCGGAAAAGGCACATCAAGCGCTATTGTTTCCAAGTCATTCCTCGAAACTTTAGGGGAGGCATGCAACCTTCACGTGACATGTGTCAACCTCCCCTAAAGTCTGGGGAACTATGCGAAGGAAGGCGCGTTTTGTTGTCTCTTTCCCTTCATTACATAGTGATTGTATATAATGTCCGGATGTAAGACAAATTAAGAAAGGAGGAGCTGCCAAGGGAGAATGTAAGTATTGTACCTAGGAGCTATTGTGTGAAACCGCACGAATGTCCTTGGCTCCTCGACGAAGGCGTAGACGAGTGATGGAGGCGGAGAAGATGCGGGGAACGTGAGAGAGAGCACATGGAGCGGTCACGGACATCGTGGCCGCGCCTCCGTGGTCCAGTGACCCAGGACTGGGGACGCTGTCACCCAGCGCAGGGTTCTGGTATCCCGGAGGGGAGGCAGAAGGATGCCTAGCTGCATACGAAGTGTGTGACTCGCTCCACATGTTAGTTAATGTGAAAGTTTGCAAGTAAGTATATTAAGCTGCCTTAGCACGACAATATCAACAAAAAGACAAACAATTGTAAATACGATGCTTCTATGTCACGCAAGATAGAGTAGTACTACGGTATCACAAAGCCCCCCCGTGAGATTGGAGCATCGACCCCAGTGGTAAGCCTTGTCAGCAACGACGGCGCCTCTTTTGTTCTTCGCGTTCCTTGTCCCGTCTCCTGTAGCCCTGAATTTTCTGCCCGCTCCGTCGTCCTCTCTTCGTCCTCTTGTAGTCTGGTTCCTTCTCGTCATCCAGATCAACGTGATCTTCGTCCATTGAATCCTGAGTAAGGTGCGGATCCTGTGGAGCCTCCAATGGGGCCCATGTTGGCTGCACTGCGCCACCCCAAGGCATGAGACCGCTCCAGGCGACAGGACTTCCCATACGTGAATCCTCTGACATTCGATCAGCAAGCATACATTGAGTGGAGTCTGAGAGCCTAGCAGCTAGGTCAGAAGGCGTCGCATCGCTCAACCTGGCGGACAGATCTTCTGTCATACAAGACATAAGAGTCGGTTGCCTGGGGGAGGGAGGTGGGGACTCAGTCCGTGTTTGTCTTGTGGTCGAGATCTGGGAGGCTAAGGGCTCTGTAACCTGCGCAGGGGTGAAGGAAGGAGGCGCGGTCATTGAAGGCAACGCCGCCGCCACTGGCCATGGTAACAGGGCGCTAGGGGTTGACTCAGATGATGGCATAGGAAAGGGTATTATAGTCGCGTTACCCTGCAAGAGGACTGGACTGAAGGTGTTGCCCGAGGGTGACCACATGAAGGCAACATTCACGCCAAAGGGCAGCAGGGCGTTGTGTGGTAACCCTACGAGGGCAGGTCCACTAGGTAGTACTGGTAATGGAGGAATCTGCATGCCTACGCCTGTGCTTGCGTTGGAAGCGGCTGCAGAGTCGGGACTATTCTGGTTTACCTGTAAGTTCACTGGAACTGAGTCTCGCGAGGGACGGGACGAGCGGTATTCTGGAGACCGAGATTGGCGGTAAGGGGCACATTCTCGATAACAAGGAGAGGGAGATCGCAGATAGCGTCGTCTGTAGTAATCAGGATGCACGGGTGATCGCCTTCGAGGTAGGGGAGAGGATCTCCTACTAACACGGTAACAATCCGTCGAAGGAGACCGCAGTCGGATGTCTCGAGACCTGCAACGTTCCCTAATACCCCTTCCTCGAGAGGAAGAACTAGCTGTGGGTTCAGGGGTCGAGAAGGGCATTTGTTCTTCGGTGGCCGTGGTGGAATCCGGCCATCTACGGGAAGAACGTGTGAGGGCTCCAATGTAGTCTTCATAATCCGCATAAGCGACTAGCAGTTCCCTGTCGCCCTCCCTCCTGTGGTGCATGTAAGTCCTCATTTGCCGTGCCTGGTCTACTGAATCCATCTCAAACCAGAAGTTCTGATTGCGATCAGTGGAGAGTCTGAAGATTTGTCTGACCGTTAATCGAAGACGCGCAGCAATAGAGGTTATCAGGTTTTGAATAGTTGAGAATCCTTCCAAAGTAGATATACCGTACAGCATTAAAAATGAAGAAGCAAATTTGAAGGGATCCGCTGCGGGAGCCTCTTCCGTCCTGATTTCCGAATCCACGGTGAACGTGAGAGGGGGGATTTGAGGACCCATGGCTTCGTGAATCAAATCTTCATCCCCTATTGAGACCTCGTCTTCGTTCCGCGCGTGATTCACTGCTTGAACTGGTAAAGGAGGGGGAATTTGGTGGGACTCAATCGGGTTAACCCCTGAACTTGAGGTCGCGCCTAAGGCAGCGGGCTCAGTCTGGACAGATGGTGTAGCAGGGTTTAATTCGACAGCTCGATTCGGAAGTGAAGGCTCTGTTACGATCTCCTGAGCAGCGGGCATGGTATTCGCGCTCTTGGAGGAGGCATTTGAGGTCATTACTTTATTCTGGACAGACAGACTTAGGTAGTCTGTGTCGGGGTAGTAGCCATCATCGCTGTCACTGTCGTCATCGGGCGGGGGGCGTGGAGTACCATTCAGGCGAGGGAGGTCCTCTGGTTTGGGGGTTGGAGCTACCTTGCCAACGTCCGCCGATTGCGGCTCCTGAGTCCTGTAGATCCAGTAGGGCTGAGGTCATTGAATCTTGTTCATGTCCTTATAGACCCCTTTTGGACAGGGCATACCAAAGACGTCCGGATTCGATACGCACCCTTCTGGCACCTTAGGAGGTCTTTACCTTCCCCGGGTTAATCCATATGGAATCCATGTGGAATCCATGGAATCCATCACCAATTCCATGTGGAATCCATGGAATCCATCACCAATTCCATGTGGAATCCATGGAATGAATCTTGGCTGAGACCACAGCCAATTTGTTGTTCCATGGACATCATGGATTCCATGTGGAATGATCATGGAATGATCATGGAATGGTCAATTCCATATGGAATCCATTGCCATTCCACCTGGATTCCACTGAATTCCATATGGAACTTAGGCATATCCACCATGGATTCCATGGAACAAGTCCATATGGATTCCATGGAGCAGTTCATATGGATTCCATGGAAGGAATTAATGACCATTATACCATTAGAATACATATAGATATAGTATTTATAGTGTCCTTACTATATTTAAGTAAAAATAAAATTTTTGCATCTGAGAGAATTGAACCCACAACATCGTGAATAGAAGCAGCAATCTAACCACCTGAGCCACACCGGCTTTGTTATGAGGTAAACTAAAGGTCTCTATATAGCGTCGTTTGTCACGTGGCGTCTCAAACGTGACAGTTATGGCTGCCGCGTTGCCACGTCGCTTCTTTCTTTCACCACCACCACCACCATTCACCCCACCATCTCAGGCCACGACCGCCCGCGACAACGACGTCGACAACGCCGACAACGACGCCGACAATGATGCTGACAACGACGCCGACAACGATGCCGACAACGACGACAACGATGCTGGCGACGACGCCAACAACGACGACCACGGATGGGTGGGAACAATGGCGAGCGGAAAGCCCAGGTAAGCCAGCGGCGTGGCAACCAGATGACGGACGACGACATTCGTCGTTGTCCGTCATTTCATTCCACCCGCAAACAAACGACCCCACCCATTGAGCTGACCCAAACCACAGGTGCCACGTGGTGACGTGGCAGATCCACCACCACACCACGCCGACGTCAACGACACCCACGACCAAGGATGACCGCCCACGAAGACAACACGACCGCCCACACAGACGACACGAAGACGACGCGACGACACGAAGACGACGCGACCACCCACGAAGACGATGCGAACGCCCACGAAGACGACACGACGACACGAAGACGACACGACGACGCGACGACGACGCGACCGCCCACGAAGATGATGCAACTGCCCACGAAGACGACGCGATGATACGAAGACGACGCGATGACATGAAGACGATGCGACCGCCCACGCCACAACTGCCCACACCAAAACGAGCCCACCGCCCACAAACGTGGACCCAGAGCACCCATGCATGGAGGATTCCGCTTGCGTGAACGGAAATGGGCAACAACGAGCCCAGGTAAGCTCCCCCTCCCTCCAACATCCCTCACCACCACCCCTCCATCATTCACCCTCCCTTCATTGCTCCCCCTCCCTTCATTGCTCCCCCTCCCTTCATTGCTCCCCCTCCCTTCATTGCTCCCCCTCCCTCTGTTGCTCCCCCTCCCATTTCTCCCCCTCCCTCCATTGCTCCCCCCTCCATCCATTCCCACCTCTCCCTTCACCACTCCCTCTCTCCTCCATCACTCCTTCACCACTCCCTCTCTCCTCCATCACTCCATCCCCCTCCCTCCCCCCTCCCTCCCCCTCACTCTACTACATCCTCCCCCTCCATCACTTCCCCCTGTCTTCCCCCCTCCCTTAGATATTGAGAATAGTAAACATAAATTGTGTAGTCTATTTAATACATTTCAATTTTTCCTGCTAAGCTATGACTCATGAATGTAGAAACCATGATTACATGATGTGGACTTAGAATTATTTCATAAAGTCATTCCATGTGGATTCCACCCTTAAAATGGTATAGAACATATAGAATAGAGTATGGAATCCATCAGCCATTCCATGGAATCCATCCCCCAAAGTCATGGATTCCATCCCCCATTCCATGGATTCCATCCCCCAAAGTCATGGAATCCATCCCCCATTCCATGGAATCCATCCCCCATTCCATGGAATCCATCCCCCATTTCATGGAATCCATCCCCCATTTCATGGAATCCATCCCCCATTTCATGGAATCCATCCCCCATTCCATGGAATCCATCCCCCATTCCATGGAATCCATCCCCCATTTCATGGAATCCATCTGGAATTTGTGCAGTCCACCCCCCATTCCATCCATTCCATATGGATTAACCCGGGGAGGGTAAAGTACTGGACTTTTGTAGTCTTTTATAGTCTATCAGTAAACTTTGTAGTCTAAGTCTGACTTTTTTGTAGTCTATCAGTAAATTTGGTAGTCTTTTGTAGTGTATTAGTAAACTTTGTAGTCTTTTGTAGTCTATCAGCAAACTTTATAGTCTAAGTCTGACTTTTGTAGTCTTTTATAGGGTATCAGCAAACTTTATAGTCTAAGTCTGACTTTTGTAGTCTTTTATAGGGTATCAGTAAACTGTGTAGTCTAAGTCCGACTTTTTTGTAGTCTATCAGTAAATCTATATCTGCCTCTTATAGTAGAGCATGCACCTTCCTTTTTTGGTCATTTTTCCCACGATACAATAATTGTAGCCCTTTCTTTTAGCTTTCTGAATATACTGAAATTATGTTATTTGGTTTTGTTTTCATGGAGAAAAACACAAAAAACAAAAAAAAACGCGACACTTTTGACATTCATTTACCTCATATCTCCACAACAGGAGCACTTCAGAACATAATTCAAACAGATTTGGGAAGCTACAGTGCAGGGCTACAACTTTGGTTTTTTGACCCCTTTTGGAGTTTGGTCATGTGACCACTCTCCTGATTACTAAAAATTGCCAATAATATTGCCCAAGTAGCTAATGAAAATCGCAATGATGTTGCCCAAGTAGCCAATGAAATTTCCCATGATATTGCCAAAGGAGCCAATGAAAATCGCAATGATATTGCCCAAGTAGCTAATGAAAATCGCAATGATGTCGCCCAAGTAGCTAATGAAATTGCCAATGATATTGCCTAAGTAGCTAATGAAAATCACAATGATATTGCCAAAGGAGCTAATGAAAATCACAATGATATTGCCCAAGTAGCTAATGAAAATCATAATGATATTGCCCAAGTAACTAATATAATTTCCAATGATATTGCCAAAGGAGCTAATGAAAATCACAATGATATTGCCCAAGTAGCTAATGAAAATCACAATGATATTGCCAAAGGAGCTATGAAATTTCCAATGATATTGCCAAAGTAACCATTGAAAATCGCAAAATGATATCACCCATGTAGCTAATGAAATATCCAATGATACTCGCCAGACAACTAATGAAAATCGCAATGATATGGCTTTGAAAATCACAATGATATGGCTTTGAAAAGATATGAAATTGGTAATGATAACCACAGGCTACCTTATGAGGGAGGCCCAAAACCTTGCCTACACTTAATGAAAAAGCGCAGCCTTTATGATAATGAAAAAACATGGTAACAGTAATGATTCCCTATCATAAAGAGTGTGGATGGATACACAGGGACCTATAGGCAGTTACCTGTTTTATATGATAACTAGTGGTGGCTGCTCAACCAGCCATCAGCAATGCTCGGAAGATGCCAAGCGTTGATGGAGAGCTGCGCAACTCGCTCACGCATTCGTTATGGGGCGAAATAAAATATGGAAAAATGTGTTTAGAGGTTCTGAAGAACAATACTACTATTTGAGATAGGTAGCATTATGTATTTACTGGGCAGGGAGTAAAAGTCAGACGAATTGCAATCTACACCTGAGATTCCGGCACTTTCAGTTGCTTTATTGTGACCCTCTGCACCTATTCCCATTACCTGTATTCACACAATCCTCTGATTTCTATGAAACTTTGTGAATCTGTTCGAGTTTTTATTCTGAAGACATCCATGTAAATTTCTTGGCCATTGGATGATTTTTGTGAACACAGTATAGTTTATATCAGATAAAACACACTCTATTCAAGGACTCTCACAACAAATCCTTCATTATCAAAGTGAATACAGCCCTCAATAATTTCATACTGGTATCCACCTTTAGCTGAGATTATGTAAATTTGATTCCCTGAGTATTAGGAAAGCAGAGAAAGGTTTGCCAACACAATTGTATGTTTTAAAACCCTCCTGAAATTTGAAAAATGGGAACAAGACTTTCAGGTGTGTCATTTCACTCAAAACTTAACAATGTCTGTCCTAATATTGTTTCACTTATGCTATAGGTGTTAGTAGGCTATAGCTGGCAGGTTTTCAATGACAAATTGCTGGAATGATATGTTTTTTATCTTGAAAAAAGAAAATACTCCTTTCTCTGCAACTTTTAGCCACTTCTGATGAAAGTGCAAGGTAAAAGTTGTAAAACAATCATGCTAAGATGTATTACCATTGTCAGAGTAATGTTGTCTTCCTCTCCTTGCTCAATTTCAGTTGTATTTCCGGTGTTTTCAATGTGTTTGGGAAGTTTGCATCTATTTGTCTAAAGCTTCAAATGTGTCATCCAAGTTCACTAAGTTGCATCCATCTACTTGCGAGGGCGCCATGAATGTGAAACATGAAAAATCAGGCTGTATTCTACTTGTAGAGCACCAGAATGTTTATGTTTCATTAAAATTTAGGTGTAAAGAATGAATAGTGTGCCTTTTGAAGATCTGGCCACATGGAGGCAACTATTTGCGACTGTTTGGCAATGCCTTTCGCAACGTCATCCAGCTGGAACCTGAGCCATCCATCCAAATGCTGCTCAATAAAAATACCAAAAGTCATATTATATGTCAAAAACAAGTTGCAATTGGGGGAATATGAGCTTGATACAATCAATAATATGAATGACACCCTCCAAAATGCATTTCCATGATTTCCTCTCAAAAGCTGGCTTTGTTGACAATTGTTTGTTACTTGGAAAAGGTCATCTGGAACATGACTTGTGCATCCATCATCTCCACATCTCTGAATGAGGTGGAAATTTTTGGAAAAAATCAGAAATATATTTCTACATCACTTGGTAGCTCTGAGTAGCTGTAACAATAAATTTGAAGGAGAAAAATGAGAATTATCACAACTGAAATATTCTGGTGAAATGCAGCTTTTTCAGGGCTCATATGCGGTGTCTGGAGGTGGCTTATGTACATATATAGACATAAGTTTATGTACAAATGCGGATGTACCCGTTAAGGCAAAAGTCACATGTAACGTCACGTTGAGCGTTGAAGAGCAACATTTACTCTCCAACGCTCTTCCAAAACACGGGCAGTATCTGGATACCGCCCGTGTTTTGTCTGCTTTTATGTCCCCTACACATAACCAGCTCGACTTCCCACTCGCCAGGGCGCGGGACGACCACCGCCAAGATCTCGTCGCATCAAGATTAAACACTGCCCAGATCTCGACGCATCGACACACGAGAAGGACAGGTTTTGGACATTGGTTGGGCGGACACGAGCAGGGTAGGTCGCGCTTCGATAAAGCGGTTTTTTGGGTTATTCAGGTGCGTAGCCTACCTGAGGAAAGCAGACTTTTCTGCTTCCTCGCATCCATCGCTTCTAATATCTGTTTTTATTTCTGCAGGACTTACTAATGGCACTCTGGCCGTTGATGCACTGACCACCCCACCCCATTTCTATCTGCCATCAGCTAATGTGCTGCTTGATGTGCGCGAGTCACTCGGCATGTGCGCGTATGCACATCACCCACCATTCGGCTCCATCCCCATCGCAAACAGTGCGGGTACTACCGCCGTTTTTGCCCCTCGATCGCATTTCCATAGCCAACAACGTAGCCGCACATCAAACTGCGTGTGCACGCATGGTTGATGCACAGGTGCATCCCCACGGCGCGGAAAATACGACATCCACCCTTCAATCACATTCTGTTGCCAATATCATACCCACCCATCACACCTTTTATACATGCATGTGTATTATACTGTACAGAAATATATCGGGGATTTATGTGAATTGATTTGGATGTAGATATCAGTTGTTGTGAAATGACATTTTACATGGTCTAGATGCAGCTCCATGACGAGCTATATTATGAGTAATGTTTACAGTTTATGATTAGACATGTGGTGAAGTGGTTATGTCGTGTTGAAGGCAGGCTAGGTCCCCGAGGCTTCGAGTTCGAACTCTCAAGGCCTCAACTTGAAAAAAGTTTTTTTTTTCAAGATCACCTCCAGACATAAGACATGAGCCTTTTTCAGAGGGATTTTGACATGGAAAAAACATATGTGGATGCTCTTTTGGCAAGAGAAACATACACAGGATACAGGAAAACATACCAGTCATCAATACTGATCCAGGATGTACCATTTCTAAGAATTTTATATTGTAAAACATATCTGAGCTATATTTAGATTTGTTATATAACACACACATGTTGGATCCAAAAATAGAACAGATTTCAAACATTAGCAAGCTACCCTTGATTTTTCTATCATATCTGATGCCAGATATTGATATTTCACCCAAAAAAACCAAAAATTTCCCCCCTGGGGTGATTTTTTAAAGATGAGCAGAATGCAAGTGAAAGTAGGCAAAGGACATTGCACATCAATTGGCAAATGGTGTGCAAGGCAATTGCACACCTCGTAGGGCTAGGACTACATCTATGGCTGGATGATCGGGGACGAACTTGGCTCCTACTTCGCGAAAGGACCCTTCTGGCTGGTAGTTCTCCACCCACTTGATCCATTTTTTCCGTTCGAGTGGAGGAGCACCCGGTTGGCTAGGGGCGGCTCTTTTGACTGGTGGAGGTTTAATCCAGGGTACTCGGTCTTTCACGATGATCACAGTCTCCAGAGGAGGGGGCCCATAATCGATGGTCTGAATCATCGACGGTTCCTTAGTAGTGGTCTTATCCTTCTGAACTTGGGTTCCAGACCACGCCCATGCGGCTGCATGTGACGTTGACGGCTCCTTGACGGGGGATTTGTTCTTCTGAGTAGGCGATTCAGACCATACCCAACCTGGGTTATGGAAGGTAGAAGTATCATGCAATGATAGGTCTCCTCAGGACAGAGCTAGCGAGTCGTAGTCGTTGACAACCCAATGTAGCGATGCCGCGCTGGATCCTGCGGCAAAATCTATCATAGTTTCGGGAGCTGCGAGCTTAGCGCGCTCCGAGGGTGAAATTTCCCTTACTATGAAGCAGGGGATGCCTTCCTTCAAGTACCATCGCACTTGCCGTTCGTCCATCCCGTTCAACCAGACGCCCAAGTAGCGATCATCCGCCATCCTGGACATGGCGTTGGCGTCTGGCATCCAAAAGGGAGTAGCCTGTAGCCGAGAGACGTAATCCACAAAGGCACGTTTGTCCTTTAAACCTTGTTGAGCTTCCATGACCCAATCAACCACTAGAGGGAATCGTCTGATTTGCTTCAATTTGTCCAAGTTCTCTGAGGTAGGGTTAAGGGGCCGTATGGCAGAACTCCATAACGCTCAGTGCGAAGGTTCTAGGAAATGATGATCTACATATTCCTTGTGAAGCACCTCCATCCTTTTTTCCACTACCTGGTTTAGATGGATGAGATTATCGATGTAGGAAGGATGAATTCGGCCTGTATCGAAGGCGGGAGCTGCATCGCTCTTCCAACAATTCGTCACGGGTTCGTATTCAGGATTATCGCGCGGTGTTACCGCAGCGGGCGTCAAGATTAGAGCCCTCCACTCCTTTCCAGGGAACCAGAGTTGAGTGTTCCTTGTAGGGTCGAAGGGCCCCATATGTCCGTCATAATGTCGGTGTTGTTCCTCGAAGTAACTGACTCTGAGATTCAAGTTGGTCGGTCGAGAACCAGGACAGAAGGGGTTCTGAAAGGAATTAGGGGAGGATATTCTCCAGAGACGACCTTGAGCGGAGACGTATCGATTATGGATAGAAGGAGGTAAGTAATATGAAGGAGGAGGAGGGAGCCGTGGGATTTGCTCGTAGCCCGCAAAGCTGGGATTTCGACGTGGCAGATACCGTCTCGTATCGTTGCCGTCGGCTGCTGGGACATAGCCGAGTCGCCCAACCATAGTAAGCGGCTCGAGTGTAATCGCGCTCGAGAGCAGTGGGACACTTGGACGAGGGCTCTGAAGGAGTTAAAAATTAAAGGTAAGGGAGGCTGTTTACTAGAGAGAAATCGGAGTCTCAAAGATTTGATCGAACTGTACAAGATTATTAATGAACCCTAACCAGAGGATAGGGTTTGGAAAGCAGTATAGTTTGAGGAGGCGAGTTCGAAGGCCATTAAATAGCCAGGCCTTTGGAATCGAGGTAATCCCTTTTGAGTTGAGGGGAGTTCCATAAGTCGTACTCCGATACCCATGAATCGTCGGCGGGTCCGTAACCTTTCCAGCGAACTAAGAACATCCTATGGTTAGCTTTCCTTTTTCCAACCAATCGATGTCCTAGAACTGCTTCGACTTTGTATTCCTCTGATGCTCGGAGATCACGCATTGAGGGCAGTTTTGATCGTTCTCCAAATCGTTCAGGTGAAGTCACGTATTTCTTTAAATGTTCCAAGTTGAACACTGGATGCATCAAGTAGGTATCTGGCAACCGTAATCGATACACCATGGGATTAATTCTTTCGATGACCTTGAAGGGTCCAATCATTCTTTGGACGAGTTTTTTACTGGTGCCTTCAACATCCACTAATTCAAGGGAATGGGGATTTACTAGAGCGTAATCTCCCACATTCAATTCCTGTACTGGACGTCTTTTCTTGTCGTACGCTTTCGCCTGTCTATCTTGGGCTAAGGCAATAGCATCTTTGGCGAAGTTACGATGCATTTCTAACGCTTCAACGAAATCTTCAGCCGTTTGACTGGGCAGAAAAGGGCGGTGAGCAGGATCGATTTCCGGTACTATCGCACTCACAGAGGTCCTAGGGTTATATCCCATGAGTAGGAAGTTAGGGGAGTATTTTGAAGACGAATGCACGCTGCTGTTGTAGGAATAGGCTAGAACACTGAGCCAATTCGACCAGTTCTCCTTATCCGAGGAGACGTAAGCGCAAAGCATTTGTTCGATGGTGGCATTAAGGACTTCGGTTTGTCCATCAGTTTGGGGATGATGAGCGGAGGATAGTGCCATAACACTCCCGTAGTTAGCCACTACCGATCTCCAGAAAATAGTAGCCCATCGTCTGTCTCGGTCCGAAATTATGACTTAGGGTAGTCCGTACATGTTTACTACCCTTTCCACGAAGAGTTTGGCAAATCCTTCCTGGGATAATGTGGTATGAGTGGGAATTACAATGGCAAATTTGGTAAGTTTATCCACTATCACTAGTATCGCGGTGTATTTCTGGTCTCCGGAAGGTGGCAGTCCAGTAATCATGTCCATGGTGACCGTCGAGAACGGCCTCGAAGGAATATGCGCGGGTCTTAACGCGCCCATCTTGGCCCGATGGTCTGTTTTTATCTTTTGACAAATGTCACACGAGGTAGCATAGGTCTCGGCGTCCTTACTCATGGTTGGCCAGTAGAATAGTTCCTGGAGTCGCGCTAGAAAGCGGCGGGGTCCAGCATGAGCACTCTCGTATGGGGATTCGTGTATCCACCGCAACACGTAGTTGATCTTTGCGTTCGGTACACACAATTGCGTTCTCCAACCTGTGTTGATGAAGTAAAGTAAGCCGTCTCGTCCTCTTTGAAAGTGGCTAGCAGAGATTATTGTTCGTTCGTTAGGTTGAATTTGAATATAACGCAGGGCGAAGAATTTGTCCTGTTCGTAGCCTTCAGCGAATTCTTTGCAGACAACAGGGTCTACTGCTATGAGCAATTGTGTCCGGCTCGACCATTCTTCATCTGGCGGTAGCTCCAAAGGTTTGGTTCCAGCTGGATACGACCAATGGTCGGACTTGGGGAAGGGTAAGACTTCACCTTGCTCGTCGGAGTTATTGAGAGTGGTCATTTCATCTGCTACGGCGTTGGACTCGTTCTGTTCATTGCTAGTAGAATCCATAGTAGTTTTGCGCCTTTCCTCAGCAGCGAGCTGACGTCTTGTCCGGACTGCGGAGGCGTGTTTGTCGATGACTGGTAGCTACCACTTACATCATGTACTCCTGAGCTGTACCATAGAAGTTCCTGCTTAGCTACCGTGAATGAAATGAAATGAATTTTCATTCATTCACGGCACCTGTTTCATTCTAGATAATTTATTCTGTTTCATTCATTCCTGGCGACTGTTTCATTTTTTTCTTTCATTCCACCAGGGCAACTGTTTCATTCCTTGCTTCATTCTTCTCAGGTGCCTATTTCATTGTTAGAGCTGGGAAAATGATTATGTAATTGATACAAAATATTTAAGTGCCTTATTTGGCAACAGCATGCCTATCTCATTGTGTATTTGAGCCTCAAATGCAAAAGTACCCCCATATGGCCCCCCACACCACTGCAGTAGGGCACAACACATATCAGGCATAATTGTATATTATTTCCTTATTTAGATGTGTGTTAAAACATCGAAATTGTTGCCTGAAAGAATGAAACAAAAATGAAATAACTGCCTGGAAAGAATGAAATGAAAATTCCATGGCAATGAATGAATGAAAAAAATGAAACAGTTGCCAGGAATGAATGAAATGAAAGAATAAAGCAAAAAATGAAACAGTTGCCATGGTGGAATGAAATTAAAAAAATGAAAGAGTCGCCAGGCATGAATGAAATAGAATAAATTGCATTCTTGTCAGTAGAAATGAAGAAAAAATTGAGATGAAATGAAATGAAACAAAAAGTATTTCATTCTCGACGGCAATGAATGAGAATGACTTGGAATGAAACAGGTGCCGTGAATGAATGAAAATTCATTTCATTTCATTCACGGTAGTTAAGCAGGAACTTCTATGGTACATGCCAGGTTTTACATGATGTAAATGGCAGCTACTAGTGGATGAGAAGCGACCCATGATAAGATACCGAGAGTGCTCACGTTTAAACGGCGAGTGCGCCGCCGGTTTGCCCATTCTTCATCCAGCCTTTCAGCTTCAACCCTTATTTGCTTTTGTTCGGTGGTTTCAGGATCTCCATGAGCTGGAGCAATCGAATTCTGGTACTTGTAACGCGTGCGACGGAGTTTGGTGATGAGGACCCGCTTTACAAAGCCGATGTCCTTGAATTGGCATGGGAAGGTCAAATCTTCAGTGTCTCTGATTTTCGGAATGATGTTGACTGCCATATGGTAGAGCAGCTGGTCGTTCCACATGCTGCTCATCTTCGAAGACCAGTCAAAGACAGGCTCATCGAGGGTGGGACCGTCGTTGTTGTCGTTTTCGAAGTCGTTGACCAAGCACCGGTCTGCGGTCTTAGTGGCATGTGTATTCCAGAGGCTCTTTCCCTTCAAATAATCCTTCAGGATGGTCTAGCGGTACTGACATCAGGATCTGGTCATGCATATACCAAAGACGCTTACATGAAATGATTTCTCTTCATCAGTCTTCTCACCAGTTGGTTTTCTTGCGGAGATGAACTCGTTGCCGTCAGCGGAAGATTCAGAACTTCCGTCATGGGTCATTGGTTCACTGTTTCGGTGGGAGGCTGACCTCTTGGGTGATTTCTTCGATGGCGTTGCCTTTGATGGTGTCGTCATTGTCTCTATAGCCTCTTTCACCCCTTGTTTCACCCCTTCCTGCACGGCTATTCCGACGCCACGCAGAAGAAGTGAGGTAAGTTCCGATGAAAGCTGTGGCCCATCTAAGTATGTGTGTACAAAGATCTTAGCCAACACTCACCCCGCTCGAAGCCATAAAATTTCCAATGTCCAACGGAGCATCAGTTGCGCCAGAGGTGGGTGGACGAGCTGTTCCGTTATCGTCAGAGGTGCCTTCCATGTTGCGGTGGATGTTTTTGCTATTCTGCAATTTCTAAGCGGATGGATTATCTTAAACACGAAAGTAACTTACTGTGATAGGGCTAGGGTCATTGGTTTGGATGTTCTACAATCTCTAAGCCAATATATCATTTTCAACGCAGAAGCGACTTACAGTGATAGGCCTGGGATTAGCAGGCGGGTTTTCCGACATGTTCACGTCTCGGTCCGAAAGCTAATTCCCATCGCCCAGTGAGCAAATATAGAGAGATAACTCAGAGGACGAACCAAGTGAGAAATTGTGGTCATGGTCGCATTTCCTGGTGGAGTTGTTTGTGAGCCTGAAGCATGGCTGTAGTTTCGAGGAACAGGTATTTCCGGTTGCAGCTTTGGCACCAAATCAGTAAACCAAAGACAAAGATCACAGGGATGAACCAAGGGAGAATCCCCGATCATCGATAGTCCTTGCAGCGGCATTAATTCGGTGCCCAGTTCCTGATGCATATTGACGTCTTGGAGGAAAGGGTTGGGTTGTGACTGTTAGATACCGGTTAGTGAAGCATCAAGGACATTGATGATGTTGCACATGGAGTATAAGAGCGACAGCTTGTTCCTCCTCTTGATCACGTGTTCCCTGGAAAGCTGGAGCAACCGCTGGGATTGGATATTGAGCTCCAGGGTTTGAGTTTTCATGTGGGAACTAAGGACAGGTAGTCAGTCACAGCCCGTCCAATGATCCAGAGCGAAACCTGCCTGCGCTTCTGGACTTGATTGGACGATAGGCCCCTCAATTGCCTGGGGTGGGTTTTGTGCCGTTTGAGTTGAAGTCGTGTGAATAGTGTCCAAGCTTGAGGAGGAAGGGGCCTGTTCCACATGGTAGTTCAAATTTGGCATTTCAGAGATCTGAATGTACCTGCCCCGTTGAAACATTTGATTGCGAGGCAAAGTTCGGGTTGGGGGCATCAGGAGCCGAAAACTATGCGTAAAACGTTATTTAAGATTTGACAATGGCAACAAGGAGGGAGAGCTTACCAGTACCGAAAGTGCCTGTGCAGCGCTTTGGGAAGTAGCTCGACGTTGGAGGAGTGATGAAGCTACTGCACTTCGCAGATATGGGCATAGTGCATCTCGAGGCGGTGAAGAGTTATGTTTGGCTGGCACCATGTGGCTTTGGACTGGCGATTGAGCGGATTCTTGTTGAGATGCAGCTCACCGCCGGAAGTGCATTTGTAGTGGATACGAACAATAGTGTTGTCTACTGAAGAGTCAAAATGTTTCTCCTTGAGTTCCAACCGAGCGGGCAACATACCAATTGTAAGAGCATCGCGACGCGTCAATAACCCCTATGCCAACCGACACCTACAATAACATGTACAGCACGCCCTGGAAACGTCAACATTGATGTCGACCAGCCACAGAACAATTACTCACTCCTGTAGGACCTCAGGCTCGCCGATTACTATTGACCGGGCTATTACCGGTCAATCACTCATCTATTGTATATTGGTTCTGAACTACATATGTACTACGAATATATGGTTTCCCCAGTGTCATGGTGAGTGAGTGGTTGTGGGAGGAAAAGAGGCAACAGGAACACACTGAGTTGGTTTTGACAACGGCTACCTTAGGGCAGCCTCACATCTTTTCACGTGATCCTTGTAAGGCTCCCCTAAAGTCACTCAAGCCAATAGACGCCAAACCACACAAACACACTCTCCTGCTCACTCCCACTCATCATAGATACATTCATAGTAGAACTTTACCTTAGCTGTAAGAAGTAAGCGTAGGAAACGAAATAAAGAACAAGAAGAAAGAGAATCGTAAAAAACAAAAAGAAAGATAATCAGAATGCAGGAATGAGGAACAGGAGACAATTGGCCACTTTTTTTGTTCTTTGTGGTCTATAACTGACGGGATGATAGGTATCCTCTATACCTGCCTACGATGAATTCAACCACCATCCCTATGGTAAGTACTCAGAACATGCATAGCAATGGCCGTTCTCATACGATCTTAGTTTAAGTGCAAGCAAACACTCACTCGCCACACTAATGCGATCAATACCCTCCAAATAAGCCAAGATGGCTCAAGGCTTCTCAGTGGAGGTGAGCTTGCGTCGATCTTAGCGTTGATCTTAGCAGTGTATCCAATCTTCGATCTTAGCAGCATATCCAATCTAATTTATTTTACACAGGCGATGATTGTCTCGTTATAGTTTGGGACTTGGTCCAAGGGATCGAATTCCAGGTCATCTCCATCTTATTCAACGGCTCCATTTCCTCTTCGGCTTGGACGCCCACATCGCTCGATCCAATTTCAAGCTTTGCTTTTGGCTGCGCTGACGGTACTTTGTCGGTTTATTGCCAGGTGCCAACGAAGGTAAGCCCTGCTGCCTTTCTCATCCCCCTTCACTAACTCTATATTATAGAATCATTATGATCTTGCTGCCTCTGTAGCCGCTCATGTTGGACCTGTCGAGGACATCAATTTCAGCTTGGGGAGCAAACAAATCGCTACCGTCGGAAACGGCTGTCTGAAATTGTGGACGATTGATTCGAACAGTGAGCTTCTGAAACCATTCATTGAACGCTACTAAATTGGGGAGATTAGGACAACTCTCCAACATCATTGCGACGAGTCCACGGGAAGCTATCGCTAGGAGCGTTTCCTTTTTTGATCAGGGCTCAAGTGTGCTTGTCACTTATTTGGAGTCGCACGAAGTGTAGGTGGCCTGTAAGTCCGGCGCCTTCTTTCCAAGCTCATTTTTGTCTTCACTCTGTAGAGTTGCATATCAGGTCTCGCCTTGGACTATGTTGTGGTCATACCAGTTACCGACTCGAATGTGCGTAGGCACAACATACCATAATTCTTGATTTGATGGGCGCATGCCAGTGGCCATGCGACGATGGCAGCGGACAACCAGTTACTGATAGTGACAAATCTTGTCAACGGAATCGACATACACTCACTGCCTCCAGGCCAACCACTGCGATCATTCACCCATCCCATTCATCTCAATGTTCCACTTCTCGTTTCTTCTGCGCTTCAAGGGTCTCTCATAGTTGTTGGTGGAGATAATGGGTCTGCTCGGGTCTACGACTCCTGCGTAGGTCTACTTACGGTTCTTCCACATGGACAAGGTATTTTAATTTCCTTTAGACCTATTCTAAAGCTGATAGCTCTTACAAGTTGGAACACTGGTGCAGATTGTTACGGTAACTTCCTTCCATCGGTTGTATCATTCTTAAGAATTCTCATTTGCTGAATAGACATATTCCTCTTCAGATGGATGCCTTATCATCACAGGCTCCTCGGACTCAAACGGTGCTGCCATCAAGGTTTGGGAACCTGCTAAGGTAAAGTATCTTGAGCGCTATTGTAATTCATGACAATTTCGAATAAGAGTTTTCCCTCCTAGGTTGAGAATGTGATCCCACTGGTCCAGGTCCAAGCCCAACCTCACCACGCCGCATCTAACTCCTTGAAATTATGGCAGGCCGTCGCACTGGTTGTGACCTTGTTGGTTGGTCAGTTCATAATAACGGTCCGATTCTCTAAATAGAGTTCACCCCATGAGTAACTTTGATTATCCCGTGAGTGGCCCTTTCACCGGGATATTCGCTTCGTTTCCTGGAAATACTCCAAATCTGACATTTGCTTCGTCTTTTTGACAGATTTGATGTCAGATTATATATATGTTGTTGTATATTTACACAGACCATTTTCCAAGTATGGCGTCAATACGGATTTTGAAATTGTTCAATAATATGTTCTATATACAGATTTTGTACCTGTAAGAAGCTGTGAAAGTATGATATATTAGGCTACATATTTTTTGTTTGTCCTAAGATTTGTCAACTTTTCAAAGGAATCAAACACAATTATAATAAAGTTTGATGGAAATTTTAAAATATAACAATAAGATTCGGCCCTCGGCGGAATTGGTTGTCGGACTAAAAATCTTATAATGAGTCCGTCTTATCAACAAACAATAGTCAAAAATGATTAATTTGTCCTTGCATCTGTCAATCTCTTCGCTTAGGTGTCCGATCATCCCTTGTTTCAGGTGATAGAAGTTACACGATGACTTCCCCTAATATATTTCGAATTCTAGTGGCATCGAGTTTCGATTTCTGACTCTTGGCTTCTATCACTTTGAATATCAAGGTGGCTATGAATTTAGTGGAGATGGCAACAACACGGTCGGCGCGGTGTTCCCCAGGTCTCAGGACAAGAAGAAAGGGAGAAATGCGGCCTTCCAGAGGCAGTACGATGGTTTCATTGATGGCATTTTCCAGTGCGCCGATTGTAACAGACTGAGCATATCTTTTGAGTCGGCTCTCCCAAGTCAATGAATGCCCAGCTTGTGAGTATACTATCCGGGCTGAAGGCCCAAAGTTTGCAAGTGCATTAGCCAGGACACGTTCTGGATGTACCTGCTGCTGTAATTGCCGCCTATATGGCACAATGAAGAATATTGAAAATCCGAAAGGGTTAATTGGCCTACCCAGATAAGATGTCTTTCAATGACCATGGCTTCATAATGTATTGTGTGCATGTCATCGAATTCGATGGTCGCCTAAAATGACTGCCATGCGGAGAGGCGGCCTCGAGTATGAAAAGACGAAGCATTCGCAAATACTGGGGAACTTCCTCAAGATGTCGTCCAGTTTTCACGAGGCACCATGTTGTGAGTGGAAGATTTGGGAGGTCATTCGCTCGAGTTTTCCGTGCTGAGTCGACCCAGTATTTATAGGTCTTTCCTTCATTGAAGAAGTAGAATCCATTGGGCTCATTCATAAACAACGTGGGGAGCCCCGCTTCCAGTCGAAGGCGGAGGACCACAAATAGAAATGTTGTTTTTCCTGCAAATGAATGAAACCCGTGAGCTGAGATGATGATGTTGGAAACCAACGTACCAATGCCTGCGTGTCCGTGCAAAGTAAATGTTTTAGAGCGCTGCTGAAGGTTGTCGGGCTTCCTTGTGTGCGTCCAGAACGGATTACCATCTGCGAGAAAACCAGAATTTGTCCGTTGGCTTGAATATGCGCCACGCTCGAAGAATTCCAACACAGTGTTCAGAGCAAGTTCGTATTCAGGTAGGACCAATACTTTGGACAATGGAACGCCCGTCAAAGCTTTTAGCCAGGGTACCTCCATGAAAGTGCATGGCTCTAGCTCTACATTGCACTTGTCATCGTCTCGGGGAATATCACATGTATCGTAGGCGATGAAATCGCCGCCGCTTGCAGAGAGGATCGCCAGGGCGTGGTTTTCCTTGAGGGGCCCTAGTGCTAGGTCGAGTAAGTCAGCATGAGGTGGTGGCAGCATGCAAGAACGTAACTAACCCACTATGGGGCGAAGCTGGTCATGCTCTTGTGAGGGGGGTACGTTTAGATAAAAAATAGATGGAATAGCATACAGAGGACTCACTGGGAAGGCGCACGATCAGGCTCAACTGTGAACGGGGAGGCTCAAAAGGCCAGTACTCTGAGACAAAATGCTCCTCCAGGAGCTGGTGCTTCTCCAATTCCTCTGGCAATTGTCCAGGGTATGACACCTACCAGCAGATCAATGCCAAAAAATCGTGTAGTCAATGAGGAGCTTAACGACACCGAGTATTACCCCTTCTACTCCCGCTCGCGATAGGTCTGGCCTAATAGTTGCTAACAGGTCTTTCTTGAACAAAGCCACGCTCAAGCTAAACATTGTGACGACTTGAGTGATTCGGTTTTCCTCGCCCTCCACAAAAGCCAGCAAAGCGAGACGTGGACCACCCCAAAATTTGACCTGGAGGGAGTTCTCCTTCAAATTCGGGGTAATTTCCGCGAGCTCTGTAGATGGTCCAAGCTTTTGCCAACGCTCTCCCAACGATGTGTCATCTGAATGGTCCTTCTGTTGAAGGGTGAGCACAATCTAAATGATATAGTTAATGTGGCACACATATAATAAATCAAGGTCAAAATAAGTTGTAGGAACGAGGCATCCCCTTGCACTCAAGGTTTTCCAAATGACTTGTTGGAGGTCTATTCCCGATGTGTGGATGCCCGCTTGAACTGGGAAGGGCTCACTACCTTCCAGGACTGCTGAGAAAGTCACCAAGGGATGACCGTAAATTGTCACGAAAATGCTGATGACGTTTTTTGGAGGCTGGCATGACCAATAGCGGCCAAGGCGCGCCATAGAAGCAAGCTGTTGAGAGGAAACAGGGACTCCTGACAAGCTTGTGCAGTGGCAAAATTCCACTCCTATACCATAGAGACTAACTCTATACGGGGACTTGGGAAGGCCTTTTTTTCCGTGATCTTCTGCTAGAGACTTCAGAATTCTGACCTTCAAATCATGTACATTGATCTTAGCGTCTGCAGGTATCAAAAAAACCTGTGTGGGTTCATTGCCTTCGACGAAATACCACAGTTCCCGAAGATCAGTCATCAAGTGAGGGTGGAAGAACTAGGGAGAGGAGAGAAACAGGTCTCGACTATCACATTTCACGTGACGCGTGACGTCGTCTAGATGTGAAGTCATACATGGGACAAACATGGGACTCCTTAAGCCCAAGTTCCTCGATAGAGTCCAAGACTTGCTCATATACGCCAATTGAGACATCGTCAAAAGGTGGTACTGGATGAGTGACATTAAAACAGTTACAGTGCTTTGCATTGCCGTCTGCACAAGGGAGTTTCGAAAACTCTATTTGGTTTTGTATTTTCGTCACAGATTGTCACGTATCAGAACCAGATCTGAGCACACAATTTGCACACAACCAACTCCCATGGCGCCATAAGGATCAGATGCGATGCGCACACGGATTACCATTTGGCATGGTGGGCATCATCTCTCAGCACAAGAGATTTTAGGCCTTGTTGGATGAAGTGGTCTGTTTCTCCCTGCTTTGTGGCAGTCACGGTACAACACATACAAACAGGTTTTCCAAATTCCGTTGTGCAGACGGCAGTGCAAAGCACTGTAGTAGGTATAGTGTCGGTGAAGAAGAAAACTATCTCACACTTGACGTTTAACTTGATCGAAGATGTGTATCATGTTACCCCATGGTACTTAGTAAGGTAGTACCCATCTCCGTCTTAGGTCACAGCACCGGAACTTGGGTTTATGAAGTATGATTTGTTCTGCCAGTAAATAGAGGGCTCCGAAGCAGCTGCGACTAAAAATATATCCAACACAAAATAATATACATACAGAAGAAAAAAAACTACCCTCGCCAACTCTTTCCAATTGGTGGAGCATCAGCACTGTCCACGAGGACCCGTCTAGGTCCACCACCCCTCCCAGCAGGTATCGGGGGAGCTTTCGATACCCTTCCCCGCCCTGTATCAAACGCTGGTTTACTTGCATTCGGTTTCGCATCGGCTGCTTTCTTGCTGCTTTCTACGGGTCCAGTAGAAACTTTGATAGGACCAGGAGGAGATACCTTTCCTGTTCCCGTCGCCTTGGTGCTCTTGGAGTTATCGCTGTTCTCCTTCTCCAACACCATGCGACCACGCGTACCAGCATTAGATGCCAGCGCTTCAGCTTTCGCCTTTCCTTTCGCCACTGTCGATGGTGCAATTGAGGTCGACTTCTTCGGGTCAGGGAAGAATACCCTTCCTTTCCCTGGTAGCGCACCACCCTTGATTTGCACATTTCTCTCAACCTTTTTTTCCTGAAGCGGCGTATCAGGTGGACTCTCAACCCCCAATTCCGCAGCGAGTGACATTTTCTCTTCCTGTGGCGCCGGTGGAAGCAGCGATCCACTCCCATAACCCAATCCACCACCGCTTTCATCCTCCTCCCTGACCACGCCAAGCCCAGAGGAATCACCCTCAAAAACATGGCTCAGGTTGATGCTCAGTGGTGAATCCGCTAACATTAATATTCGACTCAGCGGACTAGGTTTGGCAGGCGAATACGCATGAATCATGCGCTGTGCAAAGGGTTTGGCGACGGGGAAGGGGCGGCGCGCGGCTGGAGGAGTTGACGGCGTGATTTCAGTAGATTCTGAACTCAACGACGATGATGACGGTATCGAATCGGTTACAGATGAAGACGATGAGGCCTCTGGGGGCGAGATGGGTGCGGCAGGAGGGAGCGCAGGTCGCGTAGGCAAAGAAGCATGTGGCGAAGGTGGAGGAAGAACGAACGAACTCGGGAGTAGTGACGCAGCGAGGGGTTTGAGGAATGTGGGAGCCGGTAAAGGAGGGGGTATGACCTCCGTCTCATACGCTGGTACAACTTTGACGGGTGATGCCAATGACCGACGGGTCATTTTCCTCGGACTTGCCTTGCCAACATTGATCTTTACAGGCGATTTCCTGGGAGATTTGCGTGGTGACTTCACGGGCGACATGGATTTATAAGTTGTTGATTGTCGAGCTGGTGACGCTGGAGCAGGCGTTGGTGGAAGGTCTGCCAACATCACCTCGACTTGCCACGACCTTTTTTCGTCCAGGAACTTGATGCGCTCGGCCTTGACCAACAAGCGGTGTCAGAAACCTCATCAACACCAAACTATCCATCTTACCTCCATCGCAGCTTTCTCTCTCCCCAACTTCATGGCAGCTTCTGTGAACTTCTGCCTTTCCATATCCAGCTCCAGTCTAATCTTGTCAAGCCTGTCTTTCTCCTGGTCTCGCAGAGGCACGGACATAAGTTCAACGCTCATATCATCAATATCGTTCGTGGCAACACGGTGGTCCTCTGCGAACTTATCAAACATAGCTTGCGTTTCTACCGCGTGTGCCATAGATTGCTTTTGCGAGCGAGCTATTATAAACAGTCAATCTAAAGCTCCTTGCTTGAAGTGAACATGAATGTTTCAAACCTAGCTCTTCCTTTAATGCGGTGATGATGCCTTGAAGGCGTTCAATTTCGCCAGTGGGAAGTTGAGGGACAGAGCTTGGTGTTGGTGGGTTGAGAGCTCGACTAGATAGAGCTGTCAAACTCTCCTGTAATCCTTCAATGACACTCGCTATTTTATCAGCGGCCATGGTCGTCGGTGACATTGGGAACAGCGTCGTGAGCGTGAAAGGAACGGGCTAAGAAAGCCAACTCAGATTCATGCCAATATATTGAAAGTAAAAGCCCACTCACCTCTTCAATCTCCTTCTCCGAAAGACAACTTCGAGCTTTATGCAACGCCAACTGCATCTCATTCACCGTTCTGAGCACCAACTTCCTCAAATGGAGATTCTCCACCCCAAGCTGCTCCCTGGCCTGTTCAGCCTGCTCCAACGCGACCTCCAAAAACCCTTGTCCCTTACCAAGGACCTCCGAACCGTCTACAACAGCAGCGTTGGCACACCGCATGCCGCTCGGTGTTAATTTGAGCTGCGCATCTGAGAGTTTCTGCCACTTCTCCGCCGTCCTCTCTATGTCTTTTTCTTTCTTTTTCATTTCGGCTTGCGCTGTTGCTCGCACCCCCTGCAGGTTCGTTCGTGTACGCTGGAGCTCTGCGGTTGTTTGCTTGTGTGCATGTTCTGAAGTTTGAAGGGAGCGAAGGGCCGTACTGTGTGATGAATAAGACTATAGTTGGGGAGGAAATGGCAGTAGTCAATTACATACGTCAAGCGTGATTTATGGAGATTCGTTTCACGTTCTGCCTTTGCTGCTCTCTCCACCGCAGTGCGGTGCATTGACATGAGTCGTTCATGGTCGTAAGATAACGTTCGTAACTTCGTCGTTAGCTCTTCCGTCCGCTCCATGTCTTCCTATACATAGATATTGACAATGACCTGGGGCAGAACAAAGCTCACTCACCACTCGTTGACCTAACATGCTAAGCAGACACTTGACAACACGTTGCGCATCGTCAACCGACGTCCCATCCAACGAAAGGCCAGGCTTAGTCGTAAACCCATGGGCAACCAGCTGTGAGTTGATGAACTCGAGGCTGGATGTGGACAGCATCACGGAGTCCATAGAGCCATTCTGAAACGAGGGAGAGGCGAAGTCTGATATTGATACGTTGTTGGCGTCCCAGCGGACGAGTTTCTTGGGTGTCACCGCCATGACCTCAATGTAGGTCGCGCGTTGGCTCGAGCTCACTACAAACATCAACTTGACAACTTTCGACGCGCTCATCACGTGATCGTGACATGTCTTCTAGGTTCGCGTGCTTTCCTTCAAAGCTGTTTACTACGTCAAATGGAAAAGCGGAAAATGGTAACTAATTTGCTTCACATATTAGGGCTCAATCCTTTCATAAACCCAACGAAGTATGCACCAAGCTCCTTCACGTTCTCGAATGGTGCAACCATCCCCACGTATCCGTCCGGTCGAACAACAACAACAGCGCCCACCGATGGTTCAATTCCATAATTCACATAACCATCTCCGCCTTGCTTCCCCCTAACGTCTTTATCGTCAAGGAGTATCCTGCATCAACAAAATTGGTTTAAACTGGTGGTTGACATAATGAACATATGAAACACTCACTTCGACCAATGGCACCCAAAAAGCTCCGAAAGTTCATTATGCCTCACATCTGCCTTCTTGGTGCAACTGATTGCTATAATTTCAAACACAGCCGTAAGACCATCCGGTGAATATGGGCGAACAACATCTCTAATATCTTCAGCCACGCGACGAATACGATCTCTTCGTGTAGCATCCGAGGAGTCGCCTACAAACACTAGCAGTTTGAAGCGGCTATCCGCCGGCAGGAGGTCCTGGATCTCTATGGGCCTTGAATCCGCAGCTCGCACGAATATCTGGGGTAGCAATCGCTGTCCTATAATCAACTTTTTGGCATGTGCCTGGTAGCTTGGGTCGGTTATCGGAGAAGGCGCATAGTGAATCCCGATTCCACTCGTAAAGCCGCTAAAGGTTTGAAAGATTTTGAGGAAGTCCTCATGGGAAACGCCGTCCATGCACTCCTCCGTTCGAGGCTTGCCAGAAAAGAGCCTTGCGAACTGTCGGTCAAAAGAGATGAGGTTCTGTGCGTATTCTCGTCGCTCCAGCTCGTACTGAATATGACAATCAGAATGATATCAGCAACAAAATAGGTCCACTTACAGTTTGTAGTAGCGAGAGGTTGGCCCAGCCTCTCAGAACTTGTGTCAGCTTCCACGCTGGAAAAAAAATTGAGGTGCTTAGTGCAATGGGAGTTGACAAGTATTGCTTACCCAAGTTGTGTGTGTCGTTCATGCTTGCATTCATACCCTGCCCTGTGCTGCATTGCAGTCAAGTCATTTAATTTCGTCAACCAGCTCACCAGCCTTTGGAGAATGTGTATGACACGCATCTCCAGCGATGAAAACCCTATCTTTGACAGAGAACTTTGACGCAACACGCTGACCAACTACAACGAGTCTGTCAGAGTGTTTCAACTAGTTATAATGGAAACGTACTGATGTAAATAGTCCACCAATCAAAGCTCTCTGGAGTCTTGAAACTGTAAGGATGGAAAATCTTTCGCGCTACCTGCATAAAATCAAGGGTTGAGACGAAATGGAAAGCAGACAAGAAGACCGAACACTTGCGTCAAGCAATTCATGCGGCCCGATCTTACTTTTATCAACCCTACCGCTCTCCTCATCCACAGCGTTCCGATCGTCAAGCTGGACATACAGCCTAACCTTGTCTTCCTCTCTGGGTACGATCATGCAAGATCCGTTATTCGAATGGATAGCACATCTGTTTCGAATATCCGGAAAATCTGTGTCGGGCGTCATATCCACAACACCCCAGATATAATCCGTCTGTTCTCCGTCCATCGTAAGACCGAGTGTCTTGCGGACCCAAGAGTGGGCACCTGTACATGACAGTTATAGACTTGCATCAGTCCCTGAAGTTTGAGCAACTACGCTTGCTTACCATCAGCGCCGATAACAAATTTAGCATGTACAATTTCCGATTCTTCGTGATCATCAAAAGGATTGAGATTACGCAAGACCACCTGTTACGACGTCACTAGATTCTCATTCACAAATCTTCGCTCAAGAAAGAAGCTTACTCGCACAGGATGGGAATTGACGTCCTTGAGCTGATCATCATCTTCTGATACTTGAATAGACGTTGGGATGAGGGGTCGGCAGACCTTGACGCCTAGACTCTCCATAGAGTCGAGGAATATCGCCTCAATCGCACCTTGGTGCAAAGTAACCTGGTTAAAATCAGGATTGTAATCTACCGTTCCTGAGCTCCTCACCTCAAATGGAAACCGCGCTGAAGGTGCAGTAACATCTGGGACCCTGTCCGTAAGCTGTGATGAAGTCATTAGCGACACCGCTCGTCAAAACAGACTAATCAATAATCACCTCAATTCCGCCACTAGCCGAAGGGTTGTAGAACGCCTGGGACGCAGCATCAACGAGGACTCTCATCAACCCTTGATAAAACCCACCGCCATATGCATCTGGTTCCCCTCTCTCAATAGTCTCTCTGCAAGACCATAGCTCTGGTTAAATGCTCAACAATTTGCGGCACGAAAATGACGAAAGAATCATGCCTGGAGCACCTCTATGGTTCGAGGTTGAATACCATCTGCTTGGCCTGCCGCTACCTTGTCAGGTCTGGAAAAAAGAAACTCAGTCGGCGTGTATACCAATGAAAGTGTCAACGCACCTTTGGTCGACGATCCGAACATTGACACCCGATTTCGCCAGCGCATTGGCGGCCATTAAACCAGCTGGCCCCGCACCAATGATAAGCACATCCACGTTAGATTCTTTGATCAAGCTCGTATTTCGTTTCTCTCCCATATACCACCTGTAGAATTGACGCATTGAATCCAAAAGCATTGTAGGCAAAGTGGGTGAACAAAAGCTGGGATCCTTTGTTGAGCAACCTTCGTTTTGTGTCTTTCGGAACAAGCCATAAGAGGGGAGATAGTAAGGAGCAAACTACCCGCGGTCTGTGGCATAAGAGACCAAAGAGGGGAATGCCTGCCACACGGAATGGAGTCAAGTGTGGTTGCGACTATTTTAAGAAACATGTGTTTAGATCAGTATCGGTCAGCAAGCGAGAGCTCGGAGCGGCCAAGGCTTTAGTGTGGTATACCTTCTATAACAAGTGTCAAATTCACCAGAACAACTCCGCGAATTCGGATGTCAACATCTGTCCAATGATGGCGAAGATCAGATCCCGCCGAGAGAACATTCCCAGTTAAATTTGTACTTACCTATATTAGCCATGGTGGCATTGCCTTCGCCGCGGTCGTCCATAACCTAGCTTCGTGAGAGTGACTCAAAACCGTAAAATGATATGAGGATTATCTCATCAGTGCTTTGAACCTTGAATGAAATTTCTGGATCCATATTTGACCCTCAAAGTTTGTGAGCCGTATACAAAATATGATATTGCAGGTCATAGGAAGAAAAACAAAACATACTAAAGACTGGGTATAGTACATTAGCAATCATGTTGCCAGAGTAGCGAAGATATAAAAGCATCTGTAAAAAAAAATCTCAGCCGGAGTGAGGAAACACGAGGAACAGAAGGACGTACTTATGTACATGTGAAGAATAGATAGCCGTGCAGCGAAAGCAATGACTCAGACTTGGTCATAAAAAACGTTTTCTATATATTGTGATTCCGTTGCACCCTGTTTAGTAGAAAGAATGTCGTAGACCTATGATGGCGGTGAGATAGCTTTGGCCAGTAACAACCATCGAACTGACCTCTTGGGGTGGATTGAGACCTAACATCGACGCCCTCTCCCAACGTTCAATTCGAGTGACACCTACGCAAGGTCCATATTGGTCTGAACTGTAAAGGTGATAGAATAAGTAATGTCCAGCGTGAAAAACGGTCGGCATACAGGTCGAAAACGCGAAGAATCTCATGAATCTTGGTCTGGCCTTCACCATGTACTAACAAAGTATAAGCAAGAGGAGCATGAGACACATCAAAGGAGACTCACTTGGTAGCATATGTCCCATCTTGTCTCGAACAAGCGTATAGTGCTTGTTGTACTTCCTATCCTTCGGATTCAACTCTGGCCTTGAGGCTTCTTCCACAGCCTTCCCAGCCCTTGAGTTCTCCGTAGCGTCTTTTGACTTGAACACACTCGTTGGCACAGGCTCGGCCCTGGTTTCGGCTGAAGACTTCGAGGTCTGCCTCGTACTTTTCTGGGCAGATGTATGAACCTTCCCCTCAGCCTTAGCGGGAGGAGGAGAGGTAGATGAGCTCTCAATTTCATCAGAATCTTCGCTGCTGCTTTCAACAGCTCGTTTTTTGGAGGATGTTGGGGCGGCGACGGTGACAGAGTTTGTATTCTTCAATTTTGCGCTTGTTGTGGCTGCCGTTGGTTTGCTTGAGGCAAAGGAAAGTGTTCCTTGCCTTAAGGAGGTTGTTTTCTTAGCAGGTGCCATTGGAATTAGACGACGAAAAGATATGAAGCACTTTTAGTTTATGAGGACGGATCGTAAGGAGGTGGTTGGATTCAACTCGAATTAGGGGCTGTGTCATCCAGACGTAACGTGATCGTACTATTCCGTAAACAAGACCAAAGAACGCGTGCCTCAAATTTCTGTGAGCAGCGCGCATCTGGAATGAAGTACTGAATCAGGAAGGCACCCCATAATACATACTTGACAGCAGAATATTAACGGGTGTAATTCGGATAAATAAAACATCAATAGTAGATACATAAATATCACTGAGGAGAGCCATCCCTAACATGATATACCTGTCTAACCTTGCCCTGTCCCACAGCAATGTTCTAACTCCTCCTCCTCCTCCTTCCTTAGTCGATTCATAGTTGCTTCTAGAACTTTTCTCCGTCTTTCCTCCATTGACTCATCTACAGTCGAGCCGGAAGGTTCACTGTCCTTCCCAAGAACATATCCAGTATCTGCCCCCACCTCTGATGGTGGCATATAAACATCACCTGGGAACGAGCCAGAGAGTGTGTGCGTCCCTTCCACTGCCAAACGCTCGAATTCAGCGACTTCGCGGTTCAGTTTGGAGTTCAGCTCTTTGAACTACAACATATAACTAAGCATCTCAATTTAAAAATACATAGTCAAACGGGCTCACGTTATTATCATGATCTCCCCAGATGTTGTGCGCTAGCTCATGACAGAGCACGCGCCTGACGTCCTGGTATAGTCTGAACCCGTCATATCGATCAGTTCGTATGCGTAATTTAATTTGCTGCCCCTTGTTGACATTAAGCCCTAGGAGTTCCGGATTTTCGTGCGGGGCAAGCTCTGTGAGCTCTCCAACGCTAAACTCATGCTTTCGCATGACATGTTGGATGGCTAGGTCGTCAGAGAGCCTTGTCAAAAATTCGCGTGCCGTAGAAGGATTGGGAAGGTGTTCGAGGGGTTTGATCTCGTGGAAGCGGTACGGTGACGAGGCTGGTGTGGCAGGCGATGACAAGGTCGAAATCATCCTTCCGCCCGTACCTGTTGAACGAAGCTAAGACAAGCAAAAATGAATTTTCTATTCAATACCGCGAAGGATGTCACAAGTACCTTGACTGGAGTCTTCAAGGCTCTCTCTCTCAAGATCCGCTCTCGCCGCCGCCGCTCATCTTCCACTAACTTCATCCCATCCAGTTCCTGCGTCGTCGTTCCAAGCATCTGTATCTTCACCCCATTCTTGAACCCAGCTTGAGCAAGGGTTATATCGTCAGAAGTCGTCTTCTTCCCTTTGTACAACAACTTCTGCAGCGATGGGGGAACACCGAAAAGCTCTTCCAGTTGTGCTTGGAAGTCGACAAGAGAGCAGTCGAAAGGCTGGGAGAAATGATGTGTCACCCCTCGGTGGGTAACAGTGAAGGATATCGTCTTCGAACTAGAGAGGGTGTCCATATCTGAGGTATGTAGTCGAGGTACTCCATGAAGTGCCTTATTATAAAGCACCTTGCGGGCGCCATGTCATCGCTAAGCGCTTGAGTCAGCACTCTCCGTGCTAGTACTAAGCGATTTCCGGGTGATCCGTAGATGCTTCAAATGTTTGCGATCCGTTCAGTTGGTGTGTACGCAGAAGATGAGATGTTCATTGGAGGAGCTTGCTCCCCTTTTGATGACTCGAAGTCTTCGAGCAAAACAATACTGTCCACATGCCAGGAAATGGAGGCTACCATGCGTGATTTTTGTCGGTATGTTTCATTATTTGACATTATTGGCTGAAGCTGAGTAGATATGAGAAGACTTGGAGATTGAAATTTAAAGCAAGCTTAGTAAGGTCGGTAAGCAGCTGCAGAAACCTGAAAATCAGTGGCGCCCACCGTCCATAAAACCCTCGCCAGACCCTTGCTAAGCGCAATCTAACCGGAGAGGCGCTTCTGGTGTTTCGGTCGTTGTTGTGTGGGGCATGTACGAAAGGAACGTTCACGCGTTCACGATCCAAAGGACTACAGCGTGACCGATCAAGTCATCTTCCAATCCAAACAGTTTGAACACACCCAGGAAACAACCTAAGTACTCGCGCAGATATTCGAGGTGTGAACGACGAAACAAAGCAAAGGAGAATGTTCCGATTAAATAAATACGATATCCAAGACGAATGATATATAGATACGAATGCCGTTAGATGCTCAGGCTACAACTCCACCTATAGTTTTGTCCTGGGGCTGACCTTAACGAGCGACGCGTTGTGTTGCAAGATCCTCGCAGCATCGTTGACCATGTCGTCAACGATGACTTTGGCGGGAGGCACGTCGTGAATAAGAGCGGAGACGCGTCCCATGAGCCATGGTCTGATAGAAGGGGTATCGTAACTGAGCTCTCTGAATGTTTCAAGATCTCGGTCAAACTCACCGCCCTTCCAATGACTTGTTGGGGTACTTCTCGAGCTCATTGTAATGGGGAATGACACCCTTAGCCGTGAGCTCCTTAATCTCCGCCTGCCTATTTGCCTCCCAATCGGCAACGTACGGCGTTTTCCTCACCCGCAGGGGACGCCCTGTGTAGATAAGAGTAGTAACGGCATCCTCAAAGCCAGCGCTGACGACGAGCTCCTTGTGCAGCTTGGGTGCACCGGCCTCGACACAAGCGACAAATCGCGTGCCAACCCCTAAGTAGTGACGAAATGAGCGACCAAGCTTAGATTCGCGACGGAACATTGCTGCTTACAAACAGCCTGAGCACCCCAGCTCAAGTTCGCAGCCAACCCTCGTCCGTCATAGACGGCACCAGCGCCAATAACATAGATAGGTTTGCCGTTCAACTTCGAGAACTTCCCCTTGCACGCATCTACACACGCGGGGATGAGGATGCTCGCAGGCGTATCACCCGTGTGTCCACCTCCCTCGCCGGCCTGGGCGCAGATGAGATCGCACCCAACGTCAATGGCCTTCTGCACATGCTTGGGGTGGCCGACCATGTTCATGACGGGGATACCTGCTTTATGCAGGGCATCCACGGCTTCCTTTGGTGGGACACCAACGGCGGAGACGAAGAGGGCGGCTTTCTCTTCGATGATAACCTGAATCAGGTCTGGCAGTTGACCCTTCGTGTAGTCGAACTAGCAGCGGATGTCAGATAGGGAAACGACAGGATAAATGAGAGGCAGGGACGTACGTTGGTCTTGCGTGCGCTCCCACCTACTTGTGGAAGGAGGAGGTCAACACCGAAGGGTGCGTTCGGGTCTTTAAGGTCCTTCTTAATCGCGTGGATCTAATGAAGAGCGTCGGTTAGTCCATGCGAGCAAAGTTTAAGTGACCCCCGACGAAGACGAAGGCGCAAGAACAGAAAGAAGAAAAGAAAGGAAGGGAAACCCCTGATCTCGGGGAAAGGACGTTCGCCGTACCTGTTGACGGAGGATTTTCGGGGTGTACCCAACACCACCAATGACACCAAGACCACCAGCGTTCGTCACAGCAGCTGCCAGCTCAGGCCCAGCGGCAACATTCATTCTATTATGTATTCGGTTAGTAAAGAGGTGCAACGGACAACACCGATGACCACGCACCCAGCCAGCAAGATGGGATGCTTGATGCCAAAGAGCTCGGTAATGGGAGTCTGGATAATGGCCATTGTTGTTGGAGGTATAACGTACGACGGTTAGATAGAAGAGGGGGAGGGTAAAGTAAGTGCGAGAGACTGATTTATAGTTGGCCGCTGGTGCATGATATCCGGTTTATGGACGCAGCTTGTTAGAGCGGTTACACCGGCGCCGCAATTACCGGATCCTGACTTGATCCTGACCCCTCGTCGAATTTTGAAATTCGGAAAACATAGCACCCACACCCGTCATTGGTCAATGGTCATTGTTATAAGTGACTGGAGGAAAAGATTCAGCTTCACTGAGTTCGTTGTTTTTTCAGCGGGGTTCACAACAAGCAACGGTAGGGACTTTGTAATTTGAATCGGGGTTTGTCCTCACTACTACAGCCAACCTGGGCTGGTCAATAGGGTATCATAAAGTTATGAGTCGAAGTAATTGACAAAAGAATGTGTGTGATGCGGGGTTCATGGTATTACTCGTCATAGCTTGAATAGTAAGTGGATGTCTGGGGTAACATGGAAGCATATGCAAAAAAGAAACGGTAAGAAACTGGGGATAGCAAAGATGGCGAGGAGTCGAAGATGCGTCTGTGGTATAAGTTGCGTTGCGAATCTAACCAGTCCATCCATCCAAAGAGTACTGGGGCGCATCACGGAGGAGGAACGTCGAGCTCCTCCTCAGGAATAAGGAATAAAGGGCCGTCGCCGTCGGTGGACGACCTCCGCCCAACACTCTGCATCAACCTGCGTAGTCTAGCCAGCTCCTCCGACAACGTCCTAAAATTTGCATCAGCCCACATCCAGTATCAACACAAGAGACGCGTCACTCACGTTGCCGTATTTCCAGCCTTCTCGCATTGCTTTACACTCGCCTCAACCTCATCATGCATCCTCTTAATCTCACCCACCCAATGCTGCTCAACCTCCTTCGCCCGCTTCAGGTCCTCTTCACGCAACTTACGCATCTCCTCCCTCCCCGACTCGACATTCTTCAACTCCTCAACTAGCGTCCGGTACTTCTTCCCCACGCTCTCCGCCTCCACCTGCAACTTCTCCTCACGCTTCCTCATCTCGTCCCGCAGTCGATCAGTGTCAGTCTTCCACGACTCCACAAGACCCTTAATGCTCTCTCGCAATGTAATGTACTCCCGCTCGGATTTCTGTGAGAGAGCCGTTGACTCGGACAGCGCGGTTTCCATCTCACGCAATGATTTCTTGGATGTCGCAGTCTCGGTTTTCAGTTGACTTTTGAGAGTGGCAGCCTCTGATTCGGCTTTACGCGCGCGTTCTAGAACCTGGGAACACATAGTTAGTCCAAATGAAAATGATCCAAGGTGATGACACACCTCTTGCAGCAGTCGCTCTTTCCTCGCCACGACATTGTTCAGACCCTCGTTCTCCAACCTCAACCTCTCCCTTCCCTCTTTCAAATCTTCCGTCTGCCTGGTCAGCTGCGCAACACTGCGCTGAGACAACCTGAGTTGTGCTTTTGTGTTTTCCAGAGCATTGCGAGCATTGACCACACCCGTTTGAAGATCCGCTAGCACTTTTGTCGTCCCTCCCGAGGTGAGCGATATTCTTCGATTCGGAGATGGAGGTGGCTGCAAGGATGACGATGAAAACGCGTCGCCGTTGCCATTGGTGGCGTCGATTGGTGATGGTGATAGCTTGGACGAAGAAGGTGAAGGTCGCTGCGTTGCTGGTTGTCCCTCGTCGGCTAGTGCCCGTGCATTGCCTAAGTGAGCATGGGACGAATTAAGGAATTTGGACAGATATAAATACATAGTTGGGAGGCGGGAATGGAGGAGGAGACAGTGACCCACCTACTGATGCAACTGGTATTCCTGTAGGAAGAAAAATGTGTTGGCCGTGGTGTTGCATCATGAATGGAAGAAGCAAAAAATGGAGTCACGTACGAGATAGAGTGCGCGTGGGACTGGAAGCGCGCTTATATGACGTGGGGCTGACAGATGTTACGCCGAAGGTCATCGGGATGCCTTCGCGTATTCCGTTCTCTTCTAGGCCATCACGCTTCGGGAGGGGTAAAGGTAAACTTGAGTCGGGGCCTGCGATGTTCTGAAGGACGTCATAGCTTGATCGGCGCTTCATTTTTGTGGCAGGAGAGACGATGGGCGTGGCGAATGCTGAGGGCGGTGAGGTGGATGATGTTGACGCCATGATAGAATCGTCAGATAGTTCTGGAGCGTATGGGCGCGGGCCGACACGAATGATGTTTTCAAGGGTTTGCAGTTGAGCTTGCTGGTGCCGTATTGTGTGTTTTAACGTTGAGACCTGATTCCGCACGGCAACTTGGACATGTCAGGCTCTAGAAACCGACTCAAAGACATGCGTGTGCTCACCTGGGTCGTCTAACGAAATTGTGGAGTGGTGGGTGCGCACAGAGTTACGGGATGAAGTCCTAGATGTCGAGCGGTCGCGCTGAAGCTTGTGGGGCGACAGACCTCTATCAGATATGCGTGGCGAAGACGATGATAAAGTTGCGAAATGACCGTTGGGACTTGACGACATTCACCGATCGAAATATTGAAAGCAAAAGGAGGGTAAAGAAAGAGAGCTACCAGGCTGCCTGGTAGAATAATTTTGTAGCTGTAGTGGTGGCCTCTTTCAAACAGCTTTACCGCTGCTGAGCCTGTATATGGTTGATGGTGGCACTTGGACCGTCACCCCGTCAGTCATGAGCTGAAAAGGCGAGTTTGACGAGTCCGTTTACATTTATTTGTTTTCATTGAAGTCACGTGCAAAATTAATTATGTGTCGATTCCGATTCCTTCTTGAAGTTCTTCGCGACGGCCACTCTACCCTCCGCGATACCCATACCAAATGGCGTCTCCATGCTCGATTTGCCTGTGTTTGTACAAGGAGCCCGTCTGTATACCTTGTGGTGAGTATAGGATCTACTCCTCCATTCAACGCCACCCAACGAGATCGAAAGGTCACGTCTATTGCAGGAAGTGTCTGCAAGACCATGTCAACGTCGCCACAAATACGACAATGAAAGCCCAATGTCCGGATTGCCGCGCGAGTTTTGAACTTTGTGCGTCGTTTACAGCCACGCTGTACTTCTGAATTGATCGTTCGTCTCCTCAGTGACACCTGATGTTCGTTGCACGCTTTATGTCCAGCATTCTTTATCTTACTTTGCATTCGAAGCCTAACTGTTTACCCCAAAAATACCAACAATACGTTCTCCCGGCTGTACGTCGGGTTTACTTGGACACAACCCCATACACGAACCTCCAGAAAAAGCTCAAACACGCCGAAAACCGGAACAAAGCTCTTAGAGAGAGCGAAGAGGAGCTCATAAAACAATGCGAGCGTTACCAAGCGGCAGCCTCTGCTCATAGAAGGGGGGAAGCTAACGCCATTGCGGAGCTCGACGACTTGCGAAACGAATTTGAAGAGGCAGTTGGAGCTCTGGACAGGGAGAAAGAAGAACTTCAAGATACGGTGGAATCTTGCGAACGGGAGAAGGAGGAACTCGCTGAAACTAACGAAGAGCAGGAATCTGAGATTGAGCGTCTCAACGAAACGATCAACACGCTAAGCTTGGAGAAGAACGAGACTCGTGCAAAGTACGAAAATTTAAAACGTGAATACAGGAAACTCAGGGCCCAGTAAGTTTATTTTACTTTGCGTCTTCCTCCGTCTGACATATCCGTAGATATCAACCTCGCAATGACGAGGGTAGCTCACGTCTCGAACACTCCTTCGACAGGAGTGACGCCGTCCCGAGCCCACCTGTATGGAGGCGTGTTATACGTCCTCTTCCACGCACCAGCGTTGCCGCCAAGATTTCCCGCTCTCCTAGTCCCCTACCCCATTTCAACACAAAACGCCCGCGTCTGTCAGATTCGACAAGGATGAGACGCGAGTAAAATTATATCTCGCATCGAAAGGCCATAAATATTTTCAACTCCTTTCATTTCTGTATTATATTGTTATGTGTGCCTCTTCAGCTTTGCTTCAGCTCATCTCTTGTAACTGTAGTCCTGTGACAAGCGCGTCTAGTATCACGTGTCGATCATTTGGTGTGACGGCCCCAACTCACATTTTCCCCACCAACCTTCATGTCGCCGCCCCCACTCCCTGAACTCCTCAAGGCCGCGAAGCAGCTCGTCCGAAGGGCGGATAAGGACGGCATATTAGAGTACGCTTTCAAACTGATCCCAGAAAACATTAAATTCAACATAATGAGTGCAGCACCCTAACACCGCGTCTAATCCGACACGAAATCGAGAAGCAATTCGAACTTGAGCCGGGCACGCTCGACGCACCGGAGTATAAAGGGAAACTGAGGGATGCCGTGACTGATGCTCTGGTGAGCTTCGGATCCTTCCCCTCTTCTTCAAGGACTTGCATTAAGTACTAAGTTTCGATAGGCATCTGGGGGTGAAGGCGATGATGATGAGGAACCAACGCCGAAGAAAGTGAAGAAGACGAACAAGGAAGGGGGGTCGAAGAAGAAGAAGTCGTCTGAGAAGCCGGTCGCGAAGAAACGCAAGTCAAGTGCGGTCGTCGTATCAGACGAGGAAGTACCTGAGGTACAAGCGCCGTCGAGTCCAGCCACGAAATTCGAAAATCCAGCAAGCGAGAAGAAACGCAAAATAAGCAGTGCCCTCGTTGTTTCGGACGAGGAAGACGTGGAGGTTCAGGCTTCAAGTCCAGCACCGATATCCGAAAAGCTAGTAAGCAAGAAGAAATACAAGTCTGGTGCGGTTGTCGTGTCGGACGAGGAAGAGGTTGAAGTATCAAGTCCAGCACCGAAATCCGAGACGTCAGTAAGCAAGAAGAAACTCAAGTTTAGTGCTGTCGTCATGTCGGATGAGGAAGAGGTGGAAGTGCAGCCTTCTTCGAGCCCAGCACCGAAATCCAAACCAGCCTTGAAAAAGGCATCGGTGAAGGAGACGAAGACAAAGTCCAAGCCAAAAAGAAAATCAGGCTCAGCAGCGGAAGAAAGCTCTTCAGCTGGAAAGAAGAAGCAAACCGTGAAAAAGGCCACCAAGGAGTTCAAATCTCTGGTGTGTTGCATTGCTCCATCTTCCTCTGCTCTTTTTTTCCTCACCGATATTCGCGAGTTTAGGAACATGTCCCGACTTCTGACATGGAAGATGACGACCCTGACGACCCCGCAGAATCCTCCAAATTGAAACTAGTTGAGGTCCGTTCATCCCCGTTTTGAAGTCATGTTTTTCATCGTGTTAGTGTACTCAGGTGAAGTCCAAGCTTGATGCGCCCCCTCCAAAACGGCGCAAGGTTTCGTTACCACCTAGCAGTGACGAGGACGAAGAAGAGGATACGAAGGCGACCGTCAAGCGGAAAGATGCATGTTTTCTTTCATCTCGTTCGCCTATCTCGTCTGATCCATGTCTGGTTGCCAATAGCCGTCAGACAAAGGCGATGCAACTGTCGACGAACAGCCAAAGAAGAAACGCAAGGTAAAATCCGAGAGTACGAAGGTAAGACTTAAACCCTCATCTCCTTGCTCAACTTATATACATGTCCATGCCAGGAACCCAAGAAACCTACAACAGCAAAGAAAGCCAGGCCCACCAAAGAGAACAAAGGATCAAGTTTAACCAAAGATGAAGAAACTATCAAGCGTCTCAAGGTACGTCTTTCCCCTTCGCCTGTTTCCCTTTTGCATGGCTCATGGACAACTCAAATACAGTCACTAGTCTTGGCATGTGGTGTACGCCATCCCTGGGCCAAACTTTTTGCAGACCTATCGGCTAGCCAGCAAATCAAGAAACTCAAAGAGATTCTAGCCGATTTGGGTATGAAAGGTCGGACAAGCATGGAGCAAGCCAAGGCCATCAGGGAGAAACGAGAGCTGGCTCAGGAACTTGGTGGGTCTTCGCCCTTTTCATCATCCTCAATTGATGGAAAATTGGCACTTGTGACAGAGGACGTCCAAGAATTCGAAAAGAAGGTTATAGAGATCTCGTCAAAACGGGCACAAAAGCAGAGTCAAAAACCATCGGGAAGGTTGTTGAAGCGGGATCGTGACGACGGCGAAGAAGATTCAAATTCCGAGCATGGGGACGGTAGTGACTCTGAGGACGATGTCATGCCTGAGAAAAGACGGGTTTGTTTTCTGGTTGATGGGATTTGGACATACGAGGTGCTGATTGTTTTTTTATTATTGATAGTCAACCGCTAGGAAGAGTATCATGGCGTTCCTTGAGGATCAGAGCGACGAAGACGACTGATCGTGATCATACTGAATTCAGTGCCCCTGGAACCCTCCCAATGCGACTCGGACTGTCTATCTCTTGGAAAGATACCTTTATTGAGAAGATCATCCCCTTTACTTAACTGAGAGCGGATGACCAGCTTCAGATACATATAACTGACACCCTTCTAGTTGCATAGGATACCATACAAGGAAAGCATGAATTATTGACCCTTCGTTGAGAAAGATGGTATGATGTACAAGTGAATAGCGAGGAGTTATAAATCGTGTCCAATTACTACCGTATACAGCACTCAAGTCCCCAGAGAAAGATGAAAGAAAAATCCAAGAGGGTTATGATCTATAGCTCATGGTTGGGCGTAGCTGTGGTGAGCGCGGAGGTGAAAACGTTCTTGGGAAGTAGGTCGTCGAGGGCGATGCTAAGGATCCAGGAAGGTACAACGGAATTGTAGGAATCAGCTCGAACACATGTTGAGCAATTCCTCTTGGTTGACGACCACCGCCATGGGGCACTGCTGTCGGTTCTGTGGCATTCATGACCGCATGAACCCTCGGCTCTTGGGACATGTTTTCGTCCGATCCTTCTGGCGGTGAGGCCGCCAGACTCAGGTCCATACTTCGGCCGTCCCAGACACACCTCACGTCGTTCCCTGGAATGATCTGCGAAAGACGGCCCGTCTCCACACGTCGAATTTCGATGAACCGCGTATCAAACAGCAGGATGTATGGTGGATGGAACGCTACTCGCTCGGCAGTTCCCTCCCATTCAATGAGACCTGCCGTTCGGCTGGGATGCCCTTGCTTGTCCACAAATATACCAAATTCTAACGAGGTGTTATTCATGGAATTTTCTTGCAGGAGGCAGTCACAACGCACCATTATAACAGAGAAGGAACTCATCATCATTAGGTCGGAACATGCCAAGGGGTCGACATGAGTCACATCTCTTCGTCAAATATGAGTATCGAGGATCTTCTTTTTGCGGTATTGTGACACTTTTGAAACTAAGACTACATGAGCAAAGGCATCATCACAACTGATAACAAACTTACTCGGTGAGATCCATGATTTCGAACCCTTTTGTGCACAGAACTGCAATCTTGGCTTTGAGGAAGATCAAGTCATATGACTCAGAAGATAGAACAAATTCCCTGTAGCTCCGGAACCATTCCGACTTGTTTGACCTCCGCCCCAGTATAGATAGTCCACCGGGAGCCTTCGGCCTTTCATTGATTTTGTCGATGACAGGCTCGACGACGTGAAAAACACTGTCATTCTAAACAAGGTCACAAAGGAAAGCTGTGCAACGCAACAGCTGGGACTTACCCCTTTCTTATTCATGTAAATGACAAGAGTACGCCCATGGAGTGTACCAACACTGAAGAATTGAACTTCTTTGGAGCCGTTGATCTTTTGAGGCGCCTGTGAGGCATGGATACTCGAAGTAGAAGTGGGGACGAGCGCTTCAATGTGATATGCAAAGAGTGACTGCAAAAGTATTCAGGACGAAGAGGGTGAAACATACAAGTGACCCACCTTGTCAGCTAGGACTAAAAACAACCCAAAGTCTTCTAGCATAGCGCATTGTGTAACCATCTTGACGTGAAGTACACGACGCATGGCTGGTACACGCTCAGATCGAACCCGGCCTACCGAATTTTTGGAAAAGACTTACAACGTGAATCATGACGGAATCCAATCCAAACGCCCTCTGCGCACCCGATCGCCACCAGTCCACGTCCGTTTGGAGTACCTAGCGCTCGATCAGCCAATTCATCACGAGGAGACACTGACTAGTCTTACTAAACGGCACAGAACAAGTGACTTTGCCGGTGAACAACAGAGTCCCATCATGCCAAGCTGACGAGGTCGGCCCCATGTTTAAGGATGGAACGAGGAAGGATTCGATGCTCAAAGTTTCGATTTCGAAGACTTTGTTCGATTCTTGAACCACTTTGCGTAATCCGAGTGCCTCCTCTAACTTTGGTTTCCATTCTGACCTAGCTTGAGCTGACTCAGCAAAAAGAATGTAAGGTCCACCCAATCGTCCGTTGTAGTGGATTGTGAAAGGATATACGGCCCGAGAGTCGCTGATGTTGTCTGGAGCTCGTGAACTAGAAATACTTCCGCTGTCCCCGGTTCGAAGGGTGCGCAAAAGTCCTGAGCCACGTTGGGTCGAGGGATCAGTGAAGTTCACGATGGAAAGTAAGTCCAGGGGTATTGGCTGAAAACTTCTATCAGCGATAAGAGACTCAAAAAAATTCGTCAGACCCACTCTTCGATGGACGTGGTATTTTGTGACTCCGTCCTTCTCCCTCGGTTTGGTCATGACCACTTATGAAATATGAGGTCAAGAACGTCAAAGAAGGATCGTTGCAACTTACTGTAGTTGTCGAAGAGTAACACGAAGAGTTCTGTCCAGCCCTCCCATCCGACACCGCTGTCAGGTTGTCGAAGCAACTTTCCGGTATGTATCAAGGATCGCTGTTCGTTGAGGAGGTCCATGTCCTGACAGAAGCCCTGAGTGACATATAACAAGAGCAATGAACGGTACATACGACACTTTCGCCAGGTTTGAAGACCAGATTTGAATTGTACTTCCATAATTCCACCTTCTGCTTAGCAGAGGCGACGCCGGGCTCTGTCTCCTTCGCTAATGCACTTATCACCTCGATGACCTGCGGAATAGCACTCCTATCTTCACTGCCCGCCGATGTCTCGCCTAGAATCTGCTTGAGAAGAAGTTCGTAACGTAGTAGCCGGGGTATCGGTCGATTGATGAAAGCCTTTATGTCGAGCCGATGAGCATCAGGATGTCTTATAGCATGCTAAAGAGAGATAAATAAATATAAGCACATTCGATGCAAAGGTATCAGCATACCTCAACAAACGTTTTGAATGCCGGGTTATTGGCCATTTCATCATCGATTCGGTATGCTGCAATAGGGTAGTTGGGTATATATTCCATATAAGCTTCTCTGAAGTTCAGTGCTGCATCAAAAACGGCAGCAGTGATAGATCGTATCCTGGGGTGTTCCTCTCGCTGAATCTCGTGTAAGTTGTCGACTAATCGCCTATGGTGGGCATGCAGTTCACTAAAGTTGTGCAATACATCCATAGTGAATTGATCGAGTCTGTCAGTTGGGATGATTGGAGGTTCCGCGTTTCTGAGTGGCCGAAGATACATCTGAAAGGCAGTGATGTTAGTTGACATTTACAAGGTGAAAGCCCAAAACGAACGTTTTCCAAGTTTTCCAGATCCCTAACGTACGCCATCTCTCCTTTTATGAGTTCAAAAATTAGTCTAAAAGCAGTCAATACACGCGAAGATTATCATCAGATAACATATCACGTACGACTGGCGTTGACTTTCGCTCTTCGTAAAAGTCTTCCTCGTATCGGATGAAAGAAGGTCGTGCCATTCCCACTTGCCGGTGACACCCTTCCCCATGGCAGATTGGAATGTCCGCAGCTGTGCAACATTATGCAGGTTCTTAATGGCAGCGATCGCTTCCCGTAGAAAATCACCATCAGGATTCCCGACTTCTGTCTCGTGGTATACAGCATCCAATAAAACAGGGTATTTTTGTAGATGCTCTGCGGGACGATTGAGGTAGTGTTTCAGATCCAAACGAGGGGCGCCACTGGACTGTGTTGATAGTTTGCGCGAACATTTCTAATTGGATAATGTCAGACAAACCCAGCTGCGTACGAATCCTTTTCAACGCACCTCCATGAAAAGGCGAAACTCGGGATTCTGCTCCACTTCCTCCTTCAACCGTTTCTCTGCAAGCGGATGATGTCCAACATAGGTAGGATATACTATCCTAAACTCCGTCGCCGCATCCAGAAAGATATCTCCAACCCTTTGAATAACTGGAGCCTGTTCTCGTTGTCGAACATACATGACCTCCAGTAACCGCCGATTACATTCCCGCAGTTCAAGAATGTTGCCAAATACTTCTTCAATAAACTCCTCAAGGACGTACGACGACATCACAGGAGGATCGGCGTAACGAAGGGGCTTGATGTAAACGGACTCTACAATGTCCAGGTCCTCCAAATACTGTTCCTCCTTGCTGATCATTTTGTGAATAATTCTGTAGAGAACAGCATATCAGAATGGCAATCTTTCAAAAAGAATGGAAGGATCGCACGTCTGACGATTGATCTCGCTTTCTGGCAAAGACTTCATCACCTCAGCGGGGACACTCTTCGACCAGTCTTCGCGTACTGTGGAGGTTGGTACATCAACCGAACTAATTAGTTGGGCAAGACCCTAACATATTGCAATAATCAGCCGACGACAACACTTCTCAAGGTGGGAACAATACCTTTCGAGGGCATCCATACGCATAGCATTCCGGACCCTCACCACAACTTGGAGAGTAGCACTTTGTCAACATCGTAACCACTCCTGATGGCAATTCTGCCCTCTCTGGCACCCCATCTGTAGCTCCCTCTGGGTCGTCTAGGAACATATAAACATCCTCTACGCCATCCTGAAGCACTCGACCACCCCATTCTACTTCGTAGAAGAAGAGTTGCGTTTGGAGACTGCGGGAGACTTGTAGAGCTGCCCTTCGGTCTCCAACAGAAACGCCATGGCTGCGTAATAGTTCTTTTTGTATTATCGATTGGATAGTCGACTGCAAACATCAACGTTGGTGAAAATTGATAGAATAAACTCAGAGAGGACGTACTACGATGTCTTTAGCAGTGAATGCTCGAGGGTAGGGTATGCTGCCTTTAACGTGTGTACCTCGCGTAATCTTCAACTGCAGCTGCACAGCAAGATTGGACAACAAAGACAAGTCTATAAAATCTTCCTCCTGCTCGTACCAATCGTCCGGCTCCTCTTCATGCAACTCCAGGTGAAGTCGTTGTTCAAAGTTCACAATTGCGCGTAAATCATTGGTTACTCGTCTCGAAAGGTTACTGGGACCAGCGTGATGCCAGTCATCAGCCTCCGATGCATAATCATAAGTACTTTCAGTGTTGGCGCGGTTGACTGTAACCTCCACAATGGGATTCCATTCTGAGGTTGGTGCGTCAGAAGTTGTTATTCGTGAGTTCTGGGATTCTGGTCTCTGTTCGGTGAGATATGAAAGGGATGAAGACTCCGAAGGTCGACGCAATAAAGGATAATTTCCGCCTATATCGAGAAATAAGCCAACTAGTATGGGGTAGAAACAAAACCTCTGCTTACTCATAAAAGTGGAAACATCAGTGAACGACTCTTGAAAAGCTGGGGTTACTCTGATGGGTTCTGGGTTCTCTTCGTATGGCGGCCTTTCGGGTTCATCCTCATCATACATATCATATATCGCTGACGGTGAGATCGCCTGCGTGCCCCCGGCTTCAGGAGCATCGTACTGGGGTGCCAGAGATTCGGCATATCCATTTGATAAACCTTGCATAGGAGCAAATGAAAAGGAAGCATTCGGATCGTCTCGGGCGTCATATCGGTATTCTGGGACGGGTGGCCCATACATGTCAGGGTATTCGGATGTGGGGGAGATGGGCACGTCAGCGAAGGGAGGGCGGTTAGGAACATTTGGATGGGGGTGTAATCCATCCACTGGTGCAGGATCGACGATTACATGGGCTTCTGAGGCAAACGTGGAGGCCTGCGGCTGTAATTCTCCAACTGGGGATACATAATCGCGGGCAGCACCCTTGGGAAGGTCGGAGGGATATATCGACTGCTGCGGCTCCACAGAAGACCTATTACGTGGGACAACGGAGTTGAGGAGGTGCATTCGGACAATGTGTATCCACTCACTGAGCTGTGACAGTAGTCGTTGGTGGTGTAGGAAGCGCTGAAGTACTTGATCTGCTTCTGCTCATAGACATTGCACCAGGAGGCTGGGGAAGCGGCCGGACCGCCCTTGAAGAAGAGCCGCGGTTGGGCGAATTCGCGGGGCTTGAACTTGATGAAAGCGTCTGTGAGATGCTGCTGGGATCTTATGGTGATGTGCAAACCAATAAGCTTGTAACATTCGGACGGATAAAACACGTATACCCACAACCAGAATTGCGAAAAGATGATGACGGGGATGAGTATTCCACCGGTGATCTTGCATCGTTGATGGCGTTGGGAAAATGTGCAGACACACTCGGATTTCTCGTAAAGCCCTTTAGGACTGTATCGTAGAGCTCGTTAAGGTCTTCCTCTTCAATAACATCAGGTGCTGAGATAGGCATATAGCCAAGCTTTCAGAGTTTCAACCGAAGCGCTAAAACTCGGGAGGTCAGTTTTGTCGTTCATCCGTGTTGCCGATGGGGGTAAGGCAACTCACCTAAACCACGGAACAACGTGTACATATAACTTTGCGTTGCCGGGCGGACAGCGCGTTGGCGAAGGTGACGGCGTTTAAAGGAAGGTCAGTATTTATTAGATCACATCGCATTTCCTGCTCTTGATTTTGTGCCTGGCGATTATGCTGTGTCGGATTGGAATTGCTTCCGATGACCACTTTATCTCGACCAAATCCGAGTCTCGACTGCATTTCATTGGCAATCTTTTCAAGTTGCACTTACTCGAGAACAGTGAGCAGTAGCCTCCGAGCTGGAAATGTCGGATCCTCAGGATAGTGCAACCAAAAAGTCTACATCCTCGGTCCAAGATATCGCCGCAGAAAAACCTCCCTTTGGCTCAAGGTGCGTATCAGCGGTCAACGTTCCAACATCCATCGACAGCTCAACTTCATTCAGGTTTCTCACAGACGAAGAGGATGTATGGAGCCAAAACGCATGGGATCATGTCCCACCCCCAGATGACCAAGTGGAGATTATTGCCAACTCTCTCTCGCGGCAGCGGCTGACTCCCGTACCAGCCGAGGAAAAAGTAAGATACAACGAGAAACCTGCGAAACATTGGTGCGTCCACTTGCATCTACAATATCACCGAAGAATTCAAATGCTATCATTTAGGGACAATTTCTACAAGATGAATGCGAGCAATTTCTTCCGGAATAGAAAATGGTATTCGACGCCTCTCTTTTGTGACTTTTCCCTACTCACATCCAACTCTACCCCAGGCTCCACAACGAGTTCCCTGAACTTATAGAGGCGACACAAGCGGAGGTTCTTCCCCTTCCTTGCCCCTTCGAGCACTACGGCTAAATAAGAGTCTATCAAGGCTGGCCCTGTCGCAATCACAGAAATAGGTTGTGGTGAATAAAATTCCTCATTTACCAAGTCACTCTCCATACTCATTCAAATACAAATACAGGGGCAGGCAACTCTGTCTTTCCATTGCTTTCCGCCAACCAGAATCCTGATCTTAGATTGCGGGCGTACGATTATTCCTCTCATGCAGTCAAACTTGTTCAAGTGGGTCAAGTTTTTAGCTTGGTAACCGCTGAATCTGACGCCATATTTTAGACTAATCCTTTGTACGAATCACCTCCAGTCGGCTCTATTCACGCCGCAGTATGGGATCTAACCTCTGCGGATGGCCTTCCATCGGGCATCGAGCCTGGAATAGTAGACATTGTAATTCTGGTGTTCGTGATGAGCGCTTTGCACCCTGATGAATGGGGCCGAGCAATAAATAATATCCACAAGGTTTCTTTGAATCCTGTCATTTCCGTTCCCGCGCTATCAGACTAACTTTCTGTGACAAAGATGCTCAAACCAGGCGGCCTTGTCGTCTTTCGTGATTATGGTCGGTATGATCTCACCCAGCTACGATTCAGAGGTGGGCGCCTGCTAGATGAAAATTTCTATATCCGAGGCGACAAGACACGGGTTTACTTTTTTGAGCTAGGTATGCAACTTACGGTAGGTTTGCTTTCGTTTAACTGATTGATTGATTGACAGATGAATTATCCCTGCTTTTCACTGGTGAAAAAGTGTCACCAACGCAAACCACGACAGATAGGACGACCGAAATCTTAGAAGGCCATATGGATGAAGAGGAAACAATCAGTCCGTTTGTACGATCACCATCGTCATCTTCACCGGAGCCACTGTTACCTGGGGCAGGGCCATCTAGTTCCACCTCTCCACCTCCCGAATCCGTAACTGAAAGGACACTCCCACCACCAACAGAAATCACATGCCACATCCACCCAAACCTCCTATCTCCTCCGACAGACTGTCAACATCCCCATCCTCTCTTCACCACTGAACAGCTGGGCGTTGATCGGCGGCTTATCGTCAATCGGAAACGCCAGCTCAAGATGTATCGTGTGTGGATGCAGGGCAAGTTCCGCAAGATCTGATCAAACTGTGGTTGTCTCACTGGAGCTATGGTACGAAAACGGGGACGATGAAAGACACGGGTTTTCAATGGACTCCCGAGATTATCATTATGTCACATAGCGTGTTAAAACACGATGTGTGTAATACAACCGAGTAAAGAGGGCAAAATAGGCAGATGCATAGTTCTCTAGAAAAGAATTCCAGCAATGCGCTCCCAAATATTCTTGGGTGGAATCTCAGGGGTCTCGGTCTCTTCCATACTAGGAATGCCCTAGAGAGGAAGGTGTGACTAACGAAGGTCCGAAAGAAAAGGGAAAGTCGTACGGTGACAAAGTCCATTTCCGATGGCTTCCAGATCTTGGTCTTCTTCACAATCTTGTATCCAAAATACAAAATTAAGAAGATTGGAATGTTGACATCTGGTCGCTTTGGTATGAGCAAGTCGAGGAGCATTGTAAGTTACAGGACTCACAAGCAACGAAGAATCCAGAAACATCAAATTTCCCAAAGAAAACAGCAAAGCCGTTAATCAGGATGAAGAACATCGTCCATCCACAACCCCAGTATGCAACATAAGGTTGCCATCTGTTGTTATAGGCGTTTTTCGTGAGATCGAATCCTTGGGCTTTCATGCCTCGATCTGGCAAGCTAGTCAGTTTGGGTTCAACGAACTGGTCGAAAGGAAACATACAGAAGAAAATGTAGGTCAGATTCATCGAGAACCAGCTAGAGAAGCCTCCAGTGGTCGAGAGGTTGACAAACCAACTATAAGGCTGCCATTAGTTTCGCATTCATACATTGTTGGAGTGAGTTCGGAAGCTTACTTAAATACGGTTTCTGCTCCTGATGATACGTTCATGAAAGCGAGGAACGAAAAGGCGCTCTGGTCGAAGATAAGAAAATTTAATGGTACTTGGGTGCCAGGACACTCACGGCGACGAGAACGGCAAATAAAGGAAGACCCCCCTTTGTGCAGTAGGTCAAGAAGCGGGGTGCCTGCCCACGGAGGGCAAGGCCGTAGAGGATACGGGACGAACAGAACAAGAAACTGTTTCCAGCAGAGAAAGCACTCGAGAAAATAGCGCCATTAACAATATGAGGGAGAACTGAAGGTTTTTTGTTAGTCCAGCATGCATTGTTGAAGAAATGCTAAATGAATTACCTCTCACTCCAGCACGCTTCATGGCAATCACGAAAGGAGACTGTGCAGCAGTGCCAGTACCTATGCGCCACGGGATGCGCTCAGCAAAAGCGTACCAACAAAGCAAGCAACATACTTTTAAGCAGCGCAGGGTCGTTGTACGCTACCAACATTCCGATCATAAGAACACCCAAAATCTACCAAGGATTAGGCGAGGATGTAAAGAAGTACGCATTTACTCACGTAGAAGATGACGATGCGATAGAAGACACGGTGAACTGCTTTGGTAATATTCCGACGGGGGCTTTCGGTCTCAGATGCAGCGCTGTGGGAGTGCCATGTGTTAGCCTGACTTGTTACAAAGGTCGAGCCAAGAAACTCACATCGCGACCAACTCCATTCCCTGGAAGGAGAAGGCTGCCTGGACGAGCACGGATAGGATCCCGAGGAATCTATCGGTGTTGACATTCTTGACGAGTCCCGCGCCAGCAACAGCTCCAGGGTGTTTCCAGTACTGTGTTTGCAAAACACTCTTCAGATATTATAGCGTGATGTGGTTGTTGCCACATACCCTAAATCCAATACGGTCTCCTGAAGGACCTCCTCCAAGGTCGATAACCAGTCCAGCGATGAGCAACCCAATGATCAACAAAACTATGTCGCAATGGCATTTGTCCAAACAGGAATTTATGTCAGAAATAAAATGACGTACTTTTGATGATAGAGAAGAAGAATTCCGCTTGATTTCGCAATGTTCCTGATTAGTTGAATTCTCGAAAAGCTGAGAAGTACACTTACATTCTCCGAACCACCTTTGTCATTGTCAGTGCAAAGACGTAAAAAGATGAACGTGCCTCTTACCTGACACCAAAGATATTGATAGCACAGACCAAGACACAAAGAACCTACATGCTTGTTAGAACATTAGTAGGATAGGATGTCGCGATTTTCTCACAGCTGTGTAAATGGCAGCATGGTGGGTCTAAATATAAACTGTCAGCGGAGATACGCCACCGTTGCGATTCGCACTTGCATTGCTGTCCCAGAATGTTATCAAGATAACGGCTGCGGTGATTTCGACAGGTGTAGAGATACTATCCAAAGGTCAGGCTCAAACATAGGCAGTTAACGTTGAAGACCGACGCATTGGTGTAGAAATAATTCTGATCATGATTCACGTAACCTTCAGCATCTGTAACTCCCAGTAGCAAAAAATCGCAAACTTACCCAACCGACAGCGAATCCAAGAGCGGGGTCTACCCATCTTGCAGCTGATTCTCGTCAGTTCACAGCTTGCTAGCAATGCTGATAATACACGCACCAAAATGGGGGAAGGTACCTGAGATCGGAGCCCAGGTGGTCATTTCACCAACAGCGCAAAGTGACCTAACCATAGCTCAGGTATATGCAAGTGTTGGAGGAGGGTCCAACTCACGCGTATGCCACAGTGCCGACGAGAGCATACGCAATCAACGCCCCCAAAGGACCAGCACCACCTAAAGCATGCCCTGAACCGAGAAAAAGACCCGTTCCAATGGTCCCAGCAATCTATGCACGAACGCAAAGTGTTAGCAATGATTTGATTAACACTTGGGCAACCATGGCTTACAGCGATCCTAGTCAATTGAGAGTCCTTTCAACAGATATCTAGTGAAGGATAGATAACGACATACATCTGGACATGGCGTTGCTTGAGTCGTCGTTGTACGCGATCGAGGTCATGTACATCGAAATGATACCTACCCCGTCCGTATCAGGAGGATGTGGTATCAGCAGTGTGGAGCGGCGTACTGGGGGTGGGGCTGAACGACAAATTCTTCAATTTGTCCCTTCTCCAGTGAACCTTGGTCCGGCTCGTCGCTTTGAAGTTTCTTCTCCGTATCAGACATAGTAGAAAGAGATGGAAAGAAGACAAAGGGTTGACAGTGTGAACTCCCGGATAAAAGAGGCTGGTATCCATCCCAGCGCTTCTCAGTTGATGCATTCAGGTGGAAACTAGCTTCTAGGTGTTAAGATGGCTGTGAATGGAGTCTGTCAGGTTTAAAAATAGATCCAGGTGCCCGTATGGAGCATCTTGAAGCCTCAGATAAGATTATCCGTAGGGCCCAAGCTTCGACGGTCGCCCTTCCCCCGAACTGCTGTGTCGAGGTTCCGTGCTTCTCGCCTGAGAACGCTCTAGTAGGCCGCAGCTGATTCCAACAGCTGTATGGTGCGTAGGCGCTCAATGCTTTACGCCTTCGTCCAAGCGTAAACGTGTCGAACCCTGAGCATGGGAGTATGGGAGGCGGTCGTGTGCTCCGATAGAACAACTGGACGGATCTGGCAATTTCCCATGAGTCTAAACGCAAACGTCGCGTATCAGAGGTGGATAAACAGCTCATCGGGCTCCACACGGTCATTTGTTGCCTATCCTCAAAAGAGCTGGAGACTTGAGATGGATCAAAGACACGTCAAATATCAGTATTCCTGGCTGAATATACAAACCACCCAACCCACAGATTGAACGCCTAAACGAATCTCGACTTGCTCCAATGGGGGCTATTCAAGTTGCGCCTGAGACGGATCGCGCCCATGTTGTCTAAGGTCGTCCACCGCAGCAATATGAGGGTTTTGGACTCGGAGATTCGCCTTTCTTACAGCCCGGCCCCCGACTCCAAAAATATCGCATCAAGTTGCCTCTGAGGGTGGGTCCATGGAGCTTATCAGAGAGTATTCATGTGGTTCTTTGCTGCCACAAGTTGATCGTCCCTTGGCCAGATTGAACGGGAGCTCCTAACGATCCTGTTTTGATGATCATTCGACGAATAGAAGGTTTGGTTCAGCCGCTGTCTCGCTTGATTGAAGTTGTCAGTCAGGTGTGCACCTTACGACAGCCAGTTTGAAGAGGCACACGAGGCTGGAATATGAGAGAAAGTGTTATAGAATTGGCGCTTGGACAAGTAACAGGTGAAGGACTCAGAAACTTGACCTAGTCAAAGAGTAAACTGGATTTGATTGGAATAAATTAGTTTGAACAGCGGGAACAAACAGAGACAAGCAGTATTTCCGCACCGCGAAGTCCACCAGGCCATTTATATCTGTTCTCTTTCTCTTCCCCTTCACACAATAAAGGACACCTCAGTTATCTGCCCTATTATATGAAAACATAAAATGACCAGTCGATTGAAGCGCAAGCTCGGAGAGTTGGGGATCGACACCACAAGCCGACAAGCAAACGAGAACTTTTGCCTTGTGCGCTTTCCAAGTCCAAGTCCTGATGTTTGCCATCTCCTGACCTTGTAAATAGATAGGAACTCCTTTGCCTCCCCTCGAGAAGTCCAAGGACACGGGCGAATTCGTTCCTCTTTGGAAGCAAGATGTCAGTAACTGGATGGCTGGGCTGCGAACCACCGTTGAAGTTTTGATTATTACAGGTCCGAGATGAGAAAGGTCGAAGACGTCTGCATGGTGCCTTTACAGGTGGATTCTCAGCTGGTTATTTCAACACAGTCGGATCGAAGGAAGGTGAGTCCCCGTTTTAACTGATCATCTAATTAGAGGTCACATCGTTTACGCCAGGATGGGCACCGGCTACCTTTGTCTCTTCGCGAACGGAAAGAGCAAAAAAGAAGGCGGCTCGACCAGAAGATTTCATGGACGAAGAAGACTTGCAGGATATCAAAGACAGCCGAAACCTTGTTGATACTACCGAGGAAATGGACCTCTCTGGTGGAACGAAGATGGAGGGTGTTGACGATGAGTCCGTGACACCCTGAGGCATTTTCTTTTTGATTTTCTCATACTCCCTATCAGTCCCATAACCAGTGCTTTGCAAGCCTCCCTTTTACCTGCCCCAAAGGACTCAGCTGGTGCACGGATATTAATGAGGATGGGCTGGCGATTGGGTCAAGGAATTGGTCCCCGAGTCTCACTTCGTCAGCGAAAGTTGCAGGACATGCAAGCAATCAAAGCAACGAGAGGGTCCAGAGGCTCGACCGACATTCTCGACATTCCGGATGATGACGAGGAAGCCAACAAACACACTTACGCGCCCCGAGATACGCCACTTATTTTGGTTGAGCGCAAAGACAATTCGCATGGTATTGGGTATACGCCTGGGATGGGATTGAACGAGAGCTTAGGCGCCAGTGCAAACACAAGCAAGGGTCCTCAATTAGCGTGTATGTGTCTCGCTTTTTTTGGCTCAACACTCTTATATAATTTTACAGCCGGGTTTGGACTTGGGGCTTTGAATGACGCCGACGAGGATGATTTAGACGTATACGACGGGATCAATGCCACCCGAAATCGTCACGCGTATGATCACATCGATGGCGAAGATGGTAACACCGTTACTCTGGGAAAGAAGGCTGACAAGTCCAAAAGCAATGATAATGTACGCCTTTAAAATTATTCTAGCTCCGTGCATCCTCATGTTTTCAAGAGGTCATCTTCCTCAGCCCAAACGTTTCGGGATGGACGGCCTGTGTTACCAGGATTTGCTCTTTTAAATGAACCTGTTGTTGAGGATAAATGGTCAGCTCTCGGCTTCTCGTTAACTACTATTCTGATGTGCAATTCCATTTGATTTGATAGGTTCCCATTACCTGATATTCCTCAAGGCTGGACTCCAAATCCACAACGTGTCTGGAGTGCTGATGCGAATGTGAACAAGGAAAACGTGGAGCAACCTAAACTACCATCTCAAAATGGACCCCTCCCACACGAAAAATGGAGGAGGTCCGGTATCACTGCAGATCAGGTAAATCATTTCCCTGACGCTCTCTCTCGCAGTAATTACTTATACGCGAAACAGCGAGGTTCTATGCTTGGGGAAGCACAGTCAAAAGCTACTCGTTCCGTTTTCGAATACTTGTCAGAGAAGGACCGAGAACGATTGAAAAATATTGCGGCTACAGGGAAGGCACAACCTTCAGTATCAGCCTCAACACCAGGTGCTTCTTCTTCCACGACTTCCACGACAATAACGATACCTCGCACCGAACCACATGTTGCCCAAGCCGCCTTACGTGGCTTCCAACCATTCACTTCTGACCCCACCAAACAAGCTCGCTATACTGCATACCTCCTTTCCCAAGTTCAGCAAGATTCATCTGCTCCGCAAATGAAGCCCGCCTCGGGGCAGCCTATTGACCAGTTCAACAAAGAACTCGAAGACTACGCCAAAGCCGCCCTGCTCTTCAAGCCCATCTCTGGTGCAATGGCAGGCCGATTCACTAGTGCTGCCATCATAGAGCACGGACCAAAAGTTCAGGAAGGCTTGCATACACCTTCACAAGAGGAGTTGGCGGAGAAGGAGCAGCAGGAAGCACAAATGGCAAGGGAGGCGGAGGAGAAGATAAGTCCGAAGGCGCATGCAGCGAAGATGGGAATGTACGGGCCACTCACGAGGGAGGTCGTTTCGTGGCAGCCTGCCAGGTTGCTTTGCAAACGATTCGGCGTGAAGGATCCTAACCCTCCACCAGATGTGGAGGCGACAGAACCTCCGAAGGCGGGTTCCAGTTCTTCATCGGCTACGTTTGCACAATCCTCCAACACACAGGCATCTGGGTCCGCAAAAGATGAAACTGTGCCCGCTCAGCAAGATAGAGGTCCGCGGAAGTTGGAGAACATTGGACTTGGGGAGGATGAGACTCAGGGGCAGGATACACTGACATATCAGCGGCCTGCAATGGATATTTTCAAAGCCATTTTTGCTAGCGATAGCGAGGATAGTGACGATGAAGATGAGGTGAAGGGAAAGGAGAACGAGAAGGGGGCTGACGAAAAAGAGACAGGCGCCGTGGTCCCTGAGCCAACCACAGCTCTGCCAAACACGAACGGGGAGGGGAGCGTCGCGTCCACGACGTTACCCGTGACAGACGACGGTCCGGTGGATATGAGCACGTTCAAGCCGACTTTCATCCCGCGGGAGGGCAAATCGGGGAAGGAGAGAGACGAGAGGTCAAAGGAGAAGAAGGAAAAGAAGAAGAAAGAGAAAAAAGGTGTCTTGGTATCGTTCGAGATGGATGAGAGTGGACCTGCGATCGTTCCGCAGAAACCGCCCAAAGACAAAGACCGACCAAAGAAAAAGAAGAGGAAGGAGAAGGAGAAAAGAGAGGATGAAAATGAGGATGAAGGGATGTGGGTCGAGAAACCGGCTCCAGAGGTAGTGAAAGAGCTGCAGGTTCCTCCGTTATCGTCATCGGTTCCCTCACTACCACCCTCCGATGGGAATAATACCTCACAAGAACATGTGCCCAGGGGTCGAAAGAGAGCCATAGACTTCATGTAATCATGTACTTTTTTTCAATGTTCCATTTGTAAAGCACATCGCAATTTTACCCTTCGCTCTCTTCCTCCTCCTCGACCTCCGCATCCTCCTCATCTTCGACTTCCTCCTCTCCGTCGACTTCCTCTCCTTCATCTTCCCATCCTGATCCAAACCCGCCTTCCTCGTCACTCTCAGCACCGCCCTCAGCCTCCTCGTCATCTTCCCTCTTCCGTTTCCCGTTCACCTGACCATCTACACCTAATACCTCACCATCGCCCACAGTCACACATGTCAGGCGAGTGCCCTTGGAGTCGTACTCGGCAACTGGTGCAATCTCAACCAATTTATCGGCATGACTTGGAACGTGAGCCAAGTCATATATGTGAATCTTGCCATCCGAGGATACCGTACAAATAATCGTCGTCGATGTTCGGCCTGACGAAGGCGGAAGGGCGATGTCTAGCGTTTGAAGGGCTTTCACGCTTCCGAGAGGTTAAGTAGGTACGTTAGAGTTGTTGGGATGGGAACCTACCGATTTGTATGTCCGACCATCTCTGCAATAATTTTGGGAGGGTTGTCTTTTGATATTTCGTAAACTGTTAGTTTTTTGTCCTCGGCCCCTGCCAGAAGGACCTCGCCGTCGCCGCTTATTCGTTTGCAGAACTTAAGGTCGTGTAGTCGGGAGGGGTGTTTGATTGTGTGTAAGAGATCCATATCCTAAATAAATTCTTTACGATGGGGTTGTGCGGATGCAAACTGTCAACATACCGTAGAATATACGTCAATCGTTGAGCCTGATTGAACGGCAAACAATGAACCGTCAACCGACCACCGAACAATCTCTCCCTCTGAGTAATAAAAAAAAAGATGCTGAGATGCGGGATTCGGAGCGACAAATAGCGCAACTCACCCTTCCCAAGTTTAGTACTCGCACAACCTTTACCGCGCATAAGGTCCCACATCCGCAAAGCTCGGTCTTTTCCTACACTTAGAGCAACTTTACCTGAAGGGTGTACGGCCACAGAATTAACGCGACCTTTGTGTCCCTTCAGCGTACGCAAAACAGCCCAATCTCTAGCTCGGAACAGGCATAATGTTCCATCCTCGGAAGCGGACAGAAGATGGGATCTTGAAGGGAAAGAAAGGTGCGTTATGGAACCTTCAAAAAATCGGTGAGCGAAGAATATTCCAAAAAAAAAAAAAGGGATGAGGACAAACCTTCGTGATGCATCAGCCCCCCAATTTCTTTCCTCCGTCTCAAATCCCAAACTTTTACAATCTCGTCGGCACTCCCTGACGCGAGCCATTTCCCTCCTTGTGGCGACGCAGCCACGGCTTTAATGCAGGACACATGTGCGGGGAATATAAAAATTGGTTTCAGGTGGAATTCCAGTTTCGATTCGTCGTCCTCGCTAGTGGTGACGCTGCCATCCAACCCGTAGAGAAGCTTCTCGTATGAGCCGGCAATAACTTTGAAGGTGGAGGGTAATGGATATTCCTCCTCTTCGCGAACATGATTTTTGATCGGTTTCGGTTTCGACGTAGCAGAAGTGTCAATTGCTTTCGCTTTGCCTTTGTCGGTGGACTTGGGTAACGATTGGCTGTAGGCAGTTGATTTGTGTGCGCGAGATGAGTCCTTTACTCTGTGCTTTGGAACCTTTGATGTAGTGTCGATTTTCGCCTTCTTGATAACTCTTTCCGTTGGTTTTGAATCGCGTTTCGCCATTTGGTGAAGTCGTCTGAGCAAACTGGTAGTAAAAAACTTGAGACTGTTATGGCTTGTGTGGTCGCTTTCGATGTGTCCAACCTCTCCCTTACGATCCTAACTTGCTCTTGAGTAGGGATGTGAGTAAAAATCGACGTTCGTTATGATTGCCAAAACATGATACATTTTAATGCTTCCAGCCCCTGCTACAAAGCAACCATGTCCACAAAACATGTCCGATCATTCGACGCACTTTCTTGCAAGCCTCTCTCCACTGTTGAAGTTCATCCCTCGCTTAGCGTCGTACCTCCTATTGAACGACTCCCGGTTGAAATCCTCGCGGAGATATTCATCCTTTGTATTTCTTACAGCGACCATCCACCATTAATCAGCAGATCGACGGAACCCCCGATATCTTTATGTTGTGTCTGCAAAAGATGGCAAAAGATTGCTAGCGAATTACCCAGGTTGTGGACCGCAGCTCTCGTCTGCACAGAGAGTATCAAACTGGAAGTGCTGAACGAGTTGCCCCAGTTGCTGTATAGCTGGTTTTCCCGCTCGAACCAGCTTCCGTTGTCTTTGAAATTCACTTCTGATGATTATAACGTGATGAACATGTTCACCGCCTGTGTTGCTCCATTTGCCTCTCGATTTTGCCACCTTGATGTCGATTTAAATAACTTCATCTGTTCGAGCCCCACGGACCTTCAATTATCCGCATCACAGCCAACACAAACGCAGCTTACTCATCCTGACAGATCGTGGTCTACCCTTCAATTTCTTCAATTAGAGTCTGCCATTATTCGGGGCAATATCGAGGTCCACAGTGACTTGGAAACCCCTCTGTTCTCTTTTGCTCCCCGCCTTCAGCGACTGCGCATGGACAACATTTCATTCATAGGAGGCACCCCGCTGCAGCTTGTTCTTCCGTGGAGTCAATTGACTCATCTCATCCTCGTCAACCTCCTCGAATCCCATTTGTGGCTGCAGCTATTTCCCATGTGCCCAGCACTTCAGCATGGTTTATTTGACGTCTTCGAGGACTTCGTGCCAACTCCATCGACCGCCGAACGTGCAACATTCCATCATCTCACCGATCTGACATTTGCGTTCAATGACCCAATAAATCCCAGCATTCTCGGTCATTTCGACTTTCCAGCACTTAAGACTCTGAGGCTTTCAAATGACAGCTTCATCAGTTCTGATGGGGGTGACTTGGACGATAGTATGTTCTGGACAGCCACCACACGCAGTCGACTTTATCAACAAGTTGCTCCGCTTGAGAGGCTTTCTCTTAATGGAAGTTGGCCCTTTGTTTGTATCTTTGAAGCTGCCACACATGTCGTTGAGCTGGATCTTGACGATTCTGTTGATGTATCTGAAGCAGTTCACTCGCCGCTGAGGCTGCGCCTTCCATATGGATATTCACTTCTACCGAACCTGAGAGTTCTCTCTATGAGTATTAATTTGGATTTTCAGATAGATGTGCTTGCCGACATCATCATTTCAAGAAGATCTGTTGATTGTGGAATCCGAATCGAGAAGCTCACATTATATCCATCTGGAATGCAAAAATATATGAAAAGGTTAACCGAGAAGCTTCAGCCACTCATCAACGACGGATTCATCGTGGAGATTTGCGATACGACTAGTCACTGGTGTAGGCAGCTCGATCCAACATGGCGTGAAGGTATTATCGAAATTGAGGGATGAAGGTGAGGTAAGAACCTTACATTGTGGAACATTGAGCCTAACCGTAACCCCTCCTGCGATCTCCATAGAATCATTTTGCCAACCACGGGGAAGGTTGTGGCTACCATCGGATGGCATTATGGGGGAGCGATCCTCAGGCTTTTGCTATGAAATGGCTGTAGACGGCGTTGCGCTGTTAGTCACCTCAGCCGCTGAATACCCTCGATTTGTTTCTGAGTAGTAGAAGGAATTGAAAAGCGTCAAACAACAAGACAAGTGGAGGATAAGTCGAGCGTGCATTCACCAAGTCTCTCTGCTGTTCCACTTGGCAGAGCACTGTGTTTCCCTCATGTTTCGTGTATTCTTTCACTTTTCGGCTTCTGGAGTGTCTACTCGTCATCCTCGCCCTCATCGCGAACCCTAGTACAGTCACGTCGAACAATCAAGGTGCGGGTGAAGTACTATGGGGATCACTATGCGCGGCGTTGACCTGGGGAAAGAGTGAAAGTTTTGAACATAAGGAACTGGGATAGGGAGGCATATAAACGCAACCAGCCGCTCGCGACAGATGGTAAGTCGAAACATCCGCTTACAATTACTTAGTACATGAAAAAAAAATACAACAAAAAGTTCTAGTTACTATGTTACATATCTTGCATCCGGATCCAGGGTATTGTCCTCAGTAGTAGAGCAACACACTGACCCAGAGAAGTGGCACTGAAATTGACGGCCCGTTAAAGATCGCCGGACTTTTAGAGTAGAAAGTAAACACTGACCTGAACGCTACTGTGAGCTCGACGGCATGTGGAACGGCAAAGAAGAGACAGGTCCTTGCCAACTTCGGAGTCGGGGCGTGCTCAACCAACTTCAACGCTGGCGAGTTGTTCTCTTTGTCTCTCCTGTGCGTCAAGCTCCATATATGTTTGCATGCTGTCCCGGTACTATATCTTTCAAGGCACTTCTTGACCGTACACCTTTGTCAAGGCGGCCTAATAATCCAACAAATGGCTCTCATAGTCTTTTTCGTCTGGCATTCCGGTGTCCAGCTCTCCCACCTACTCACTAATTTAGCAATCATAACCAACAGATGCGACAAGGCCTACCGCATCCTCTTCGATCCCACCTAGATACCAGGTGGTCAAATATTCGCCACCGTGGTTCAGACGTTTTCGACTTCCAGGACGCCAAAAGCCGAGGGTTATGAAGATGGGTTCATACCAAGGACCACGAGAACGCGGATCCATCGTAGGCGGTAGAGGGGCATGACAAGGACCAAAATGAGGGAAAAGATATGGCTCGTAGCCTGACTGAATTTCCAACATTGAGCGAGAGATACCACTCGAAACCTTGGTAGATCACATACCTCCTCGTAAGCCTCTCTCAACGCCGCCTGTTCGACACTTTCCCCTACATCTTTCCTACCCCTCGGGAAGAACCACTTCTTGTGGCGCGAGTCGTAGACAACGACGATCTTGTGCGTGTTTTCCTGTATGAGAACCATTCCTGCGCCGAGCATGAAGCTGTCGGAGCACCAGGCACTATCAGGTACGGCAGGTGTTGAGCCAGGTCCGAGTGGGATCCGAATCGTTTGTAGCGCAGGCGAGTTGTTAGCGGGCGGAGGTCCCGTCGTTCTCATGGAGTGCACTAGGCGAGTTACGGTGTTCATCCTGCGCCGTTGTGAAATAAGGAAAGGTGGAAACTAGGAAGTGTGCGCTTGTCGCCCCCGAGATATCGAATGGCACGCTTGTTGCACTCCGGTGTCCAGGTCTGGTTCACAAAGGAGGCTAAAGCTGTGCGGATCCAGGATTATGAAGACAGGAGAGTCTGTGGTGGATGATACCGATGAAAAACGTGGAGCGCAGATGCACATGGGTTCTATTTAGGAAAGATGTCAGAATCACTCATAACTCATCAATTTGTTGAATATCAGTCAGAGATTGGCAGTTTACACAGTGGTAAGTAAGTATCGTTAAAAGTCATCGTAAGGTCGTAAAATATCGTAGTTGGTCGTAAGTGTTTTCAAAAGATAGGGATAAATGCGTCCTTCTTACAAGCCCAGGCATCCCATGAAGAATGCGACGCCAATGATGGCCACTGTCCTTCCTAACGTCACGCTATCCCTCCTCTCGAGAAACCGAGCTGTCGACGAGGACGTCGACGTGGAGGTGGCGTGCGCACTTGCGTTATTGGTCGCCGTTACATTGCCGAGGAGTGTACTCTCAATCGCACAGATCTTCCTCACGCCGCTGACAACAGCTGGGAGATCAGGACTGATAATAACGTCGTCCTGGCCAGTCTTTACAAAGCTTGAACCATCCAAAAAGAATATTTAGGAAATCGTATTATTTCGACGGGTGGAGGAAAACGCACCAATCAACACATTGTGGGAAGACGGCTTGGAAAGTGTCGAGACAGGCGCACTTGATAACGCTGATGAAAGCACCAGGGTTGAAGATGACCTAGGTTGTATGTTGGGCGAGGATGGTGGTAAAGTTAAAAATAGCCATAACTTACCATTGAGAAATTGGCGAGAACTGGAGCTGCCTCAGCGCATGACTGGATACTAGGGTAATCCTGAAGTAATGATCAAACGTTAGCTGTTGATTGAATGCGATAGAGAGGATAGAAGGCTCCTCCAAGAAAAGATAACGAGTCCGATCAGGGGTTTCTGGGTAAAGGGCTGTGAGGAAATCATCACCTTTGCACAGATAGGACATGAAGCTGGGGTGTCAGGGAAGTACGGCTGGGTTCGACGTTCAAGAGTGAGCGAGTAATCAACGAGAGGTGCAGGTGATGAGAACGCGGAGAGAGACAGGCTGATGAATAGGACGAAGAACGTGAGGAAGCGGAGCATCATAATTTAAGAGATAGTTAGGGTATCGCGGGAGGATGTATGGCTGCAGCCTGCTGTCGTACTCGACGATGAGCACACCAGGGGGGAGGCTGGTGGATTGGTAGAAGGGGTGGATGCCAAGACATCAAAGCTGGGGAAAGGTACCGAGCTAAAAGATAAGATAAATTTTATTGTGAAGATCTTTTGATCTTCGCTATCATGGCTACCTCATCCTCCATCTCCAGCTACCAATCTGACCTCATTGAACATGCCATGTCCGTAGAAGCTCTAAAATTTGGGTCGTTTACCCTCAAATCCGGGCGGTGCGTCAACGCGTTCACAGCTCGACGCACCGGCCAATGAATTCATGATCACACCGTTATCCCTCCAGTATCTCGCCATACTTCTTCAACGCAGGGCTTTTATCAACAGGACCAATCCTCGCCACCCTCTCAACAGCCTACGCCACCACCATCTCCAACGCCCTTTCATCCAAATCCATCCCACCTTTCGACGTCCTCTTCGGACCAGCATACAAAGGCATCCCATTCGCATCTACCACCGCACTCGCACTCTACACACAACACAACATCTCCGTGGGATTCGCATATGACAGGAAAGAAGCCAAGGATCACGGCGAGGGGGGAAAGATGGTTGGTGTTTCGGTAAAAGGGAAGAAAGTCGTCATCCTAGATGATGTGATGACCTCTGGAAAAGCTGTACGCGCAGCCATCGAGACGGTCGAGCAGCACGGTGGAGAAGTGGTGGGCGTGGTTCAGGCGTTGGACAGAGAGGAAGTTGGTCAGGATGGGGTCAGTAGCACTGTACAAGAACTTGAGGGTCTCATTGGAGAGGGAAGGGTTTTCTCCATCTTAAAGATGCGAGACTTGATGGTGTGGCTGGAGAAGAACGGTATGAAAGGGGAGTTGGAGAGTATGCAACAGTATTGGGACAAGTATGGTTTGAAGTAAAGCAATCCTATTTTTGAATCAAATGGACCACGAGCATGGTGTGAAACTCACGAAGAAAGGAAAAATTCAACACATGTATGTAACAAAGAGCATATCTAAAATATTTAATAACTATGAGGTCCTTACTACACTAAGCCTACGGAGGTGGAGGGGGTGGTTGCTGATTCTCCGCTGCCCCGTCAGGACCAGGCTGAGCAGGTGCAGCAGATCCTGCAGAGGATCCTGACGCCGCATAATACTGGCCATACTGTTGCTGCTGCTGCGCAGCCCATTCCTTAAACTGTGGGGAATTCACGTCGTACCCATAAGCAGCCCTGAATTACAAGTAATCAGCACATTCCCAATTGACAGAGTGACATTCGAACTCACCAATACATAGCGATAGCATCATGACTGGATTGATCAGTCCCAGGTGGGGGAGGACCGCCTACCGGTTGTGGTGGCATCCCGCCAGGGGGTGGTGGGGGTTGCTCGCCCGGCGGTGGTGGAGGTGGTGCGCTTCCTGGAGGCGGTGCGTATGCCTAAAACAACATGAGCGAAACAATGGTAGTTAGTCTCACAAACCAATTCTCCGATTCGAATCGCGTTCAAAAAAAGTGATAGGTCACGAATGATCCTTGAGGCCCTACGACCTTGGCTCGGACATTGAAGTTTCGAATTGTCTCTAGGCCGACTGGTAGTTTCTCTTCGGGCCATTTACGCTTCAAGGTTATACAAGATTAGTCGCAGGAGCCTAAGAGAAAGAGACAAGAAAAGGTTCTCACCTTCATCAATGACTTCTTATCCTCTACCAACGACCCAAGGTCTATAGACATCAGCTCGTCAATCTTGTCCAATGCTTTCTGGAGTATCTCGGGGGTGGCAGCGGCGACATGTAGATAGAGAGGTGGATCTTTCTCTGTCGCCTTACTACGATCAGGATACCATACTCCTTTGGTGCTCACCGAAGCCCCAGTTTCTTCGTGGATCTGATATATTGATCAGTCGTCAGGTAACTTTGGAAAGAATTGTCCTCACCTCTGTTTGCGTGGATCCTCTAGTCAACATATATCGATTCCTAACGTCGTTTATATCGATATCCTTTGAATAAGCTTCGTTCAAGCCACCCAAGGCACCATCAGCGAATTGAGCTGCAATTTTGGCGGCGATGGCAGCTGCGGCTGCAGCAGCTTCTGCGGCAGTTTTGCCGTTCACGATTGGCGCCGACGTTGAAGGTGGTTGCTCTTCGGTCGTAGAAGCAGCAGCGGCTGGCGCTGGTTGGTCCCATTTAGACGACATCCTTTGGGTATGTTTCCGGAGATGATGAAGGTGAGACGCAAGTCTTTGTTTGGCAACCACCGTCTATCCAAACCAATCCGACGCGTGTCGACCACTTGAACCTCCTCCACGCACTGGAGAGTCCTCCATGTCGACCTCCACGTTCAAACGACACCGAACATCCTCCCTTTCATCTTCCTCGTCGTCATCTCCGTCCTCACCGAACCACCACACTTCCAAGGCATCGCGCATAATCGTCGATTCTCAACTCTCGCCACACAGTTCGTCAACACAGCGCCCTCTTTTATGCTCCCTACCACCGACGTGCAACCACCGCCCAACACACATCGCTAATACCAAAGAGCTAGAATCTCATTATGCCAAATACCATGCCCATGTGTGTGAACTTGCAGGTTGTGGATGCGTGTTTCCCGATGCGCGCTTGCTTGAGCTGGTGTGTAATCTGCCTCAATATTCTATTCATTGTGTTCGCTCAATGTCTCTTTTTTTTTTTTTTGCCTTTTTACATTTTATGCTCTATTTTGGATCTGCTGTATCACGTTCAGCACCAGACAGAATGTCACGATCCACTAGCGGCAGTACGGAAGGAGCGTGGGGAGAAGATTGTGAGTCTCTCTCTTTCTACCCAAAATAAATACTCATGCTATCTTCACCTCGATAGTTCGCTTGCCACCTTGCTGCGTGCCCGCGCCTTTTCCTTACGCCCAAAGCTCGTCGTCTTCATCTAATTCAGGCCCATTCTTACCCAAAAGAATACTTTTTTGCTGTCACCAACAAAGGTGTAGGTGGTCTCCTCAAGAAATGGGGTGAAGGTGTTAGTATGATTCGGAAGGAGTGGAAACCCAGAGGGAAATCAGGAGAGAGTACGGCTGTGCCGACTGCACCAGATGTTGATATGGACACGCACCGAATGGAGACAGACGAGCACGACAGTGACGAAGATGAAAACGAAGATGAAGATGATGAGGACGACGAACAAGAGTCAGACGGACAAGATGATCATGATAATAGCGCGGAAAGGCCAATGTCTACCGATCTTGACCCAGACGCTACTCCGCGCATGGGAACACGAGGCACCGCTTCCCACCTCCCCAGCGTATCCCCGCCGTCCTCCTCTCCCCAATCAGCGGACACGCCTCTGGTCGACGGGCTCACGGATTCACTCAACGCGCTAACACTGGTACCATCGTCAGTGCGCTTTGGAAGAGGGGGTAAGAAAGGCGGATTTGGCCCAGCACGGGGTGGTCATTACGGTCCTGGAAGAGGTGGAGGTGGAGGTGAGCCCGTACCTGGACGAGGGGGTGCTGGTGCACGAGGTGTGGGTGTGGGTGGTAGAGGCTTAGGTTGGGCTGGGGGCAGGGGAAGGGCGGGAGTGCAAGTTCCCTTTACGCCCCATTTGCAGAATGTTTCTGGCAGAGGCAACGTGCCCAGAGGACGCGGGATTGTGAGAGGTACGGTGCTGCCCTCGCGGGCGAGAGGTCGAGGTGTTGTTCAAGCTGGTGCTGTTTGATTGTTCGAGAATGGCAGGAGAAGAGCAAGCAATTGTAAATGTATTGGAAGCATTATATCCTTGATGGAATTGTAGCACCTTCAGAGCCGCCTCGTTTGCGGTTGGTTGATCATTTGTACATATACGATACTACATTTTTTGAAGTTGGCGAATGTATGGTCAGAGAGGACGTTATACTGGAAGATAAGATAATGTTCGTCGCCTCACTGACATTAATATTGACATCATCCCCAGACTCTAAATTAGTCTCCCCCGAGCCGACGAGACGGACATCGGAGGGTTCCGTCTCAAAACATGCAGCCTGAATGACGGTAAGTATGGCCAGGACTAGCCGGGGAAAGTGGGGAAAGGCTAGTCATGGAGACGTTAGTGAGTTGGGATGGGTCCACTGGCGTACCAATAATGTCCGTAACCAGACCAGTAGTGTCCGTGACTGGACCAGTAGCTGCGACAGCGGACGGACGAGTACGAAGATTGTAGTGAGCCATGGAAAACAAGTGGTGTTCGTGGACCGTAGGAGTAGCCGGTTGATCAGACCAGTAGTGCTAGTGATCCACAGGGGTCGACGAGCGAAGCGAGTTTTTAAAGTGGTCGAGTTGAGATACGAGGTTCAGTCAAAAATATGTGGTGATAGTGTATGTAAATGCACGATTAGACTTGGTTACGGAGCTCTGAATGCAGAGCAACAGATGTAGCTAAGGTAGACGACAACCATACACAACCAACCCTCTGTGACGTGACATAACACTCCTTTTTTGGCAAACAGAAATGAGAAAAGTCGAAGAAAAGGCCATAACAATTCTGTGCATAAATTTAGGGATAATCGACGACCATAGAACTATTAGAATTAGTGCTCTAAAGATATATACAAATTTATAAAGTAGGAGAATGAAAATTGGGGGAGGAGATACAAAAATACTATGGTAGGTTCCTGAAGCTCAGATTGACCGTCAAAAGCCTTCGTCGCATCAAAGTTTCGATCCAAAATTGACTATAATGAATTCCTAAAGGATTCATATCTTGCGGGGGTTGTTGTTCTCTGATATTTGTTAGTTAAGGCGCGTCCTTGAGTAATTGAACACCCAATCCCCTCATTCTCCTTTGCAGTTTTAGCTTTTTGTTGTTTTATCACCTCTATGTAAGTTCTATGCTCTGGACTGGAGGTAATTGCTTTGCTTAGGCATGGTTCTGGCCTAATGAAGAGGATTTGCGCGTGTGCCTTCAAATTGACGCGTCGTGAAGTATTTTTGTTTCTTTTTCCTCAAATTTCGTTTTACCGCTTTAATTTTTTTTGTGCTCCATGAAATCTGCATTCGGCTCAGTTCTATGGTTTCCGATTAGCTGCGATTCGTGTTCAAAATATTCTAGGACATTATCTGTGTAATTGAGGCTTAAAATGGAAATGTCACGCTGTGCACGTGACGTTGGAAGGATATGGTTGTCGTCTACCTTACCTATCACGTTCAGAAAACTACTGAGATTACAGCCATGTGCGGAACATAGGGCGCGGCATGATTTTTTTTTTTCGCCAAATAAACAAAGGGATTTATGTAGTTGTAAAGTATTGTCTATGTAGCACGCTCAAAAGTCATCCATTCAGCTTGAAATTAGATCCATTCGACGCCGATTTCAAATCTGCGCACGTCGATGTGCCCATGTTCCATCGACCGCAAGAAATAACCACTGTATTGTCGGAAACGATCATCTGCGACGTTCGATACACAGCATCCACAACTCAACGTTCCCCCTCCGCCCGTTGCGTCTTTTGGGCAGCTCAGACCTTCAGGTCAAGTTTCCGGAGGAGGGGGAATTATTGTGAGTTTATTGGTGCTTTGTCCTGCTTGATCAATGTTTCCGGAAGGCCGGACGTGGCCTGTCCCAATCATGCCCTGCAACCTGTGACATGATTTCAGTGGATTGAAGGGGGCGGCAGCTTGACGAATGTATATAAAGGTCAACGGGCAGACAGGGCGGACGAGAATTGAGGCTGGAGGCTGCCACGTCAATGTCGTTCTTGCAGTTTTGTCATGTACATAATTACACATTCATTCTCTCCTCGCAGAGGAAATTTTTATACCCTCAGATGCAGATTCAAAATTTGCATCGAATGGTTTTCTTTTCAAGCTGAATGGATGACTTTTGAGCGTGCTACATAGACAATACTTTACAACTACATAAATCCCTTTGTTTATTTGGCGAAAAAAAAATTCATGCCGCGCCCTATGTTCCGCACATGGCTGTAATAGGAGAACTACCGAAAACTATTCAAGTCAGCTCCTCCTGAAGTTTTCCAAAGTTCTGACATCCAGCAATTATCGTTGCTAGCCCGCCCCGCACTATGAGTGATATGTAACCATATGCATCAAATCCACTACAACTGACAACGAAAAGAGAGGAACGACATTTACGCCGAGTGATTGATAATGAAAGTGACTGAGCATATTTGAAACCGGATTCCGGAACGTAGGGCATTGGAGTACATAGAGGAAGTTTGGGCGATGTGTGATGCACATTAGAATGTACGCCGGTATTTGATGAGGGGTACTGAACAAAACTTACCGCTACGGGTTGCAAGGTTAGGTTGGGATACGGATAGTCCAAAAATTGTTGCAGTCGTGCTCTTGGAGAAGGTAGTCATAGGGCATCATGAAATATCCACCGTCACCCCACGTAGCACCCCAAGAACGTTGAACTATGAAGTGGCACTTGAAGTCATCGTACCCGACCGCCATGACCGCAAGGCCGGTCGGCGAGAACTCACCCTCGGACCCGAGAATCGTCACCAAGTCCGTGTCCTCGGTCGTTTGCCCGAGAAGCCTGAATCCAAACACAAACGGGTACCCTTCATCGAGACAGGCGCGCAGGAGCTTGAGATCGCGCTCAATCCTCATGTACTGAATAGCCTTGCGTTTGAGAGCGTTCCCGTAGGCCGGGGCAGGGGGCTTTGTAGCGGCCCGCGCACCATCAACGAAGATGCCGGTGCTCTTATCGTAAACGCCACATGGCTCATATGGCCAGTCCTCCTCAGAGCACACACCGGTGACCGCGATGCTCTTTAACCCGTCGCGCAAACGAGCTCCGCTGTTTAGCCTGACCCGGTCACTTGATAACATCTCGCGTTCATTGTACCAAATGAAGAGTCTGGAGGGGATGAAGGAATCAGAACCATCTTGTTTGTGTTTCTTGAGCACCATGGCGAAAGCAGAAGCAATCGCATTGGCAGTACAGCTTCCAATAGTGCCTTGGTCGAAGACCGGGCCAAAATAAGGGCTGGTGCGTAGATCAACGAGGGGTTCCAAAGCGTTTTCTGCAGAAGGGACATAAGGGAGGTCGCGGTCATCAAGGGTATCAGGTATCCAACCAGCGGGAGGGATGCCAATGTCGTCGTCGTCTTCGTCGGCGTGATTGGTGGAAGGGTCATCGGGTGTTGACACAGCTCCACGGGAATGTAATATCCAACCAGCGGGACTCCGGGGAGGGATCTCAAAATCACTCTCGAAGCTCAACTTCAAGAAGGGTTTAACGGATATGTTTGAAAAGTGACCAGTGACATATTGCTCACCATCCATTCTTCTTCTGAATCATCGGGACTTTGTCTGCTGTCGGAGAGATCAATATTGTGATGCTATTATATTTGAGCGTAACATCAACATTGTTGTGTTTGCACTTACCATCGCTGATACAAGGGTTCCATGAGAAGGTTTAGGTTTATATAGCATCGGATAACGATCGTTTTCGACTGTGATCCGGCCGTCAATGATCTCATAGGGTGCCCAAATACGGTGATTTGATGTTAGGGGGACGGCCTGAAGCCGGCCCGGTTATCATGGTTGTGGGAGTATAAAAGGAAAGAGAGAAAAATTCCCAAAAAGGAAAGAGAAAAAGAGAAAAAGGAGGGATTTCCTGACTTATAGTAACCTTTCTCTTGGTAAAAATTCCAGAAAATTACCACAAAATACATACTTACAGTGGCCACCAACATGTGAGCATGACATTAATTGTTATACCACTTTTTCATGATACTTCTGATGGCAAAGAATCAAAGTATGTACATAGATTTGGTAGCATTCTCAACCCTCAAAAGAAATTCACAAGAATAAAAGGGGTGTCTGCTATCCTTTCCTTCATATTGTTTTGAACCACATGAACCACAGGAATTTGTGCACTGATCCTTGTTAATTCAACCTCCACATCCTTTTTTTTCACACTTCCAACATTTCCTTGCTGCATGTTTTATACTATGGACTGTCACAGAGGATTCAGAGATAAATTTTGAAATTAAAATTTCTCAATAGGTTGACCTTCATCTGGTTTGATTTCAAAGAACTTAAATGGATATATACAATTTATCTGTGGATTGTAATAGTTTTATATCTGTGACACTTTAGCTCAAATTTCCCACTCATTTTTAAAGATGATATTAGTACACTTGTAACACATTACACTCTAGAGAAATGTAACATCTCTGGTATACCATAAAAAAAAGATCTCATCTGAAGGCACATGATTGCTTTCAAAATTTTGATTTTGGCAAGTGGATCAGGTGTTATTAATCCTGTGTAGATTTTTTATTTTTCTGTTGGGTATCCAGCATGTGTGTCTACCCTGAGTTATTATTCTCACCAGGCAATACACTTGGTCCTGCAACTCAAATATTTTCAGGTGGAAAAGGCATATTATAGAGCATTGCTTGGTTTTGATCAGTGTAATGGCTGGTAATTATTTGCTTTCCTGATGATGAGGGCTGGGCCACTGGTAGAGTTTATTGCAATATGTTTGTGAAGCTCAGGGTTTGAATTTGAGAGCTTTAACTCCTTTGCATTGAGATCTAGTCTCTGCCAGATTACATGTGTGCAGTTACTTTAGATGTTCCCCAAGCTGAAATTACAGTTGATAAATGATATTTTTGATTATCACAGGAAATGATGCTGCACACAATTGTGGGAGGGGAAGATGTTAAAAATGTTGAAAATTCAAAGTACAGGACAAGACAGGGGCATGGGAACTATATACCATACATGGCAGCATCTGAATACAGAAATCATAGCAGCTGCTAATGTTTCCATTCTCGGAATTATTTTGGTAGCAGCTGCTACTACCCACAGCCATGGGAACTCCGCCCTGAGGCCACCTCTGCAAAAGCTTGGCAAAAGCATAGAAAGGAGGGTGTCACCCAGGCTCCTGAATGGAATAGAATTGTGTCTTTCACAGCTGTTTGCAGTTGTGGATTGTTAAATTTTGTGTTTGCTTCTGTTGTACCTGTTACCCTCACGTTTTTTTGTCACCCATAAGGTTACCGATTTTGCGAGGAGAAAGGCATTTCTCCTCATCCCAGATGATTATGTTTGTGTGCATTTCATCAAAGACTTGAGGTGCCATGGGCAAAGGTTAGAGTGAGATCGGAGGCCAGTTCACTCAAGATCCCTCAGATGTGACAAAAAAACCCTGAGGGCAACAGAAGCAAACACGAAATTTGAGTTTAAACAATGTTTACTCAAGTCCAATAGAGCTGGCCAAAGCCTGAGTTACACATGCACACCAAATCCCCGTGTCTACTGACACCATACCCAGAGCTGCAGCTCTCTTGCCTGCAGGCATTCATCCCAGTATCCACACTTGGATACGTGCTTCATAATCCATGCTTGGATCTTGACTTATATTTAGATTTGTTCTACCAGCTGAGGAGTGAGATGAAACTCCCCCTTTCTATAGGGCTCTCATTTCAATACCTCACTCCCTCAGCTAGGTACGAATTTTTTTTCTTTTCTAGGGCTATCATTGCAATAGCTCACTGCATTTGATAGTTGAACTACTCTCTGCATTTTTTGTCAATACAATACTGTGTATCATCATACCTAAATTTATCTCCTATGAGTGAGGGTAGTGTTTGGAAGTTAGGTTAGTTAACTGGAAAATAACTGAGACTGGACCGGACCTAACTGCAAAATTAACCTGACTGCAGTTAAGGTTAGTCCATTTCAAAAGTAAAATAACCAGTTAATATGCAGTTAACTAACTGTTAAAAAACTGGTTATAACTGGTTATAACTGACCCTGATATACCCCTTCAAAACACACCTAAGAACATGAAAAACACTTAAAATTTGACTGGGTTATTGAAAATATCAGCCAAAATAGTAGATTTTCTAGAATATTATCATAACATTGTCAATTCTTCACCAACCGTATCGTTCTTGGGCTTGTTTTAAAGCTACGATGCATGGCAATAATGTTTACTGCAAGGGATATGAGAAATATATGCCATTTTAATCGATTATATATTTTTTTGGTCCTAACTGGTTAGTAACTGCAACTAACTGGTTTTGGTCAGTTATCTTCAGTCCAGTTAGGTTATTTTGGGTCTGGGAATGAACCCTAACCAGTCCCAGTCTCAGTTAGAGCCCCTGGGCACCCAATAACCTAACCTAACCAGACTTTCAAATACTAAGTGAGGGACATGCAATCTACTTCGTGTCTGCACAACCAACCAACAAATCATCTGACACTACTGGCTTGAATGGAGGGGAATGTGGGGGAGAACAACCCTTGCAGCCAGTCAGAGATACTGAAATTACTCCACTGATTGAAGGCCAACAGTCAGAATCTATTGCTGTTGGAATGAATGACCCCAACTGTCAATTGACCTTGGCTGAGCCAGATGATCCAAGTGGGGGAGCTGACCTGATCAATGACAAGTCCAACCTTGAACAAGAGTCTATCAACCTCATGGACAACATTGTTGAAGACTTCAGATGCAAGGAGATCTCGAAACTCAAAGCCTTATTGAAAATTATCGCTGTCCTAGACTCTAACAAATCTAAATCTGATGAAATTAAAGATACAGCATTCGAATCTTATTTGGGCACCCTTGGTGAAATTGAAGCCCTTGCTGCTTCAGTAATTAAGTGAGGAGAACATGTCTAGCAGGGGTTGCAGTCAACCAGCAAACCTTGGGACAGACCCACAAACCTCGGAGATGAATGATGCAACATGGATATTGATGAACTCATATCACAAATCAGTCACAAATCTCAGAGAGGAAAAAGGCCTTCAGCAGGGGAGTTTATCAATCCCTGCGATGACATTGATGACAACCACTTGGACCATGGTGATGCACAATCAAACAAAAAACAAAGGGTTTTCGAGTCTGAGATGCCCTGGTTCTCTTGAGAAGAAGAGGAATGGCGCACTGGAAACAAAGATTGCAAGGAATTGTGAAGGCTCCTCACCTTGTTTGCCAGAGATTACAAAGCAATCAAACAGTGGATTCAAAACTCCAGGACTGCACCTCTCAGTTTCCCCAGTTCTGAGTGGGATAACATCATATGAGGACAAGCCATCAACCTTGATGCCGTGCTCTCCTCTCTGCACCATGTATCTGCTCCTAAAGAGAACATTGGACACTGTAATACCTCAGTGCATGTAGAGACTTCGTGTGTGTGAAGTCTCATAGTACCATAGTAACTTGTTGTAGTGTAGTGTCGATGAATAGAGTGATTGGAGAGAACATGACTATTGAGGTCGCGCTCACCTCCTAGGGTTGCCTAGAAGTCCTAGGTAGACCCTTGTTAACCCAGAGGAAGGGCTCTCATATCCTGTGGAGGAGGGAGCATTGTACAGGGTGCTCACCCTCACTACTAGCTGCCATTTACATCATGTAAAACCTGGCATGTACCACAGAAGTTGCCATGAATGAAATGAAATAAATTTTCATTCCAAGTCATTCTCATTCATTGCCATGGACAATGAAATATTTTTTGTTTCATTTCATTTCATTTCGATTTTTTCTTCATTTCTACTGACAAGAATGAAATTTATTTTGTTTCATTCATTCCTGGTGAATGTTTTATTTTTTATTTCATTCCACTGTGGCAACTGTTTCATTCTTTGTTTCATTTCATTCATTCCTGGCAACTGTTTCATTTTTTTTTTTTTCATTCATTGCTGTAGAATTTTCATTTCATTCTTTTCAGGCAGTTATTTCATCTTTGTTTCATTCTTTCAGGTAACAATTTCAATGTTTTAATACACACCTAAATAAGGAAATGATATACAATTATGCCTGATGTGTGTTGTGCCCTACTGCAGTGGCATGGGGGGTCATATGGGGGTACTTTTGGATTTGAGGCTCAAATACATAACAAGATAGGCATGCTGTTGCCAATTAAGGCACTGAAATATTTTGCATCAATTACATAATCATTTTCCCAGCTCTAACAATGAAATAGGCACCTGAGAAGAATGAAATAAAAATGAATGACTGCCCTAGTAAGAATGAAGCAAAGAATGAAACAGTTGCCATGGTGGAATGAAATAAAAAAAATGAAACAGTTGCCAGGAATGAATGAAGCAAAGAATGAAACAGTTGCCATGGTGGAATGAAATAAAAAAATGAAACAGTCGCCAGGAATGAATGAAACAGAATAAATTATCAAGAATGAAACAGGTGCCATGAATGAATGAAAATTCCAGTACTTCTCAGTACCTCACAGAGTCCTGCAGGACTGAGAGGATTCCTGGGAATTCCTGGGGATTCCTGAGGATTTCTGCAGGACTACACTATAATTTTGGTAATTTTGAGTTGGAGTTGACATTTTGTCAAGTTCCCAGCAATCCTTTAGAGTGTAATTCAGGGTCCATCCCAAAAAGGAAATCTTGTATAGTTTGACTAAAAAGTGAAAAGAAAACAAGATAAAGATGATATGTGTCAGGGTCCATGGAAGGGGATGTTGGTCACAAGACCAATTACCAAAAATGGTTAAAACCAAAGTTGTAGCCCTGTACTGTAGCTTCCCAAATCTGTTTGAATTATGTTCTGAAGTGCTCCTGTTGTGAAGATATGAGGTAAAGGAATTATAAAAGTGTTGTGTTTTTTTTTTTTTTTTTTTTTTTTTTTGTGTTTTTCTCCATGAAAACAAAACCAAATAACATGATTTCAGTATATTTAGAAAGCTAAAAGAAAGGGCTACAATTATTGTATCATGGGAAAAATGACCAAAAAAGGAAGGTGCATGTCCTCAAAGGGAAACTGACACTGACAGACTACAAAAGTCAGACTCAGACTACAAAGTTTACTAATAGACTACAAAAAACTACAAAAGTTGGACTTAGATTACAAAGTTTAGTGATAGAGCTACAGACTTTGACTACAATTCTGATTATTCTCATATTTTAATGCTTTTTCATTTTGTACAGTCAAATCTTCTATGTTTGAAAATGCACACTGGACCCTGACAACAGCACACCAATGTTGTCAGCAACAGTTACTCTGATAGCCTTACCTTCTATATTTGGAGATGTGCTTTGGATTCTGAAAATAGCACCTGACATTGTCATCAGTAATGACTATTTTTATTACTACTTTTCACTTAAAAGTGCCCATTTCTATATTTGGAAGTCTACCCTGGACCCTGAAATCAATCACATGCTCATCAGTTATGTTAATTATCATTTGGATCAATCCTGGGACTAGTCCTGTCTGAAAATCCTCAGGACTGTCTCCAGTCCTCAGGACTACACCCCCACAGGACTCATAATTGGGCTGGCACACCAGCCAAATTAGAGTCCTGAGATCCACAAAAATCCTCAGGAATCCTGAGGAATCCTGCAGGAATCTGTGGGGGACAATAAAGACCTTGAAAATTCATTTTATTTCATTCATGGCAGCTAAGCAGGAATTCCTATGGTACAGCTCAGGAGTACATGATGTAAGTGGTAGCTACCAGTCCTCAACCACCATCCATCAGACAACCCCCCATCGCACAGCCAAGATGGACAATGACCAACCCACAATGATGGACAACAACCAACACACCACCACCATCAGCACACATAACAAAGACAGACAATGCGACGGCGGCCACAACGGCCACCAGCATGACCACCACAACTACCAGCATGACAACGAGCTTGCATGACCATGACAACCACCAGCACCAGCATGACAACCACGAACACAAGCACGACAATGACCAGCACAACTGCCACAAGCATGATGGCAACAATGACCAGGGACGAGCATGATGACAACCGGGATGAGCATGACAACCAACACCCAGAGATAGCAATGACCCCCCACTCACAGACAGCGACAATTCCCCAATGACATGGCAACGCCACATCACCACTCCCAGCCACTGAATGAGCACCTGACTGTCAATGGTGCATGGAGATGATGACGTGCCACATTGTCCCAATGGTGACAACGCAAGCCATCATTACCATCCACAAGATGGAGGTAAGTAGCACCCTCCCCTCCCCCTTTCCTTTGTTAACACCATTTCCAGGGGGCCACATCGGCATG